CACCCTGTAATATGTTTATTAGAGTTGAGAAAATCAATGTGAGGTGGTAGTGGCAATGTTGTTTGACTATTCTGCTCCACACCCAGCCCAGGATGGACGCTAAAGAATGTCAATTGGTGAGTTATGGGCAAATTATTAGTTTGCGCATGGCTGTCTACAACATGTCAGAAATGGCAAGGTAGATTGGGGTCACCAGGCATACTGTGAGATGTTGGTTAACCCTCTGAGAGGCATCTGGAAGCTTGGGAAACCAGCCGTGGTGAATATTTTTTTATGGTTTGTTGGTACTGTATGTGATATATTAAAAATACTAATTTCCAGTGTATAATGTAAACAAAACACATTTGTACTCTTAATTCATATAAATGATATAATTTTAGGCTTGGGAGACCGTGACACAGGCAAGGAGGATATTGGACAAGTAATTGTGATTATATATGACCTTTGTTGGTAAATATTAAAAATAAATGTGATTTCCACCCTCGTTTTCAATATTTTTCCTCATATCAACGTTATTATAAATATCTAATTACCGTTATTTAAAACCTGAACAACAACCTGTAAACATGATCAATAAGAAAATAGAATACTCTCTCAAGAAGAAAATATAGTGAGAGAACAATTACATCCATCCTTCCCTTCTTTCATTCATGAATATCCCTGCTTTCTTCAACCCTCCCCCCCCACCTAATGCGCAATTTGCATCTTATACCTCCTTCCCACACCCCTCCTCCCCTAACAAACAGCCATCACCCAAGTCGACCATTCGCCCTCTCCACCCCACTTGATTTGCCATGCAGGAAAGACCCGGCTAGGCGCAGGGGTTAGGTGGTGGATTGGATAACTACTTTTGACCATGACTGTACATGTATACGGTAAGTCCTCGCTTAACGTCGTGGTTACGTTCTTGAAAACACAACGTTAACGGAATCAATTTTCCCCATAAGAAATAGATAAAATATGTTAGTTATGTTCCCCTGCCTCCCTTTGCCCCATAAAGTACATTACATATACATAAATTCAGTGGAATTTTTATAGAAAATGTATATTATACATAAAAAAAAGATAAATAAACTAAATCATTTTGTATTGTATTCACTGATGGTCAGAGGTGGAGCGAGTGTGTGGTGGGTTTAAAACCTCCATTTTCATAACAAGGCTAATGGTCTTGCGTTGCTTCTTCACAACACTAGCATCACTAACACTAGATGGGCTCTTGGAAGCCATTTCGAATGGTTACAGAACAGTATTTATAGCAAAAACACTTAAGCACGCACGTACGCCGTGGATGCCTAACAAAGACCGGGGACACTGTGACGCTCCGCGAGAGAGTATAGCGCGCCAAGATGAGAGAGGGTGGCGCGCCATACAAAGTAGTCCGTGACGACTTTATAACAAATCGGTCGGGACGTTGTCGGAATCATGGGTAACTATAGAGTAGCACGTTATAATGAAACAACGTTGTCTGGGGCAACATTAAACAAGGAACTTACTGTACCTTGCTTAACCTAGATTCACTTTACACCTTCATTATAATGTAGTTGATTGAGTAGGGAATTATTTGTGTATAGTCCATGATTCACTGTTACAGTACAGTATGTAGTTTAGATATATATTTATTTTTTTTTTTTTAATATTTGCAGTACTTTTCTCTTCTTAGCTGTGTAAATATGAGTATGCTGTGAGACCCTTTGGCTAGTTCATATTCCAGTAAACTCTCTCCAACTCCACCGCATTTGTTCCATGTGTGTTTTACTACTGTATAGATGTTGTTATATGTACTGTATATTTATTATTTACAGTGTATTAAGTTTTGGGACCAACAAGTTTTTTGTCTGGGAACTTTGCTGCACTTAATTTCACCTTTATTGAAGCCTTGATCCCTAATGTTTTTCGTCTATCACTCGAGACTCCTTACTGATATTAAGATCAACTTAGATATAGATTTAGGTTATCACTCAAACTGATTGGTGAATCAAAGTTACAAATGATTCAGTTGCTGGTTAACTTGTTTCACTTTATTACACAAGTCACTTGATAAGTAAAGAATAAAGATGGATTTCCTTGGAGGCTCAGTCATCAGTAGATCACTTCGTGGTTTATAAACATGCAGGTTAATCATCAAGTATTTATAAACAGATTCCTTTAATACATCACAAGTTAGTGTAGATGATTTGGTGCTTTGGTGCAGTGCAGACGATCAACTAATGAATTATAGAGGCTAGGGTGGACTAAATGGTGCCTACTGTACTAAGGTACTGATAGATTAAATGGTGAATTAAATAGGAACAAAATCACACAAAGCTACAAATTACTAAACAAGTAAATGATATAGGCACTCTCGGAACACTGAGTGTGTAAGAGAGGTAGAGATGTCTCACCAAATGAATCATAATCACATAGGTTGTTTTTGTTACAGTGTTATTATTGCGCCTCAACAACTAAGATCTTCAGCGGGTAACAAAGTTAGTACTTACACTAATCCGACGACAATTAAAATTATGTGATAGAACCTTGTGTTCACAGAGGAAAAGGTGGAACACTTGTTAAAATACTCTTATATCACGTATAGTATATACCGGTATATATCACATAAATAACACATATCACTTGGTAAATTATAAGAATTACAAGCATATTACTCTGAATTACAGAAATACAGGAATCACTCTGAGAATGACGAGAGTTAAAGTGAACAACTTGATGGATTAGATGTGGATCAATTTGGTAGAAGATAAAGGTGCACCTGGATCTCTTGATGGGCAGCTTTATGGATCACGATTAGTTGGTGACAGTAAACATGTTAGAGGAGATGCCCGTCCAGTAAGTATGGTACGTCCGAAGTACAGTCGCCCTGCAATAGACAAAGACCATTGGTTGTAATGAAAAATTATGGATATTGGTGGGTGCCAGTCTCACGTTATTTAATTATTCTAAGAGTCGGCAATCTCACGAATAAATATATAGTACCTCTAATCCATAAATCAATAATTTGTAAATACTGCAAATTTGTCAACAAATTGCCGACAATGAATCGATACATCTGACAAAAATTATCAAAATATTTGTTAGGATAGTTTTGTCAGTAATACAATGCCGGTACATTTTTGGTGAACCTTGACTTGATTACGGAAATCGGCACAAGCCACTAAGCTAGAGACGATACGTTTCGTCTGAGCAATACACCCTGGCCCCCTGGGAAAGATGACAACTCGTAGAAAAAACGACAGAAAATGGGAGAGTTTAAGCAAAGAGTGCTAGTGTGATGCCCTCTTTAAGGGTCAGGTAATATCTTTGTTTTAATAAATATCAGATGATAGAAACAAGAAAAAACTGGAAAGTATTGCCCTAAAAATCACTCGATTTGTATTAGATGCGCTTCTTGCCCACAATTCTCGAACTGATGACGTCACTGCATCTTTGAGACCCCCTTATGAAATGAAGTAACTATACTTTCTAACCATCCACCTCTGACAAAATATACACATAGACTTTTCCATTTTTACAACTCACTTGAAGAAAACTTTTCCACTATAGCCGTACGGTGGCATCCAGAGAAAGTTGATCATCATATGTTTCTTGCTGCTGACGTGAGTTGCAGTGTCATTCTGAGGAGGAAAATTTTAATTATTATCTTGAAGCCGAGAACCTTGTAACACTGGGAAATAGCTCGGACAGACCCAAACTTTCTTTTGTGACCCCATCTCTACAGGTAACACAGGCTGTGCAGATTGTGTGGAACATTTACTTATCCCGGGAAAGTGACTTGAAAATTTCTTGCCTGAATATTTTTGTTCTTATTTACCCTGACAAATTTAGAGGGAATTTCACTTAATAGAGCTTTAAGGTCGATATTGAATTCCTAGAAGCCTTTAATCCCCGTTGATTATTAAAAGGAAAAAATAAACATGCTGAGATGAACTCATTTCCCGCCGCCACTTAAATGGAACACCCTGTAGGTTAAGGCCGAGTTCAGTTGGAGCTGCACTCTGATAGATTTGAGAGTAGCCATACTAGGCTAGGTGTTGTTGTAGACAGCTTAAATCTTCTACAATGTAGAGGAACTAAGCTGGGTGCAATGGCAGCAGCACTATAGTAAACTTAATTAAAAATGTTGGGTAAATCGTTTATGTGACAGTGCTTGGTAAGCGGCGGTACTGAATTAACATCTTAATTTAGCTTCCCTCTTACCCCTCCCCAATTTATCAATACTTAAACAGGTTGTTATGCAAACAGTGTATTGGAAATTGACTACAACGGAAACCCCATGCCCCCACTGCCCCCTTCTCTTACGACCATTACCACAGGCCTGTAAGGACGCGGTGGCTGAGTAGATACAGTGCAAACATCCAACAGTGAATGGGCACCTAACTTTGCGTTTGGGGAAGTAAAGATAATCGAGTGTATCGTCGGTCACATTGTCCCCCTGTGTACTTAAGAAAGAGGCCGTCATGCCAAAGAGACCTACTTACAATTTATTTGTTTGGGATAGCACAAATTTTACCTTTTCCCTTCATTTACTCTTTTTCCTCACCAGGCCTTTGCAGTTCATTGGCTGGGTGATGGTAGAGTTGGTGATGAAAGAGCCGATCGGGTTATCCTCGGTATCATGGACCTGAACCATGAACCCCTCAATCGGTATCGTCCCCACCAGGCACACTGTTGAAAGGTTTTTCTTAATGCTATATTTATACTGTAGGTAAGTTAGTTTTGAAAAATAATTTAACTTTATTTCCTATTACAGAACTATATCCTCATGAAAGGTAATACATTCCTTTACCTGCAATTTTGAAAATGAAATGCAATGCCACTTTTATGTCTGCTATTATTAAAAGTTATAATTCTTTTTTTTCTGCTCCACACTGAATGGGAAAAGTAAACAGAATTTGCATAGCAGGCTGCTCTACAAGAATATATTATTGGGATAAATATTCACTAATTTAACATACATAGCATTTCAAGACTTTAACAACATTGCATTAAATAAATAAATAAATATATATATATATATATATATATATATATATATATATATATATATATATATATATATATATATATATATATATATATATATATATATATATATATATGTGTGTGTGTGTGTGTGTGTGTGTGTGTGTGTGGGGAGGAGGAGAAAGTTGTGGTTGTAATCAACAACTACGTATTTGTATCATTAGTGGGATGCCTACTTTCCAAACAAATGCCAGGGTTCAAACGCAATCAGGAATCTTATATTCGAGCCTCTGCTTGGGAATAAATCCTTGCAATTTGTAAAAACTGAAGAAAATTTGGGAAAATCTTTTCTTTTTTTTTTAGACCAGATATACGCGTCTTATCTGAATACTCAAAAAGTTATTTTGAATAAAGTAAAGTGTGTTCGTATCAATCAATTCAGTTTCATCAAGTCACAGTACGTCATATTATTAGACAGTGCAAATGTGTTATCGAGTTTCAGCAAGTTAAAATTGATCAGAGATGAGAATGTCAAGAATATCAGAATCCTTGCAAGTCCAATAAGTTTAGAATTTGAGCAAATTTTATGAGACTGTTTTACACTCAAATTACTAGGCAGTCAAGAACAGACTTCCAGCGAATTAAAAAATAGTGACAAGTGAAGATTTTTAAATTCATGGTGGTCAAAGTAGCATCAAGTTGCATGAGGCAAAATTATCTAAGATGTTATATAGGTACCAACTGCACATAGGTCAAAAAAGTTCAGGGACATTAAATCTAGAAGGACAGAACTTCATAACTTCATGTCGTTTGTGTTTCGAAATTCCACGAAGAAAGTCTTAAAGAGGCTACTCACTAGGGACTGCTGTGTCCGACCTGACATTGGAATTTGAAATAGTGAGTTGGTAGGGAGGATCTGACGCCGCCTCAGTGAAGGGTACATGCCAGGGAGCCATCCACACACAGGCGCAGTCTGGAATCTTATCAGGGAACATCCACACCACTCCCACCTCAGCCAAACTAAGGAAGGCGAGAACGGTGGCTTGGGTTACTGCTGTGGACCTCATCCTTTAGCTGATGACCAAGGCCACACACAGAAAGTATATCTGGAATTAATGCATGAAACAATCACTCTTATTGTGTAATGTGGGAAGGACAAATGGGAGGTGAATAATGATTTAGTGAAGAACCTAAGAAAAATCAGTGCTAATAAAAAAATTAAATATGGAATAAGGTGAAAGAGAACATTTGGTAATAGTTGTAAGAGTCGCAAATATTATGAGAGTAGATTGCAGACTGAATAGAACGCAAACATTAAGGTTTACATTTGTTTTTTGTCTTTTTTTTTTTACTGAGAACGGCGGTATAGTTGTTTTCTCCTGAGGAATGGGGGAATTTTGCCCAGTGTGATATCCTCTTTTAATGAATGAATTTTTCGATGTCACTGCTGGCACGTTGGAGACGGTCTTAGAAGTCAAGCAGGTTAGGTTTTATTTTTTATGAATTGCTTTTAAAGTTCTTATAAGACTTATTAGTTGAGCTGTTTTATTCACCTTCTTCTCACAATGGCCCGAAAACTTCGGTTAGTTGTCAACATACACACTGTTGTCTTAAAGGCATCTTTTGTTAGGGAATCTTATGTACGAGGTCTAGAGAAATTTTGTATATAATTTGTGGATTATGAAAAAGAATATGATAAGGAAAAACTACTAAAACACCAACCTTATAGACGTCTTCTGAAAAAAAAATAGTGAGGTAAAATTATAATTCCCAAAAAATCTTTACTAGAATTAAAGAGTTGTGACGTTAGTATGTATTAAACCTACTCGGCGGCTTAGTTTCGACTGGGGGAGTTGGACAAGACTGCATTCAACAGCACATAATTACGGGGAATTTAAAATCACTCTGGTAAACACTGTATACTAAAGCTTTCGGTACGCAAGGAGGCAACATGGCCAGTACTGCACTTGACCACTTTCACTTCCACTAGCTGTAAACTTAGGTACCCATTTGCACCTGGGTAAACTGGGAGTGCCCGGGGTTCGAACCACTGAGTGCTGTATCCACTCGACCGCCGCACTCCAGGTAAATAAAGCCTAATTTCTGGGAATTAATCAAATAGTACAACTGAACTAAAATACTCAAAATATGAATTGATCAGAAAGTTATAATGAATATGCAAGAAACTACGGAAAGGTGAAGCAGAGTGGTAGAAGCTGACCTGGAACAGTGGCTGAGCTCTTCACAGCGCCGCCTCCACCAGCAGTTTGAGGCAGCTGAGCTCAGAACTGTGATGACGAATCGGTGGACTCACCCTGTCGTAACAACCTCCTCCCCTTCCTGCTACTTCTTTCTGGATATATGCATCCCAAGGCTTTATTGGTTGTCCTTGGTCAGGTTGAGTTGCCTTTCTGTTTACCATTGTTTGCATTGTTCACACATTGCCTTGTATACCTGCACGGCCTGTGTACATTGTTTACATTGTATACCTGCATTATATACAGTATATGCATGTTAAATTGTGTACCCGCATTGTCTGTATACAAGATGAATCAATTGTAAACTTGTATGACGATTTTATTGAATGAATATCTACTGTATATCTATGTATCTGTCCATCTATCTATCATTTTCCCCTCCCTGCTACCCTCTCCTCTTCCCCTCTCCACTACCATTTCCTCTAATAATACCTCCTCTCTCACATACCCTTCCTACAACCTCTTCCCCCTCTTTCTCCTCCTCCTCTTCCTCCTGCTCCTTCTCCTCCTTCCCCTCCTCCCTCCCTGCTATCTCTTCTCCTCTTCCGCTTCTTGCTGCTTTTTCCCCTCCTCGTGACCTGCCTTGTATCTCCTCCCCTCCTTGCTAACTCATCCCCTCCCTACTACCTCTTCTCTTCCCCTCCTTAATGCCTAACCCCCGATGAGTCACTAAGTGCCAGTGTTGTAGTTAGTATAATGTTATTACTGGCCTCAGCAACGAAGGTCTCTAAGTGCGTAACAAGTTTAGTAATACAACAACGAAAACAAAGTTAAGAGAGATAGAACTCTGTAATAGCGCCAGCGTTACCCTGTGAGTCACTTTTTTGTAAAATTTTCGACACTTAATTTACTAGACGTTCGGCTGGTTGGTGTATCCAGTAATAGTACAGGTGGAAACCAGAGACCGGGAAACCTGTGATGTTTGGTTAAACACCTTTCTAACATTTGTCCGGGCTAACCAGGAATCGAACCCTTGATATTTTGGTAAGGAATACGCGCATTACCGTCCCCCACGTGTTCCACCTATCATTACACCCTGTGAGCCCTCCCATCATTATGCTTAGTGGCTCCATCAAGGCCGTTATGGCATTACAACACCGTTATTACCGTCCGATCAGTTTTCAGCTGATAATATGTCAAGATGGACTCCCGATAGTACTAAAGTATTGTCGGAAGACCATCCTTAAGAGTTTATAAAAAGGTAGAGAAATGAAAAAATAACAAAACAGAATAAAAGACCCGGCAATATATGTTATAATTGTTCAAAGGATTGTATACTAGGGGTAAGGAAAAGCTACTGTCCTGATGATGAGCAAAAACCGACCCTCGTCACGACATTGTGATTCTGTGAAAGAACGCTACACATTCTGCTTCATCATCCTACATCAGTAACATTGGGCCGCCTGTTACCTTGACGATTGTATTACAGGACACCATCGATTTATTTACTTACAATGTTCTTCTCCTGAACCTGGAAGCAAAGCCATTTCCTCGAGTGTAATTTTATGACATGTTAGTAGTGTCAGGATACATTTATTTTATTCGTCGCTGTAAAATACACAAACACGACGCACCATCCCAGTTAGTTATGATGAGGTCCAGCGGTTTGGGTGTTTGCTCTCTCTGCGGTGAGTCGGATCTTTAACATGTTGGAATAGAAAATTGTCTCTCACGGTTACTACGAAAATAGCCGATCAGTGGTGAAGAGGATAAAAGTAAAAGTACACAGGTAAACCAAGAAACGCCAAACATCTTGTCTTTGAACACCTCTCATGAATTAAGTTTAAAGTGATTGACTTTCTTTGGATTGTCTGTAGTTTGTCTTAAAACTCTGAAATACTAAACCACACAATATACCAGACAGATGTGTGGAGACTGTTGGTTTAGTTTAGTCTTGGTCGGCGTTGGTCGTCCTGAGACAACACACACGTCTTCGATAGCGTTGACCTTCGGAATAAAAAATAATAATTTAAAATGTGTTATATCGTTATTTATTATGTTTAATACAGATTTATTTTATTTCCGTTTGTTTCCCGTTTGTTCGTTTGTTTTAACAAGCAAATAAAGCAGGATGAGCAATATATAAAATCCTGGGTGTTTTTGTCACCAGTTGACTGACGCCACTTTGAGACATCCATGACGAACTGTAAGTGATTTGAGGGTTCAGGAACAGCTTTTCGATGCATTAGATTCAGAATCATCCAAAAACGAGCCATTATACGAACTAAAACAATGGCATATAATCTTGTGTAATACATTGATTTTTACTTTATAACTAAAACAGATAAAGACAAAGAACTCTTAAAGCTAAATGTGTGGAGAAACGAATGAGTAAAACAAGACCAAACTCAGTCGTTATAGTACTGGGACTGGGTTTGGCTGGTTTGCTCTAGTCTTGAATCTGCCTCGTTTCGCGGTTTCGGATTTATGAGACTGGCAACAGAGGCCTCTAACATACAAGACAAGATGTACAAACTACACAGTGTCGTCTCTGCCTTCGTGCCGGCTTGATGCACACGATGGCTTATAGACAAACACTCAGCCGACATGAGGTGAAGAGACTAAAATTGACGAGGACTGTTTGTCAGTGCATTAAAGTGTTTGTAAGTGCCGGAAAGTTTTCGTAAGTACAGTACTGTAGGTGAAGTGATCACATATTTCATAACTTGTGCGTAAATAACGTAAAGTGTTTATGTTATGGGTAATTATTATTATTGACGACATACACGTCGCCGAATTTTCATAGAAAATTATTTTAAAACGCAGCAATTTCACTGTATTTTGTGATGGACACTGTCGTAGCTATTTCGAAATTAACAACCTAAGTTGGTAAGAAACACAAGCGGCTGAAACGTTCTTTGAAGACTTCACCAACTAACCCAAGCAAAGAAACCTACTTAACCTTCCTTAACTTCTTAGCTGCCCGGGTGTAATTTTACGTGTTTTTTTGTTTGTTTTTGTGTGTGGACGTGATCGAAGCCGCTCGGACCGAACGTAGTGCCGTCATTATGAGCCTTGGTCTGATAAAATGCCATTAAGTCTTATAAGTGTTGAATAATGTAATAAGTGTTGCACAATAGAAAGGTGCTGTGAAGTATCCTAAGGTGTCAAAATGTCCTGAAGTGTCATGAAATGTCTGTGTCCTAAAGTGTCTTCAAGAGTCCTTAAGTGTCCTAAAGTGTCACTGCTCGGAAGTGCCGTGTACAGTACGTATATACTTTTAGAGTGTCAAAGGGGCATAAAGTCTCGAAGTCTCGAATAGTTATTAAGTGCCCAAGCAACATATAATAGTGTCATACGGTGGCGAAAAGTGTCGTAAGGTAATATTAAGTGTGGTAAAGTGTCATTGATGTTGTAAAGTGTCAATAAAATGCCATTAATGCTTTAAAGTGTCGTAAAGTATCATTAATGTCATAAAGTGTTACAAAGTGTCTTGAATTAACGCAAGGTGTAAAGTGTGTCATGGAATACAGCAAGGTGTCAAGTGCCACGAGGTGTCATAAAATTGTCAAGACGGTGCCATGGGGTGACCCTGTACGGCACCAGAGTTCCCGCGACCACCAGCACAAGGTAACAACTAATAACACTACTGTTGTGTTCTGGACATTTTGAACAAATTTGTCATCCAATTGGCCATAGTTGTTCCTGTAAGTTAGGTGCAAGTATTCACATAGGTGTGTGTGATCGACGGCAGGTAATCTCAACTGGATATTTCCTTTTCTTTTTCTAGGTGAGTTAAAACAGCTGTTCGAGGGACATCAATACACCATATCTCAGGTACGTCCAAGTTATCATATTCATTGATTATCGTCTTATTCATCAGCTAAGTCTGGAGTCTTTCACATCCCACAACAGTTTTAAATGAACGTCACGCTTTTCCCCTCCATCTTTGAGGACGTCGGTGTCCCTCGCTTATCAATGAGTCAACGTGATGCCCCACTCGTTCATATGGTCGTCGGATCCACTCCTTATCCTTACACCGTCTTTATGGTCCAGTCGCTGTCTATATGAAAGTCTCTCCCTTTCCCTCTCATTGGCTATGAGGGTACCTGAGTCCTCTCCTTCCCAGTCCCACCTTCTTCCCGTCAGAGCCTCACCTCTTAGTAATAACAGGTCCCAATCCCAGTAAGTACTAATTCTAGTGTATTAGTGTGAAAGCGTAAATTATGGCAGGGTCTCACTGGGCAGTACTGGACGTGTTAATAGTTCAGTACTTCAGAGAATAAAGTTTTTGGGGCGCAAACTAATCAAAATGTTTCACTATTTCTATTGTAAGGTTTTAATGGATTAAATATAAACATCATGAGGAATGGATTAAAAATTAACATCATGAGGAATAAGTTTTCGGGAAGAAATGACAAAAAATACATTTTGAAATGATTAACATACAACATTATTGAATTTATATTCAGCCAGCAAGCCACTGTAGTGTGAAGGGAAGTCCAGAAGAGTAAGGTCCAATCCCAACTACAATAAACACAGGCGACTAGGGTTGCTAAGTGTCGGAAGGAATTGAAATAAACTTAAATGCCACAAAGGTATTATTTCATTATATTTTTATCCTCTTCACCACTGATCGGCTCGTTAGCCGCTTGGGCGATCGGTCACGTCTCTGTTACGCACTGTTGGCAAGTACTGGGCATGCACCGGCTCCTGAATGTACCTGAACCTGCTCCTGAATGTACCTGAACCTGCTCCAGTGTTGGTCCAGTCTGGTGTTGAAAGAGCTCACACTCGGTGCCGCCACAACACTTTCTGGTAGATTGTTCCAAGAGTTCTTCTACTTTACTTTTATCCTCTTCGCCACGGCTCGAAAAAGTTTGCCCTCACAGCTTTCTGGACTTGTGGCTTCTTCAATCTTGAGCTGTGACCCCTTGTGGGGCGAGCGTCCGCCAGCTCCAAGTAAGGACACTCGACTGAGTAGTGCCCCTTGAGATGCTTATACACCTCAACTAGGTCCCCCCTTGCCCGTGCAATTTTCCTTGACCTCCAAAGGATCAAGACGTATCTGGTGCTGCTCTGGTGGCTACCAAGTCAACTGTTATGTTGGCACATACCCCAACTCCCTCCCCTGAACCTCTCCTCCCCACTGGAATATCAGCAAGTTCTCGCCAAAAGTTACATTTTCATTTCGGAAAGGAGTGGAACCTGTGTTGAACGGTGATGAACAGTGCTTAAGCCAGTATAAACAACGCAACAGTAACAGCTGAGAGGCGTACCCAAGTTAACTTTCGCACAGTGAGGTCCCTGGTACCCGGTGAGAACTGCCCATGAAACCCAACAACAAGCAGCGATGTTTTTAATCCGTCCACGATAGGGAGGCCTGGGACCCCACCCGATTGTACACCACCTCGGCGAGTGAGGTGACCCTGTGACACTTTGACACTTCATAGTGAATGAGTTGCTACAGCATCAAGTTTGGTTCCCCACAATACCATCTGTGAGGGAATTAGTACACCAAGTGAGGTCCCTCTTAACTACACCACGTGAGGTCCCTCATAACATCATTTGTGAGGGAATTACTACACTACATGTTTGCTGTTCAACGCCTCCGTGCATGTGACCTCCATTGTAAACATTAATTTGTATGTTCATTGTATGTTCCTTTACTTTTCTCTTATGAAAGCTTTTGTTAACTCGGCCCCCACCCCCCCATGTCAGTGTATGGAATAAGTCATGTATATGTCCAATGTATATTTTCAGCCTTTGGACTGCTTAACTTTTTCAATAAACCGTTAAGTATTATTATTATTATTATTATTATTATTATTATTATTATAATTATAATTTCAGCTCCCTACAGCTGAAGACACAGTGCAGAGTCTGCCAAAGGCTTCAGGTGCACATCTGATCCGATGTTGAATCTCTTCATTGATATCCGTGTTGGTGGACAGGTGGGAGCCAGGGTACTGAAAGTGGGTAGCATTAGTTAAGCTGGAGGGATGGTGGAGATGTGGTTGAACCAGGGGCAGGCTGAAAGAGAATCTGAGTTTTATGTGCATTCACCTCAAGTCCGAAGTGTGCATACTCATCTGTGTAGGTGTTCAGGATCTCCTGTAAGTCGCGTTCAGTGTGAGCGACGAGGATGAGGTCGTCTGCATACTGAAGTTCAGTGATGGAAGCTGCCGACACTTTTGTTCCTTCCTCGAATCATCTTATGTTGAAAAGTCCCTTCATTGGGTACTAGATGTCCACCCCGCCAGCTAAATTGGCACTGGCTCAAGTAAGGAAGGCAGCCAAGAAAATGGAAAAGAAAATTGGTGCTAGTACACATCCTTATTTTACCCCCGTTTCCTCTTTTTCTCAAATATTCTCCATGAGAGTGGAGACGGCTGGTAAGAAGAGGTCCTTCTGCTTTATACACCTCGGCTGGGATTCCTTCAAGCCCTCATCCAGGAATGGAGGATAGCTGAGATAAGTCAGCTCTGGGTGCTGAGGGACCTGCTGGGTAATCAGGACATCCACATAGCTGTTACGGTTGAGCAGTGAATGGCAGTGCGGATGCATTCTTCGTCTTTAATTAGGGAGTTACCGTCGGGTGAGCGGAGGGGGAGCCACGCCATGAGAGAGTTGGGCCATATACTGTTTAAGCAGAATTGAAAAATTCAAGCATCTTGTGTTGATCCGCAAACTTTTACATTTCACACGCTATATTTTTGCACCATTCATTTGTTAGTTTGCAAAGTTTGCACTGGGCCACTGCTTTCTTCTCGTGGATGGTATCAGCATTGGTCCGAGACTTAGGTTGTTCTGCCAGTCAATGAGAGCAGCGCGTTTACTATTGACGAGTTCAGTACTTCGATTTTTGGGTAGTCTTCATTGAACTAATCCTGGTGTTTTCTTTTGATCTGGCTGAAGGTCTCGTTGTAGATTTTGTGATGACAGCTTTGATGGGGCCCCATACGGCACTCGGATTTTGGTTGTTTGTTGTTGGGTTCTATATCAGCTCATCGTTGAGCTGCTTTCTGAAAGCATGTGCTGCTGCTGGATCCTCCAGTTGCTTAGTATTAAAGCCTCTTCTGGAGGCTTGTTGCCTTCGCTGTTTTGGGGTGACATGAAGGGAGAGTTTAGCTCTGACCAGCCGATGGTTTGTGTCACAGTAGTCTGAGCCACGCATGGCACGGGTGATGAAGACATCTCGGCGATCTCTATCTCGGAGAATGATGTAGTCAATGAGATGCCAATGTTTGGATCGTGGGTGTTGCCAAGAACCCTTGAACTTGTCGGCCTGCCTAAACATGGTGTTGGTTATAGTGAGGTAGTGTTCAGCACACTTGTGAAGGAGTGGGCCACTGGGGTTAAACTTGCCTTCTCAGTTTCTCTCTATGGTTCCTTGCCATATGTCAGCATCTATGCCAACAACAGCTGGATGATTTTGCTTTATCATTGCCTGAATGATTTCGCAGCACCATTAGCAAGAAAGTTGTGACAATGTCATCATTGAAAAAATAAATGAAGATTGAGAGCACACAAATATATGACATAAATCTTATCTACCCACGAATCATTGGCCTTCAGTTACCTTGTACTGTATGACGATAATGGAGAGATGTGTATCACCCAAAAAATATAAATCATACTGTTATGCATTGCCACTTACCCATGGCTACCTTCAGTTCAATTGATCATATAACCTCTTCACAGTACAATATATATATGCACAGTATGTTACTGTGCATGACAAAATGTTGCGTGGCTGAAAAACCTAATTGCGTGGTGGACTGTGTGACGGGTATAAATGTGTGAAGGGCTGTGTGGTTGACAATTGTAAGAGCTTGGTGGAGTAGCGTGGTGAGAGGAGTGGTTTACACACTGATCTCGTCAATTTCAAGCATTTAAAATAACATTTGATTCTGTTAATATTTATTAATTTTATAATTCTATGTGACAAATCTTATTGCCTGAAGACTGGACATTAGCTGGTCACGTCCATAGCGTCACCATAGAAACAGATGCACCACCTCCCACATCACCACCCAATCATCATTACCACCTTTCATTCTATTCTTTCAATGATGAAGAGATGGATTCCCCTCATCAAAAGCAGAGCTGTATGACATTACAGTACTGCCAGTCCCCCACCACCTGCCTACTGCCTCCACCGTCCAGCACTGCTTACCACCGTCAATGCTCCCTCTCATAACTTTCATTATAGCTCCTACCACTAATTAATGGTATTTATAATACAGAGCAGTGGTTCATGTGTATATTATTGAATAAAGGTAGTACAACCACTATAACAAAATGTTCCCAACACCCAAATTGAGGTAGGAAATAGAGCTTCCTCAACACATTTCATCATTTACTATGGTTTAATGACCTCTATTAGAGCTAATTCACTTAAGACAGTGGTTCTCAACCTTGTTTGCCCCATGCACCCCTTTCACCATATGTCAGAATGTCATTCCCCCCTCCTTTCCAAGATTGTCTGCCTCAAAAAGTGCATTCCAAATAATATGCATATAATACTGAAAATCCTTTATTTTTTCCATATTAGTATCAGTTTCCCCTGAAAACCTGAGGGGGGAAATTCCCCCCTGGTTGAGAACCCCTGACTTAAGAGATCTATTATATAGGAACTTATCTAGAGCTACCGTATAAGTGGGGTATTGCTGGACTGTCAAATGAGTTCAGTGCGAATTGACTTATAGTGTCCGAATTAAGCAACATATGAATGCTTGCATTCGCATTCATCCAGATTGACATCTGTCATTCGGATTAAGTGATATGCAGATAAAATCAGGGTCCAGATTAGCGAGGTTTGTCTGTAATATAAAAAAATAGTGCAGTAATTAAATACATTATTTTTATTTACAGGGTAATTTACACATGATCATTGCTTTATATTTTTTGCATCAGTAGTTACTTAGTGTGGTAATCAAATGCAGTCTCCTATGCAGAGTCCTACACCACACCCCTTGCACCATTTACTGACATGGTGTCATATGGTGGCAACCACACTGAGGGAGGCATAGATTGACACCTCGTTGCCATTATGATGCAGCTCTGCTCAAATTCTAGGGTTGCCTGATTAGGAATATTCAATCTGTCTATCATACAAAAACAGAGTGAGTTACTTTGGTGAACTTGAGTTATTTCTTGACATTAGATTTGTATGTCAATCCCATATAACTGATTTGCCAATGAGATTCCAAAGGGTGACCAAGACACAACTCATGCTATTAAAAGGAAAATCACTTTACCCTGTGAGAAAATGCAATGACTATCTGCCTGAGAATGTGAAAATCTTAACATTAACAAAGACAAGTATGAAAGCAATTATTTTGTCCTAATCGGAGTATGCGGAGGCACAACAAATACAGTATACTGTACTCACATCCGGAGTAAACAAAGCTGGGAAAGAAGCATGGATTGCTGTTGTGGTCAGTACCGAACTCTGTTTTAAACAAATAAGATACAGGAGAGATGTGTACTGCTAATGAGGCAATGACTGCTCTATTTCAGACCTATCGCCTATGTTTAAGATCTTTATTTGGGACCTAGTTGTAGGGGATGAGTACAGTGCATTATATCTAATCTTTTGGTTAATCGTTAGCCAATATACTGTATTGTTAGGTGTTGGTTAGGGTTCTAATGTCAAAACACAGCTGGATGAGTAACACTTCTGACAGTCTGGTTGTAAGGTCATACTCTAATACACGGCAATGGTAATATTCAATAGTGGGCGTGGGATTTTTATTGGTATCAATATCCCCTCAAAATTCATTAAATGTTCATGCATAAGGAATAAAGTTTTAAAAATTTATTTCTTACAGATCTATACACATTACACATCCTAAATTTTGCATTATCAACAGAGCCAAGGTATACCTGCCCAAGACACAACTTAGAGATAAGCTAAGTGAAACAGAGGACACGTTAAGTATATAATGAATAATTATTTAATGAAACATAGTACCCTAACATCATTAACAGGATGATAGCAAAAATAGAAATTACTGCTAATGTTTTTCAAATAACATGAATGAAAACTAAAACAAATTGTCTGTCACATCGTTTGTCATGTTGCTTGACATAGAACCTTGCAAGCTACTAGACATAAGGCTTTGCAAGTTACTTGTTAAGTTACTTGGCATACTCCCTGCCATATTAGGTGGGGAAACAGGACTTGGGGGGTTGGAAGAACCCGAACTAAGATTTTCTTCCTGTATGAACTTATCAAGCTTATCCAATTTATCTTTGTGCTCATGTTTATGCTTCTTATGTTTCTTGTGCTTCTTATCCTTCTTCTTCTTCTTACTCTTATGCGACTTGTTGCCATGTGAGTCGGCACTGCCTGTGCGGAACATGTCTGGTTCAAAACCTGTGAAGAAAGCAGCTTTGTAAGAACAAGGCAACGGTAGTTTAAATATTCCCTGCTCCATCCTTAAAGGTAGGTAAGAAAGATGTATGGACAGATGATTGCATTACAAGGGGAGGGGGAGGGAGGTGAATGAGGTGCAGTCAGCTGTGCATAAATATTTATATTTAACACTTAGGACACATTTTGTTTCCAAGGATTATCAATTCTTCAGTAAAATATGAAAATGGTAACTGTTTTTCTTTTACTACTTTTATATCAAAGCCAAACTATAACGTCAACACAGCTGGCATTAATATTTCTTAAAAACATCTGCCAACAGGGGAAAATATAAAGAAAAATTAAAATTGGAGTACAGTATTTATGGATTACTCATTTTATGTTATAAAAATTAACCAATGTCAAAAATACCTAAAATTTATTAATCTGTCATTTGAAACAAATATTGGGAGAAAAAATTAAATGACCAGATTTAATTAAATGGATGCTTAACAGTAACACTGCTAAAAACATGCAGCAATATAATATAAAAGTATTCATAGATTTCTTATTTGATGCTATAAAAATTTGCCAAAAACTTTATCAAATGATATAAAAAATTCTTAAAACCATTATACTCTGATATTAGAAGCAACCTTTTTCTTTATGTACAGTACCTCTGAAATATAATATTCTTTTACACTCTATTTAAGGTAAAATTTCATCACAAATATTTTGTTATGTCCTTTGAATATTGTTAAGTAATAAAGGAAGAAATATCTCAATATTAATATTATTATCGTGTCTTTGCTGATGTTACTGACCAGGTCAGTGACCTAGAGTCACAGGTCATTCAGGTCAGTGCAGGTGCAATCAAGTCAGTGCAGAAGTCAACCAGGTCAAGATTTTAAAAAATTTACTTGTTTTCTGTAACTGGCATAAATTAATGCACTGATCACTGACATATTGGTCAGTAACATTGGCACAGACATAATTACACAGTGCCACTTGTCAGGTCAGGTTAAGAATTGTGCCGTCGTCACAATACAGTACTGTACAGGTATACAGTAGACCCTTGCCAACCGTGGATTCCATGTATCCACGGTTTTCACTCTGTATACCATTTCGGCATTTAGTTTAATGTATCCGCGGATTAACAAGGCGTCTTTATCCCTCCACAGTTTAATGTATTTCTCTGTGCTCTCTCAGTGTTGTGATCTGGTAGTGTGCTGATGTACTGTACCGTCCCGTATTCTTTCACTTATTTTCTTCTGTAATAACATTGATTTAGCTCTTAACTATGGCCATTAAGCACTCATTGGCTGTTAGTGATAAAGGTGAAAAGGGCAAGGAACATAAGGACATTAGAAAAGAAAGTTGAAGTGTTTGATAGACTAACAAGTGGAGAGAGTATAGCATCAGTGAGATGCACTATGGGGGTAAACGAATCCTCAATTCATACCTACCATCAAAAAAGTGAGGCAATGATAAGGGCAAATGTTGCTGGTGGCACATCAAAAAGTGCAAAAGTGAAGTACTGTACAGAATTTGACTCAAATTTAATCAAATGCAAAGTCAAATAAAAAAATATCGCGCCTCTGGGGTCTGTTGGAACTCGGAATGAGCAAATACCTCGACCACTCATGGTATATGTGTTAGCTTGGCATACCAGCATTTTCTAAACATTTCAACCTGTGTTCCAGAATGCAAAGTACGAAAAGCAGCGCAAAATTTTTTTTTTGTTGACTGTACAATACAGGTATTGTTTAGCGAAGGAACAGTCAACTTAGTTCAGCTTTGATGAGTATTATCCGCAGCCATAGAACTAAACCCCTATTTCCCATAAACCTTTAGTCTTGCCAACCGCGGGGTTTTTAGGAACCTAACCCCTGCGGTTGGCGAAGAACTACAGTACCTGTCTATTTTTTTCTTTAACTGTGGCTCGACCTGAGGACCATTGAATCCCCAAAGGTCACTCCCAGAGTTTGACCATCACGGTCCTCAAGGAAAGTTCTAAGATTATAAGTGACTGGGACATCAGAAAGTAACAATGAAAATTGGAGATTGAAAATTTTCAGAGAAGAAAAATCTGCAAAGCTAATAAAGTAAAAAAAAAAAAAAAATACCATGCAAACCATAGTTCCGTATTCTGGTGAAATACTGGGCATGGAGATAGGCCAAGAGATAATAATCAAATTTTTAAAACAATTTTAAAGGAAATGTGAAACTGGAAAAATAGATAATTATATGCAAGTGAAAGAAAGAGAAAAGGTAATAGTTAGGAGTCAAATATATAGCATTCACATGTGTCGGTAATGGGTAAGATACCCGGTAGGTCTACGACCTAGATTTCAGACACGGAGGGGGAATAAGTGCTGATATGAGCCATGCATTAGGCATGACCCTATTAGCAGTTAGATCATATGAATTAATGTGCTTTTCAAGCCAAGATGCTTAGGATTCAGAGTACTGTACTTTATTTACAATTACTCATGATCAAAAAATGAACAGCCAAAGTAGCACTGATGAAGATCTAAGGTTTACGTACACCTACTGACCACGACACTGCTGGCTGGTTTTGCTGAAATAAAATACATTGTACAGTTCTGCTTAGATTTTCAAAGTTCTTCAACTGAATTTCATGGACTAAAAGAGGTTCTAAATGCATTCTTGAGCATAAAATATCTTCTAAGTTCTGGTACCTAAATGGTTTCCAGAATCCTCATTCAATTGGTTTGATGAGCACAAAGCTTTTGTAAATACCAATTGTGACTGTATGTTAAAAGAATAATTTATGACCATGTGGAAATACTGTAAGTTTAACACTGTTAACTTTTATATTTTGGTTTCCAACATGTTCTTGGTGCAGTGATGGAGCATTTGATCATAATGTGCAAACAAGTTGATCTAAGCAAGTTAGAGACCAAGGTGGTCACAAAGTTACTACAGACTGTTAAGAAACTGTAATACAATTTCAATGAATAGAAATTATGGTATGTAATTGAACATTATCTTACTTGACTGGAAAACCTCGGTGGTTGTTTGCATATTCTACACCAAAAATAGAAGAGAAGAAGACAGGCACTTGATCCAAAAGTTTATTTGATGCTTGTTATTACCCTGGTGGTATTTGAACATAGTGCAATACTGTATTAAAAAAAATTCTAAGCAGTCTCACTCAAATTCAACATATATAAACAGCAAATCAAATAACAACCACTCAGTCATTTCTAATACAGTACATATTGTTATACAGGAGCCCCTGTGTCTCTGATACGAGTCTCTCTATTTTTGTAAATGAGTACGTTAGGTCTAATGAACTACCGAACAAACGTGCTTGAACTGCCGGCTGGTAGTTTTATTTAGTTTACAATGTTGCAGGTCTATTACTGCTATTTATCTTTTCTTATTACATATTAATATTACAGGACTAACCCGGTTATCACAAAGGATCTTTCCTAAAAGTCATTCTGAATAACAAATTTGTGAATATCAGGGCAATTTTCCCCATAAGAATCAATGTAAAGAAATGAGGATGCACTCCAACGGGCAAGTTTCACCACATATTTTTCAATATACAGTACAGTACATTCCTCATTTTCCGAGGCTATTAGGGACCAGGGTCGCACGTATACTGTAGTACAATACCAGTAAATGTGTGGAATAAAAATACTAAATAAAATAAAATAATAAAAATACCGCTTTGCCAGTTGGCAATAGTTTCATTACTCGCAGGACATGGAAGACTGGAGCGGCTGAGATCCCCAACTCTGCTCCCTCCTCCTCCTCCTCTCCTGATCCACGTGCTAACTTCTGTGCACATAAGAAATATTGATTTCTTTTATGTTTTTTACTTTATGATAATCATATTTTTTTGGGCACAATCTCTATGAACGATTGTGTGTCCATGTAACAGAGTAACAAGAGAAAAAAGAAAATTATGTACATCTACCAAAAAAATACGAGTTGAAAAAAATAACAGTAATTCAGCTCACCTATTTTTGTTGGTAATCACGCCTAGGAGGTTGACGCACATTCACAACCAAACCATACACCAAAAAATATATAACTAAATCCCAAATACCCATAACAAAAGAAATTTTGTGCTCATACAGTAGAATTTACCTGTTGCACCTCCATGTGCATCCTGACTATCACCAGGGAGTGAAGTGGTGGATTCTGACATATCACCCTCAATGCTTGGTGTCACACTGGGAGTTGGATAACTTTCAATATGTTCCTCAAATACTTCAATATCTTCCTGTAAGTAAGAAAAAACAGTGTTTAGATCTATATAACAAGGCTCGGTACTTGGAGCATTAATACAGTAATATCTCCGTTAGCCAGAATCCCTCAAACCCGGAACTCTCTGATAGCCGGAATTGAAATTTTCTCGGAAAATCGTTCCCAAAGCCACAATTTTCCGGAAAATTCCGGGGATGGGGGAGCTTTTTCCGGGTTTGAGAAATGAAAATCGGACTCATTTTCTGGAAATTCCGAGAAAATTTTTCCGTTACCCGGAAAATTCCAGGATGAGGGATTTTTTTCCGGCTTTGAGTTAGTTGTCTCGTTACCCGGAAATCTCTCATTCCCTGAAGTGCTCTGCACCAATTGTTCTGGCTAACGGCAATATCGCTGTATTTATTATATACATAAACGACAGATATTGGCGTAGACAGCAACATAATTAAATTTACTGGTGACACTAAAATAGGGCACGTAATTAAATTTCACAAGGTCTCTGCAAACCTACAGGATGATGTAAACAGAGAAACCAGTTATCAGATGAGCAACGTTATTATAGAGAAATCTGATTGAGAGAAAGATTTAGGAGTAATGATTAAAGTAGGAATCTTAAAACAAGTCAACAATGTGTATTTGCTCAAAACAAGGCTAAGAAAGCACTTGGGTTCATACAAAGGAGTGTTAGTTACAAGGCTAGGGAGTTTATCCTAAAACTATACCTTGTGCTCGTGAGACCTCACTTGGATTGCGCAGTTCAGTTTTGGTCACTGTACTACAGAATGGATATAGAATCCCGAGAAAAAATTCAGATGAGAAGGACAAGACTAATCCCAGGCATCAGGAACCTTGAGTACAGAGACAGGTTAAAGCATTTTAATCTGCACTCCCTTGAGAGACGTAGAGTGAGGGGCGATGTGATCGAGGTGTACAAATGGAAGTCAGGGCTAAACAAAGGGGACATTACAAAGGTACTCAAAACTATTCAACCAGGAGCAAACTTGTAGCAAATGTTTTAAATAAGACAAATTTAGATTTAGGCACGAGATAGGTAAACATTGGTTAGAAAATAGAGTAGTGGATGAGTGGAACAAGTTACCAAACATCATCATTAACTCGAATACGCTGGATAGCTTCAAACATAGGTTGGATGGATATATGAGCAATTGGGGTTGGGTGCAAATGGGACTGCCCAGTATGGGCCAATAGGCTCGCTGCAGTTAACTCCATTCTTATGTTCTTAAAAATTTAGATAAATTGCATAAATATAATGTGTATCTCTCTATTAACCTTTTAGGAACTCGATAAGATTTCAGAGTGGTTCCCGAAAAGATTGAATTATCCATCAACTTAGCAAAAACATAAAAGTATCAGCCATTTTTGAGTCTACATAAAGCAAAAATATTTTAGATATCAAAACTCAACTCTTCTCTGACTAATTCTCCACATAGTCCCTCAAGGCTAAAATAGACACTTGACCTTTCAGCTGTCTGTTACTTTAACAATTCTTCAGTTTCTATTTGACACTCAATGATAAACAGTCGTGAGGAGAACTTTCATATATTTCAGATGCAACTCACCTTCACAATTGGTTTGCTTTCTTCAGTAAAGATGACTTCAACAGGCATTTCTGCAATTTCTGTCTTCACTTCAACCTTAGGTTCTAATAAATCATCAATTGGTGCCTCTCGTTTGACTGGTAGCACTGTTTCCTCCTCCTTTATCTGAAAGTTGAACAAGTTAGTCAATTCATGGGAATTCTACTTAACCGGTAATGTTGATCAATACATGTGCAGACAATAAAGCGATGCTACAATAAGGCTACATTCATTTTACCGCAAAGGTGTTAACAAAAACATCTGACAGTTGTTGGGGAGAGAGGTGGGAAGAGTCCAAAATAGGGATCATATTGGCCCAAACTAGTTCATAAGTTAACACAGATGATGATAGAACAATACATCATTTCTAATACACTGAAGCTTTTGACAAGGCAGTCCATTCCCCCCTCCACTCTCAGTACAGCATAAAATTAAAATCTCAAACTACAGTAAAACCCTCCCAAGTCGGACTGCCAGAAGTCGGAAACCCTCATCAGTCAGACTAGGGTGTGTGGGTCTGCCATCACTCGCCCTACACTTCAGTCAGAATTGGTGGTAACTGTACAGATAAATACTGTACAAGTGAAACTACAGTTAAGTAAGTTCAAGTGACCCTCTTTGTCCTCCAACTTAAGATTCATCAAGATTTGTCTACTATAATACAGTAATCTCAAAATTCTTCTGCTACAATGTAAGTACATTGTAAATAAGTAATGTTAAGTGTTAACTTTAACTTTGTTTTTGGATGTAATTTTTCAGCAAAATGGTGGTTGAAATTACCGAGGAGGAGGGGGGTCTTACTGTATATGGGGTAGACACCTGTTCACAAATACGAAAAGTTCAGCTTCTGTTGTCCAGCCAAATGGGAATAGTACAGTATTTTGATTTGATTTATTTATTGGAATGATTCTTATTTATTCTTAACATTTACTGGTACTGCATATATTATTTCAGTAAAATCACAATATCTTGAATCTTGTTGGATATGTACTTGTTCTCTCTCTGGATGTGTATACAGTTCTAACTGTGTTCAAGGCTTCAGCCAATTTCTTGACACAAAGCATGGGAACCAATCCCTGTTTGACACATTAAGCTTAACTAACTTATTAGTTTAATGTATACTCGTCTAACTCGGTGCTACTTCTTATTAATTACTAAGATGCAATAGTAATCGATTATTAGTTTATACAGTATGTTGAATATATAAACTAATTTACTAGATTTAAAGTAAATAATGAGAATAAACAACTCGTCTTAACCTTGTGAAACTATCTGATGGCCACTTATGTTCATCAGACTAATTATCTTCTGTATAATATTAATACACCATCACCACTATTTATATTTTTATAAACGTGAATCATGGATTATACAAATCATTTTAAGAAATCCATTATTTACCCGACAACAAGCCTATTTACATTAAATTCACACAAAACCACTACCCTAACATACATAGGTGATCCAAGGCTCTGCGGGTCAAGCTGCTATGAGGTTTTATCTAGAATTAAAGATTATTACGTGGGATTATACAAAATAATTTCCACGGTTTTGCTCTCGGCTAAACTCTGCAGTCTTCTCCATTAAAAGGATGACTTCTTACTAGAAGAATATTCTTCAGGACCTCAGCATGAAGGAGAAGGAAAATCTTATTGCAAATTTCTTCAGTTTATAACTCTCAGTCACATGTTGGGGCCACAAGGCCTAGTGATATAACTTCTCTGTTACTTGATGCTGGCCAAGGTTATATTTAATAAGATATAAGGAAGCAACAATCGGTGAACTGGATGCAGAACCCAGTTGGACTGGTCACCCTGCTAAGTCTGATGATATTCTCTACTCAAGGCTTTCAATACCACAGCCCTTTGCTGTTCACATCTCTTTAATTATCTTATAACAAACTTACCAGAACCTTTCTTTTGATATATTTCATTGTTTATAATGTACAGTTGGTCCTCATATTACGCGGTTAATGTAACCCGGAGGGTACCGCGGAAAGTGAGAAACGCGTAAAGTGAATAACATAACATATGGGATTAATTGAAATGGAGTCCGGGCCGATCCCCAAACTCCACTTTTTGACGACACACAACTATGTTGTAGTAAAAATATTATCTTAACTTTATGATGGCATGCACACACAATTAATAATTAAGAGAAATATCAATAATATTAGGTTTTTTAACACTTACATTAGTAGAAAAGATGGCTGGGCACACGGGGATGGGCGGTTGGTTCCGAGGCAGAGGGCAGATTATTGGCCCTCACCTGTATCACTTGTATCAATTGTATCACTATCCACCACAGAGGCTTGCAGGGCCTCTTTGTCAAACCCCCCAAAGTTCATATAAGTCCATATCCTCACTATAATTATCACTATCACTGATTTGGGCCGGCTGTAGTGGGTGGCGGGTGAAGAACTCGGTAATGTTTTGATGACTGGGCGACCTTGTGCGCACCATTTTCGCGCCTCTTACACAACATGGCGGATGGCGGGAGGTTTGGATCCAAAAATGGCCCGGCTTGCCAGCCGCTCTCCGCGTAATGGGGTTCACGACCGCGGAATGTGAAAATGTTAGGTTCTGGCAAGGCACCGCGTTAACGGTGAAACGCGGAATGCGGGACCGCGTAATATGAGGACCATATTACATATGGTACACATTAGGTACAAAAAATGTAGCTAAGATGTTTCAGAGAAAACCTCACTTACATATGTTTACAAATCTCTGGTTAAGTATTCAATCACTTTTCACTACAATTTTTACAATATTTCTACATTTCCCATTATCATTCTGAATAAATGTGAGACATGATGGAGATACTGTAAAATCATATTTACAATTCTGTAAAATGTTAAGTGTTGAAAGAGAAATTATCCAAATGATACATTAAGTGGTCATTAGTTTCTGCAACGGACATTGTAAAGAATGCAAACACAGTTAAGAATTTACAATTTGTTCACTTCCTACCAACATTATGAAACATATCTTATGGAATACCTTTCAAACCATTGATGTTATAATTTTCATAAAAATAATTTACAGAATATTCTCCAGTCCATCATATGATTGGTGTGGATTATGCACCTTTTTTATTAAAATTCAATGGGAAGTGAATTGATGAACAGGGAGATGGAAATCCACACACTGGATTCAATCTACTGTAGTTAGTTTCTGAGGTAATTATACCACTCTATTTGGAGAAATACAATTGTTTCCGAGTCAAAACAAGGGAAAAGGAAAAGCTCTTCTATCAAATACATTTGTTACTTGGGTAAGAAATATAAGTGGAAGAAAATATTATCTCATTATCATGAATAAATAAACCACCTCCAACTTACTATGATTGGAGCTTGGATGGGAGGATGCGGAGGTTTACGGAGATTTAGTACCAGTGCAGGCTCTGAGGCTGGAATACAAGCGGGTCTACGGCGTCCATACAAGGCATAGTAGAGATCCATTACAGCACATCGCACTCGGGAATCACATGGTTGTCCAGAGCTGAAAGAAAGTTTTTTTTTATCACCAGTATGTTAACAGAAATTGTTTATACTGTACACTAATCCCTGAATATTCACAGAGATGTGTTCTAAAAATGGCTGCAAGTCTAGAAATTTACAAAATCCATTAACATAAAGTAATTAACCCTTGTTTATGCAATACTTTTACAAGTACTGTACTTTATATTTACAAAATTAAAAAAGTGAATTAAACAGTTTCTTTTTAATTCAACCCCTTTAAATATCATACACCTGAACAGTATATATTAATGTAGTAAATATATGGTAAAAAGTATAGTAGTAACCTCCAGGGATGAAAGAGTTCCAGGGAACTAGACGACTTTCTCAAGCCGGGAAAAATCCCTTATCCCTGGATTTATTTTTTATTTTTGCAGTTACTGGGAAAAGTTTGAGTTCTGAACTATGCATCTTGCACAGACAGACACTAACCCACATCCCCAGAATGTTTCCTGGTGCTGGGGAAAGTTTCCGAAAGTCTAAACTACACATCTCATCTTGACTCTGAACTATGCATCTCACCTTGCACAGAAAAACTCTCCCATTACATCTAGACCATGGGCACAAGTAAAACTATTTATGGCTTGCAAAAAACTGTATAAACTTTTATTCACAACAATTGTTCTAAATGTGTTAGAAAAATGAATTTGATACCATTACATGAAGACAAGTACTGTAGTGTACTGCACTGTACACTCGTCACTTACACCACCACCACACACAGTCACTCATCCAGTTGCTTGATTGTCCAGTTTCTTCCCATTTACTGCAATATGCTGTTAATGTACAAAAAAGGTGCAGAGTTGTAAGAGAAAGTGTGGAATCTGGAAGTGAAGAAAAGTTTGGAAATGTGGAGACTAATGGCAATGTAGTCAGCCGAGATGAATTGGCCAGTTGGCTGGTGCTGGCAGTGTTCAGCCAGGAGTAGTGATTGTCATACAACCATTTTGTGCCTCTTTGACGACATTTATTTTATCCACAGGCTTTAACCCCTGGTGGACACACTATTCTGGATATATCTCACAACTGTTGTGATATATCTCTCATGGGTAAAATTTTATTTTCCCATGGTTAGCATTTGCTGAGCATCTTTGTGGAGGCAAGTGGCAACTGCCCTGAGGCAGGGATGTTAATTTAGTAGAAAAGTCGCTAAATCTAGCAGATTTCAAATCCTGTTTGTGGCTTTTTATCGTCCTTCACGACTAGCGAGTATTTTAGAAGATTTTGTCATAATTTAGCTGATTATTTGATGGATTTATATATAAACCTGAACCCGAGATGTTTATGCCATTAAACATAAAGCCACAGCTCAGTATCGTGATGTTTGGCTGTTCTGTTCATGTGAACAATTATAGACCGTGGTAAAAATTTTTGTTTGAATCAAATAATACGTGATAGTTGTTACAGGGACAGCCGTGGCCGTTAGCCAGTATTAACGGCTGACTGCAGTCAGTACTTGTCTACAAGTAGTTACTGGTCATTTTGGATGTGCGATAATTTGGGCCATCTTATCAAAAAAGCTGGGAATCTACCCGGTATACATGAATTTAAGAATTGGTTGAGGCTGTTGGGTAAAACCAGAACGGGATACCCCTTCCATTCAACATTGCACACCTAGGGTACCAGCCCAGAAAACTGGCAACCCAGTTGGTATCAGGCATGTTGAAATAAAGTTTTATGGCTGGATGATCTTTCTAACACCAACCCACAAGGTAAAAACAGCTGGCAAGGCAAGGTTGTAACTCCCTGAGGTAATCAAATACTACCCACCTACCCAACCAACACCTAATGGGCAAGACTTGAACCAGCAGTCTAGTCTTCTTGCTTCAGTAATCAGTGCCCCTGACACACTTGTTTAACAATTAGAGGAGACATCTGGCAAAGCGGTAAGAAATTACAAGGGTTGTGCCTTAATCTTAACCAACTCAGAAAATAGTATTTAAAAAGGTCAATCTATTTATGTTTATCTGTGTTTATATTATACCTTCCTATTTTCTCTTACTTCCTTTGTGTGTATGGTTAATGATGATTTTCTAATCAAACATCTTTTGTATAATGCATACAATTTTATTCACATTAATATTAAACTGCAAAAAATGGAATCTTGGCCAAATAATTAATTTGCACTATGTATTTAAAGGCTAAAACATTCAACAGCAAAAACTATAAATGTGCTGAAGAATACTGCACTGAAAGGTTATTCTGCTATATTACAAGAGTTTCAAAGAATACATATACAGTACTATACTGTACTTACTTCATTATGTTCCACAGACGTTCCACAAAGTGTTCAGTATCAAGTTTGTGACTCTGACCCATTTTGAAAGGAGGATTCTTCGCTAATGACAACAGAGTCATATATCGAATACGTGGGACTGGGTCTGATTCAGCTAAACTTAACAAAAAATCTATGTCCTCACGTGAGCCATCATGAGCAAGGAAGTCTACAATCTGTTCAACAGCAGCAACTCGCACATCTGAAAAATGATAAGGATAATGAGCAAAAATTAAATAAAGAAGAAAAACTCAATTTTCAACTATTTATTCAATTAATCATTATCCCATTTCTATTACATTTGAGGTACAAGACAAAGGAAAACTAATAGAAAATGACATACAGGTTACCCATAAATCTTTGGACCAGGGCTTTGCCTCCTAATAGAAATTCCTGTTAAATAGAAGGTTGATAATTAATGGTACTTTGGCATATTGACCTAAGTTACACTTAGCCTAATACTCCGTAACATTATCATCATCATCGTCATTTTATGACCATTTCCCTCCACAATTGCCATTTGCCTCTGTGTACCCAGCAGTAATTGGGAATCTGGATGTTAATCGATTTGGAGATTGTGTTGCTGGGTAATGGTTAGCCGGTGCAGTTGTCCGGTCTTCTCGGAATATTCCTTAACACAGGGTCGTACAGCTCGTTAATTTAGGGTGTGGTTGTTGTGTTGGCGAAATCTTCTATACCTTAACAAATTTACACCTAGGAGGCCCTAGAGCCAGCCATCCTTGTACATGAAGGGCAACCATTATTATAGGAATAAACAACAGAATATTAATTTCATGTTTTGTAACTAATTAAATAGTATTTCTCACCTATGTAATGAGGATATGCAGCATAACTTTTAAAGATGTCTGATTTAGGAGGTAGGTGGCCATTTCTCTGAAGAACTCGAATAGCATGCAGGCAGGATACTGTTACTGTGTACTTGTAACATGGTAAAAGCTTTTCCAGATTTAAGTAACGCGTGATCTAGAAATAAATAAAAAGAAAATACAAGTCCTCAGTACACTATAAAAATTCTCAGTACGTACAAAACTTATTCCATGTTAAAATCATAAGTATCTGAGTTACTTATATGTTTTACCCAAAAAGTTATCTTGTAAAGTATCAATTAGTTACGTTTGTAAAGTAATTGACGTTTTTCTATCCATCTGTAATTGCTGACATCAGTCAAGAAATGTGTAAAATCTTTGAGAATATGAAGATAATTTTGGCAAAGTACGCGAAACAAGGGAACTGTGAGAACACCGCTACTTAACACACTTTCTGTGCCTTTCAGAGAGGTCATAAAATTTAATGGTAAATTATATTATCCAAGACCCATTAAGTGAAAAACAAAAAAAACAACAACAGGTAAATTAATGCAATGCAGGTTACAGTATAGGCTGACACAATGACCCAATTAAGAGCCAGAGTCAGTTAGGTTAAAACAAACCTCATGAACTGATGTACTGTATTGTAAAAAGTCAAAATGCCAATATTGCATTAATGACAGTAACTAAATCTGTCATTACTATCCCATAACTACTGCTAGACCATCATCAGGCTAAGGGATGACTTTACTACAGTATTAGTATTACTGTATTATTAGTAGTAGTATATTATAATTATCATATTATTATTATTATATTATTACAGTAACGTCCTCCTTAAACCTTAAATTGCAGCCAATATCAACAGAGACACTCATTTCCCACTAAGATATTTAAATACACATGGTGTTCCCATACTTTGTTTTAAGTCTAAAAGAATGGACATGTGCGCAGCATCCTCAGTAGGCCCTTATCAGACACGGAGAGCATGACTTCTACATCTTGAGGTTCAGAGAATGAAAAGAGGGAGGGAATTGGTTCCCTGACCATTATTGTATTACAGTACAATATTATTATGAAACAGAGCATGAAGAAAAACATCTACAAGTTGTATGTTAAGTATACACCAACAAAATTCTTTAAAAACATGTTCTTCTTAACATTTTCTTGTTCATAGTACAGTAATGTATCTCAGCTATTATAATGGGAGTCTATGGGAAAATGGGATCCAATTTACAAAAAATGAATTTACAAATGGCTTTTCAGAAATTGAACCTTCCTTGAATGAGAACTGCCTATTTTGCTGTGTGTAGTTGATTAAAAGTTCATAGCCAAGTAATTTAAAGATACATACCTCACACAGTACCCTCCGTATGTCCTCAGACAAAGTATCAGAAGTTATGGTAGCAGGATCATGTTGAACAGGGGCTGAAGAAATTGCCGCAGCAAGAGCATCCACTAGTGATGCCCGATAATAGTTGTCAGAATAGCGATTCTTGGAGTTATCACTGTATTTAAATAGGTCCATTAGGAATGCTAAAACTTCTGGTGGACAAGTCTTGTGAGTGTTGCGGAGACCAGCCATAGCAACTGGCAGAGTCTGTAATAAAGTAGTAATAATATTAGAACTTTTCTGGAAAGTACCTTTTTGGCACTTACATTATTTAAATTCTTCCTAACCTCAAAAAAAATCATGAGTAAATGAGAGCCTTAAATTATACTCATACTTGTTCTTATACAAAAATATTAGCACAGTAGAGAATACTAAAGTAAACTTCCTCTAATCTGGACTAATTGGGGAAAAGGCCTGTCTGGTTTGGCCAAAATTCTGGGATCTACTGACCTGATTCTGAAAACTGTCTTCAAGAAGATTATCCCTAATCCCCACTCTACCTCAACTCAGGAGACAGGTTACATGATCTCATTCATTTGTTCTATGTGTTTCTCTCTTGCTTTGTTCTGTTAGTTAGCTGAAGAGGGTCCTAGTGTACCAGCTCCAAGATTTTGTCCTTTATTTCTCCAATGTGAGATTTTATTTCATTTACCAGTGTGAACATTACATTTTTGAAATATCATCTACACATTATTAGCTCACCTTGACATGTAAGTGTTAAATTGATTTATTACTGTACTATTTACTTTATTATTACTGTTTGTACATTAAAAAAAAATATTTGTTTGCACAATACTGTACTGTAATTACAAATACAGTATAATATTTTATGTGGCAGCCAAGGTATGTACAGTATGGTAACTGAGTATGTTTGTTGGTTGGAATAATGAGAAACAATCTTTGGAACGATCCAAATAAGGTGCAAAAACTGAAAAGAAAATGAACAAATGCCCTGTACTCATTCATGTTCAAAGGTCGTGGATGTAGAACTACCAACCATTCAGAAACAGGTCGAGTAACATTGCTCGGAAAGCTTCAGATCACATTGACGCCATGACTAACGATACTTTTAGGGGGTGTTGTTCATACACGTGTTATAATTCATGAACATTTATATCAAAACAATGACTTTAAGTACTTTGTTTTTTCTTAAATTGCATTTTACTCTTTGATTTAAAAATAAAAATAAAAATTGTTGCAAAATTTGACAATAACTCACTGGCCATATGCTCTAACTTTGAGTTTCAACTTGAACAAGTTAAAAAATGAGTAGTGAAATGATCTTGGTCTATATTCTGCATCAACAGAAGATGGTGAGGTGTTGACATAGGCTTGGTCAACAGGTTGGGTTGTGCAAGAGAAGGTTTGTTCACTTTACTGTATCAAATATTTTATGTAAATTCTAGCGCTATTGTTTTCAAAATTCAGAAAAATCATGAATCCAGTTTGATTCTGGTCCCAAACTTGCCGGATAATTGACATACTACCTATTCAATCATTTGTGCAATAAGCTGACATATCTGACTGGAGTTGAAAGCTGGTAATGACAGCCCACCTTGTGATTGGTTAGTAAAATGAGGACTGGGCTATGCAATATATGAAATGACTCTAGGGGAGTTAGCTGATCTTCAAATTACCCCCAGATGCCTTCATTCAGGGTTCTTCTTTTAGACCCACTTGCTTACTAACTCAATTCAGGTCATAAATACCCTAGATATATTACATCCAATCATTAAACCTATTTAGAGAATATTGTTAATGTCATCATGGCCACAGATTTATTACCAAATAATACTCAAAACTCTTTAAATTTATTTATCATGAATGCAAAAATGTGAATAAACTTTCAAACAGAATATTATATTAACAAATGTGTCTCAAAATTAAATTCTTTATAAATAGGTGGAGGTATAGGAAAAAAAGCTCTACAAGAATTATGGATTTTAGTTATTTAAAAATATATCAAACCTTAAGGATATAATAATTCTGGAGGCTGGTGAAGTCATGCTGCCTGATGATATTAGGGCAAGAGAAAGCACCAAACATCTTGCGGAAAATCTGCATCATTGCTGGCGGGCCATTCCAATTAGCCACCATGGCATTAGCCACTCGAGTAAGGCAGTGAGCAGCCCTGCATCGTATCTGTGGGAAATAAAAATATAAATAACACTAATCTTCTATGTGCGGGCTGGCATGCAGCCGTAAAACTCTGCTTCATTGTGCCCATCCCCAAGTCTCTGCTGCATTTTCTAGTCTGGTGCCCTGGGTTTGCAATAGTGGTGATAGTGGGGACATCCCATTATGGTTTTTACCCAACAGCTGCCATAAGGTAAATGAGGTAGACTCGCACAAGTGTGGAATATGGCTGTAAAATGTTGATGACATGATTAGTGCATTCCCAGCTAAATGGGACTGAACAGGTGTAACAAACATGATAAAAAAAAAAAAAGATGCATGAAGAAACGGAAGCAAACTTATTAATCTACTAATTCTCAATTAATTTTCTGTGAGGGATGAGCTATGATTTCCAAGTTGTTTGAATGAGTGCATATACAGTGGTCCCTCGGTTAACGAACGCCTCGGTTAACGAACGCCTCGGTTAACGAACTGCCTCCCATAAGATTCTTAAATTCGGTTAACGAATAAAAATTCGGTTAACGAATTTCTTACGAACCGACCTCAACATGTTTTCGCTTGCACTGGCCGGTCAACCAGCTTTAGTATTAGTCCGCCAATACATTAATCGGTTCTAGGGCTTAAATTCCTTACTATTTTAGTAAATATCAAGAAGTTTATACTATTCAATAATTTTAAAAGTTTAATATTCAATTTTTTAGTCATTTTAAACAATTATTGAACATAATTGAAGGTAAAGTGACTAGTTTAATGCGCGGCATCAGCCTCTTAACACAGCAAACAGGCGTTAGTCTCTGTTTTTCACTGGAGGTAACACATCTTGAGACTCTCTTCAACGCTTTTTTTCTGTGTTTCCCCAAATTATTGGTCATTTTGAAATATATTTTACATATTGACAATATATAATGCAGTGCAGTGTTGATTTAAAGAAAATAATCTTGAAATACACCAAGAGAACTAAAATTTTATGGGTGAATGGTGCCATGGGGTGACTTCTCAATGCCTTCTCTTCTTCCTTCTCCTCCACCCCCATTCTAATTCCCATCATCATCATCCAGGAGCCTTCTACATACACACCTCAAAGTAAGTGAACTTTTCTACCATTTTTGTTGAATTTAGGCAATTTTCGGTGAGCTGGAACCAATTACCCAAAAACCCATTGAAACAATGGTTTTGGTTAACGAATTTTTCGGTTAACGAACAACCTGCTGGAACGGATTGTGTTCGTTAACCGAGGGACCACTGTAATATCAAACAGGGAGGTACTACCGCCTGGGAAGATATTGGAAGCACAATGTGTTGTCTAATGGTAGACCCTGCTGCCATATGGCATCACGAATATTGTGACCAAGTCCCAGGTTGCTGATCTGTCTTTCTGCCTCATTTACACACAATTGCAGGATCTCAATTGTTTCTCTTACTATTGACAAGACAACATACTGTACATATAGCGTTTCTCACTATTGATTAATATTTTTCTTTTCTTTATTATCATTATTACAGTGTTGTTATTATTATTTTTATTATTTTATTTTACCTTTTATAATAAATTTTATTTACTATGAATTACTATTATTAAATTTTCACCTCTAGGTTCCGATGTGGGTCAGTGACCTGTGCTCGGGTGGGCTAATCCCTTAAAAAAAAAAAAAAGTGGACACATTAGTGAGATTGTATTCTCTACATCTCTGGTCTTTCCCCACAGCGCACAGTCTCCACACTTGCTTGAATAGGTAAAAACTCTGCTTGGGTGCCACTATGAAGGACACTGCCACATTTGTCATTGAGGAGTTGCCTTACAATGGTGATGAATTTTGGTGGGCATCCAAACTGACTGAGGGTCCACCAAAGAGCTTTGCTGTTGAGTGTGTTAAGAGGACTTTGTAAGATTAATGTAGAGGTTCATGGTAATATTCTCTGCACTTCTCCCATATCTGGCAGGTAGTAAAGATTATGTCAGTGGTTCCACAATATGGCATATGCCACACTGTGACCAAGAGGAAAATTTTCACCTCGGAAGTAAGTTGCCATTATTTGATCTGTATCCCTCATTCTTATATAGTATCCCACATGTATATAAATGAATATTAAAATTTTCAAAAGATCTGAATATAAAGGAAAAGAATAAATAAACATATTCTTCCAAATCTTATGTCTACATGTCTAAATGCCTGGCAATAATGAGTAACATTAAATCTATGAAACAATATAAAAAAAGAGTATCTATTATTTCAACAATTAAACATTAAAACCAACCTTATAGAAGCATTGCTCATTCTCCAACACAGCATTCAGTGTATTTCGCATCTCAGTCGTAACAGCACCTGTGCATACAACCTTCACTTAATATGGTGGTAGTATCTTTTGTTTAGCACAAAAAGTGGTAAGATATTTTTTTAACATGTGAACAAGCCAAAAAATAACGGTAATGCTCAGCCATGAAAAGGGAGGTTACTCATTATCCTCTTTCCTCATAGGGTCCAATATGGTCCTAAACCCCTATTTTACCTCAACTCAGCTTATAATGTAAATGTTCTATGTTATATTACCCTATTGAGCTTACTGAAGTATTGGCCATCTTTTATATCTTATTTTTCAGTGAATATTTACAACAAATACCGGGTAAATGATTTACAATACAGTAATTATGATTATAATATTATAATATGATGAAACACTAATATATGAGCATTTTTTGTAATATTTTTTCTGGTTCCTTTCCTAAATTAATTGTCTGTGCAATGAAATTAGAGAAAACGTACTAGGAGCCACCCCAAATTTCCCATTTTCATTAAAATATTTTCCTCCAATTCTTGCTGCCTGAATGAGTCACTTCCAAACACATTACTATTAATAACATTATTATCACTACATTACAACAGTCACTCCTGCACATGATCAATACAGGTACTGTAATCACCCCTGACACACCACATATCATAATCACCCCCATATCACCTTAATACTCACCCCTCTCACCACAACAATAATCACCCTACATGCCACCATAGTTACCCAACCCACCACCTCAATTCTCACCCCAACTCCCACGAAAATAAAATAGTGGTAATAAGACAAGTAGGATATAGGAGTGTCATGATAACACAACTAATGGGATATAATTAACACCAATGTGGTGGGGTGGAGAGCCAAGGGTAAGCCAAAAATGAAATGGGTTGAGGTTGTAAGAAATTACTGTACATGATAATTAAGAACCTGATAAGAATGACTGCAAGAGACTGTGCAGCATGGAAAGCTGCCATCAGGTAATTACAAGCGAGGGAAATGACACAAAACATTGATGATGATGATGTACCGTATATTCAGGTAATCATGTGGCCTAGTAAGTAAAGGTTGGAAAAACTCAACAAAGGGGATATATCCTTGGACTGTGTGTTTTGCTACCTGAGTGACAAGATCAGTGCTGGGGGTGGTGGTGGTGGTAACTGGAAGAAATTGACAACGAGAGGACATTTTCTTTACGGTACTGTATTTGAAAAGAAATATGCATGCTACCAGTGAGAAACATGATGCTATAAGGAAAGAAGGACAATTAAAGAGGTTGACACACAGAAACTTAAGTAAGCTGAAGTGAGAATGGTGAGATGGATGTGTAATGTAACGTTAAAAGATAGAAAACCCAGTTCAGAGCTAAGAGGGCAGCTGGGTATAGAGTGTTGGCAAGGTTTTGTGTGGAGGTAGGTTGAGATGGTTCAAGAATGTGAAGTGAATGTTGGAAACCAAATGGGTCAAGAGATACATGAGTGAATGTGGAGGGGAGGGGAGAAATTTTCAGAAATGAACATGGAGATAAGAACCTAGTAAAAGAGGCTGCAAGAGACCATGCAGCATGGAGAGCTGCCATCAGATAATCAAGGTTAACTCAAACAAGTGTAGAGAATGGGTGTAACACAGTAACCTAAGCCTACAAATATGTTCACAACAGAAACTGTGTGAGAGATATTGAGCAGTACTGTATTGAAAATGGTGAAACAGCTCCAGGGCTGAGCAGAGCATACTAAGTGAACAAGTCCAACATACAGTATGTGCTATCAAGAGGAATGTAGGCAAAATTAAGAAATCTGTTAAACTGTCAATTATATTTTCAGCCAAGATGGCAAGAGTGAGGAAGCTAGTGTTTGGAAAAGTAGGAAACAGTAAATTGTGTGGATTGATGACCAAAATCATAAATCAGTATCACTAAGTTCTGCCTTCATGAGTGAAAAAGCACTGACTGTATTGGTGTATACTCATTTATAATGTTCATTCAATAATATTTGCATGTATTTTGTTTCAAAACTGTTATTACTGTATTCATGAAAACTTAATACTGTACAGTACAGAAATACATAGTCAAAGGGGGGTTTTGGCTGTTGCTGGGAAGTAAACCCCTTATGATGATCCTTTTTAATAACAGAACCCCTGGCATCAATGAGGGTGACCTCTTATTTCTTTATTTGTATTAATTTTCAAAAGTGCCATGTGGCTGGTGGTTCAAATGGTTGGTGTTGGTGGCTGGTGGTTCAAATGGTTATTATTGATGTTGGTGGTTAGTGGTTCAGATGAGTGAGAATATGATGGCAGGCCTAGAGATAATTTTTGTGGGTCATGGCTGCCTCTCTCTGTCAGCTGATAAAATGGGATGAGTCTATCTGACAATAAGATTCACAGTACGGGAAAAAAATTAGTCCCGCACACTGGTGTTGTCTTCTGCATTGGGTACGGGAATCGCACTGAAAGGGTTAATAAATGAGACCTGATCTATGGGAAATGTTGTGAGAAATGACATTAGAGATAAGAACCTGACAAGAGAGATCGCATAAGACAGTAGAGAAAGGAGATAATATAGCTGGCCCATGCAAATGTGGAAAATGGCTGTAAGACATTGATAATAATGATGAATTATGGCAATCTTTTTAAACCCTACTATATTCACCTTGCCTGGCTAAACGCTGAAGAGCAGTGATAGCTTCAGTCTGAGCCGTTACATCCCGCTCATGCCTCAGCTGATACTGCCACTGATTATCAGGTTGCTCTACTTCCACTGCTCTCATCATTGTCATGTCTGGATCCAACCGTAACCACAGCACTGGGGAATCGGCACTGTGAAACAAAACGCAGTAAATGCTTAAAAATGAACTAAGCTTGTGAAAGTGCATAAATAAGAAGTGACTACTATATAAATTAGAAAACTTTACTGTGCACAGGGGTCTTATTCTCTGCTATAGAAAAAAAAATCCTTTTAACCCTCAGACTACAATTATAGAAGAAAAACTTACCACTGAATGTACAATAAACATCAAAAACTTAATACATGCTTTTCCTAAAAAAATAAATACTATAAATAAAATAATAATAAAAATATTCCCTATGAACCAGCAATGGCTAAAAATGAATTCCTTGGGCAGAGAAACATAGGTTGAGATGTTTGAACCATGTAAAAATCTATATTGTTTCCCTGATTTCATGTAAATTACTGGTAGGTTGTTATTATTGATGATAAATATTGGCATCCCTCGCAAAGGAATTACTGTACGGTTCTGTACTTTGTAAGTTTTTGACCTGAAAATTACACTGATGCACAAATGAAAAAACCTGTATTGGATTTACTCATCACTGTGATGTGAAGCTTGTCACACCTGTACAATAAGAATTTACAATACAGTAATAAAAATTTAATTTTCAAATTATTATTCAGTACTTACTCCAAGTGACTAAGATCCATATCCACTTCTTCACCAGTACAAAGAGGAATCTTTTTCTTTTTATTCCGGCGAGACTTTGAGTGGCAGACAATCTCCTTCTTAGACACCTATTAGGAAAAATTTCACATAAATTCAATGAAAAACCTAAGGATTGACCTTAATATTCTGTTCTCTAAATGAGTTTTGAAAACCATATTCCAGGGATCCAAACTTGTGACCGGAATTTAAAATAAAACACAATTGAATGCTGTATAAAAATATCCTTCACCCTCAAACCAGATTCCAATGCAGGAGACACTTGGTATGAAGATACTGTACACTGAAAAAGAAGACGACTTGAAACTTTCACCACCATGTAAAAACATTTGCATTTCTTGATCCCCTGTTGTTCTTGATCCCCTGTCTTCAAGATCAATCATTCAGTTCAACCCCAATGCACATTCAAGCCAGCAAGAAAATGGAGGGAAACAATATAAAAAATCCTAAAGCGCCTTGTTTACCTGATGTTCAATTTGTAATGTATGTTTGAATGTACCATCCAACTCTTGTATCCACACCACCAGTGGCCCAACATAACGGCGGATTCCCAGCTCACCAATATATCCCTGTTCAATGGTCATTTCCACAATGTTCCTGGTGAAGAACAAATTCAGGTTATTGAGAGGTAAAAAACCATCTTGTATAAGATCAAACACAATTTGTTTGGAGATTAAGAACTTTTCACTCTTGCAAGTCCTATTCTGCTATACACCTGTAGGATGGCTGCAACCAAGAACAAACAAAGACCATCTTTTTATCAACCATTCTTATTGATGTAATATTTCCATAAATAACCGAGAATTAAACTATTTTATGGCTCAAATTTAATTAAATGTACAATACAGGTATTGTGTAGTGAAGAAACAGGCAACTTAGTTAGGCTTTGACGAGTGATATCTGCAGCAATGGAACCTAACTCCCTATTTCCCATAAGTCTTTAGTCTTGCCAACTGCGGATTTGCCAACCATTTAGTTTTTCGGGAACCTAACCCCCTACAGTTGGCGAGGGTCTATTGTATACATGTAAAAAATGCAAGTTAATGATAGCCTTAAACTATAGGAAAATATGTAAAATACAACCCCTACCATGAAATAATAATAAAGTATTTACAATATATGAAATATTTTATATAGAGTAAGGAACTAAATAAAAAATTGTGATCCTACCTTTTGCGATTAAAGAGGAACTTCATGTTGAACTTTGCATGTCCCCCTTGACGAACCCATTGATCACAAAACACCGTAATGTCTTTTCCCGTTACAGTAAAAATTGCCTGTGAAGACCAAAAATTCATTAACATGAGATAGATGATAAAGGTACATATATCAGGAATAAAGACGATTGGTTATCTACCACGAATACAGAAATGTGTATTTACCATATTTTGTGGCATATAAGATGTACTGGCATATTATAAGATGCGGCCCCCCAGTTCAGCAAAGAATATTTTGGAAAAAACTTCATAGTGTACAGTATTTAAACATTTAATGTTTACTCCTACTAATATGAACATGCATGATACAGTAAATCTCAATAAATTATATAAATTTTCATTGATAATTGTGGTAAATAAACCTAATAGCATGTGACTGAAAACATCAAATTTGTGTAGCAAGATAAAAGGGAAACTTTCCAAATATGGAACGTAAAATATTCACAACATTTATCAAATGTCTACTGTACTGTATAGCAGAACAAAAATCTTCATTGCATACAGGATCTTTATACATAAAACATGCATCCAGGACAGCAGGAACAATCCTTTCAATAATAATATTTTGCATCCAAGAGAAAACAGAAACTGCTTAACTACAGTACAGTAGAAGAAAGCATTTTATAAAATTAAAGCTATTTTTTCAATTGAACATAAAGCAGATGAGCCTAACAGAAGAAGTCATTTACAATACAAATTTCTTACATGTACAGTACTGTATAATCAAACATCATTTCTGTATAGCAGAATTTAAACAAAGGATTTCAATTAAAGCAGGATATACAAAAATATACAGCATGAAAAAAATAATTTGTGTTACTGGTACTCAAACACAATAAGACAAAGGCCAAAAAACATTGTAACAAAAACTTTAATCATCTTCAAAGCCCAAAAATTCATCATCATCTTCAAAACCTGAAAACTCTTCATCACTACTGTCACCATTTTTAATATTCAAAAGAAAAATTCAACCAAGGGAAAAAATTCCACATGGTGAATTTGTTCATGTGCATCCAAAAGGGTGGATGGACAAGACTGGCATGAAACTGTGGTTACAAAAATATGGTACATGCCCAAGACATGAAAAACTGAAACCTCTAGACACCATTGGTTCATACCTTTGTGAAAGTAGCAGTAGACATAAGCATGTGAGACCAGCCTGCAGGATGACCTTTGTTGCCAACTGCAATTAGAGCCAATGACAGATGTTTGTTGAAGACCTAAACAAATAAATGGTTTGAATAAATAAATATTTCATGAATAAGCTGTATGTTTAAAATTAAAGGATTTATGTCTGCATAATGATGGAATGAACCTGAAATCTTATTATTTAACCCATAGTCAGGCAGTTTCTGTTTCATGTCCAAGCTGTTTTTAGAAGTCCATTAAAGTAGATTACCCTTTAACTAGCATATGATCTTGCAAGTGCCCATTCCTCCCCTTTACAATCATCTCCCTTAACCCTTTAATGATTATTCTTGCAACTGTTGAATTTTGCTTACCAGGACAATTCCTGCACCTGTTGTGCTATAATATTTCCTGCTCACATTTGGACAATTATGCGTGATTATATGGGTCTCTAACCAGCCTACCATAGGCACTTACAGTATTTACATGAGGTGCACAATTTAATATCAAACAAGTACTCTAAGTGAGTAATTATCGATCATCAGATTTATGCCAAAGATTATCATAGTTGCCCCTTCACACATTCGTATTCTCACAAATTTTGAAAGTTATCTCCAATAAATCAGTGGTTAACTCAGTGGCATATACAGTATAGGGGAGAGGCATGTAGCCATGGCCCCCCTTTTTGCTACTGCCCTCAACTCATTTAACCTAATGCAATCAATTACTGTTCTCTCTCTCTCTCTTTTATTACTTAGTCCACTGCACAAAGCTTTAAGCATTATTCAGTGTACCATTGTATGAACCTATCTACGATACAGGCTATAGCCACACTTGCATTACAGTATTTGTATCAACAATTATTCAGTAAAGTTAATTCGTTAATGAGGAGAATTATTTTGATTAAAGAGGATATTATTTATTTAATATAGATTACTACAGCTGTACGTTTTTTTTTTTTTTTTAAGGCATCAGTAACTAAATAATAAATAAGTTGTCAAAGGTGCTTTCTCCCTATCTTCAAGTCTTGGGGCCCTTTCCAGAAACCTATATAATATATGCCACTGGGGTAAATCTCAACATGATGGACTATTACAACTAACAAAGATATTAAACTCAAAATACTCTAAAATAAGAATAAAATTCAGATTTTTTTTTTTATCAATCCTGAAAATCTATGGTCCGGGCAGTTAACCAAAATTTGCAGAGTTGACCCTAATGGGTTAAAAGGGTAGATTAAAGCAAAGGTCACCCTTTTGAGGTATGAGTTCTAAATCAGCCTTGGCTCCATAGCCACCAAAGTACAGTACAAACATCATTCCAGTTACCACTGCCATTTTTACTTCAGTCAACTCACCATTTAGGATTTATTTTTCCAACTTATTATCCACATACACAAAGGAGGAATAAGGGAGTCTAAACCATCAGGCTAAAACCTTAGCTGGAATATACAACTTCAGCATCAATCTGTCAAGTGGTTCTTGCTAACAAAGGATAGACAGAAGAAATACTTCTATTTCTTTTATAATTCATGTCACCTCTTAGTGTTCACAGGTAAACTCCCAAGAAAATGAAAAAATTTTGGAAAAAATTTAGGAAGCACCAACTATTTGATGGTTTCTGTAAGGAAAACCAATTAAAATAATCTAAAATAAATCTATTATAAAACAAACTTGAAGAGCAAACAGGTGATTATGATCAAGATAGAAATGTGGTGTAATGTTGTAGTGGTATTGTTTGGTGATGAGATGTGGTCCTAAAGGTACTGTACTGGTTTGATGTTGATTGTGGGGTGATGAAATGTGGTCAAGATGGTGGTGATGTGGTGTTCAGCCACCACTCCCCCAACACACACACATACATGAAAAAAAAAATATATATATATTACAGTACTTGAGAAAAAGCTAAGCCACTCACCAAATGATGGCTCTTAAAACAAACTAATTTTTCCTATTTTAATGTTAAGAATTTATATAATGATTGATTAGCAATATCGTGATATATGCAGGACTATAACCTTGCAATTTAACCCATCTCCACTGTAGTTGTACCTGAAAACTAACAGATTAACTTTACCTGCATCATTAATTCTTGACCGATACGATACTCCAACATACGTATGACTAAGTGAGCTTTTTTGTAATAAACACCGATATAGTGAGGGGAGCTGGCATGTGGATTCTTGACTGAGAAATAAAATGTGTCCTTGTTGCTACTGTTGTTTGATGTCACCGGCATATTCGGTCCATTCTGGGGCTCATTTGGTGATGAACTTGGATCCAACACAATACCACCAAATTTTTCCTCATAATCTATGATCTCCTGCAATTCCTGATAAAAAAAAAAATAATAATAATTTATCGTATTTGACAAATTATGATTCATGTGATAATCAAAAGCAAACATAAACTATTCATGTGCAAGAATAAATACACCATAAAATTAGACATAAAAGTTATAATACAGAATTATATTATACAGTATATCATATATAACATATATCTAAAAATATAAACACTCAGATGTTGTACAAAAAGTGGTTCTATATTACATAAACAGCTCCTTCCCTTCTCATAATCATCCTCTGGGTGATGCCATTACACCAAAATAGCGCCGGGGCTGCCTGGCTGGTCCCGTATTTGCCAATGATGTAAACAAACCACCAGGAATTTAATACAACTCAATAACTCAACTGGGGGGCGAGTGTGGAATTTTTTTTAATGGGGGGAAATTTAATGTTTTATGATAATTTTTTTATTAACTCGGCACCAAATGAACTTAAATAACATGAAAATTATGGTGAAATTGCATATTGTATTGTTATAAAGAGGATATGGCTTAGAAATATATTGGTCGAGTCCAGTCAGCCAGCCACCCACCCACCCTACCTCACACATTAATCATTCCCACTCTTTTTTTTCTTATTTTATACAGTATTGTAGCTTTATATTGTATTTTCTTTATTTATAAGTAACATGAGAACATTGCAATGATATTTCTATGACTTTTATGGTTTCCTAAGTAAATAAACATGAGTGCGGCGGTTGGGTGGATACATCGCTCACCTCCTATTATTCCCGGGCACTCCCAGTTCACCCAGCTGTAAATGGGTACCTGAGTTTACAACTTGGCAAAGTGAAGACAGTCAAGTGCAGTACCAGCCATGCTGCCTACTTGTGTACTGAAGGCTTAGCATACAATGTGCTGTATCCACACTGCCTTTGGGACCTACTTTCAGTTTCATGTACATAAAACACTACAGCAGTTGGCACTCAGCCACATATAATGAATTTTTTACTGTGAAGTTTAAAAAAAGGGAGAGGGAATAATAGAGGTACTGTATCACTTAATTATTCATGGGGGATAGGTTCCAGAATTACCTGAATAGTAATATTTGTGAGTACTGTACCACTTTTGGTTGCCATGAAACTACCCCTGGAATGATCTACCTTTAGTAAATACCTAAATAAGCAGTGTAATACAGGTATCCCTCTCTTAATGAGTGAGTTAAGTTCCTGGGAAAACAATTCATTAAGTGAAGGTTTGAATCTCGAATAACAAAACAAATGGGTAAATAGGGTTCAGTTCCCCTAATTTGATCGACCTAGAGCCTGATATCAAATTAGCAAGGACTTAATGTGCTTAAAAATCAGAACTCTTAACCAGCTTTTGATAAAGACATCTTTAGGTACACCACTGAGGTAAGAAATACATTTTTCATGTACAATGTGTGTGCATATTTGTGGGTCTGGGTACAGCATAACTACAGTACAGTACTTACACTATGTATCCAATCCTTGTAGTCATTAAAGCCAAAATGCTTCTTCACATAGAGGCTCATTAGATAGTTTGCAATGCCAGTGGTTAGCCATGCATCAGCCCATGCATGACGGGAAAGAAAACATCCAAAAAACTGCTGGGCCACACATAATGCCATTGTCTTTCTGGTTTCATAAACTTGATCTATGATTCTGTTGCTGCACAGGAGATTTACACTGAAATTCAAGAAATATTATTAATTTATCAATACTAAAGGTGATAGAATACTTGAATCTAGGGATGCACTGAATATAGTTGCATGCAAATTTCAAAAGTCATGCCCAAATTATTTTGGGCCTCACCACACTGCTATAACCTGTGCCACTCCATCAAATAGGGTTTACTGCACAGGTAATATACTTTTACCAACCCAGGGCATCAGGAGAGAGATTTGTCTTTCTTATCAAGTCACTTCTGTTATTGCTAATTCTTATCCAATTTTTTGTTATATGAACGAAACCCCAGAAGTTAAATTTGTTCCCATCATTGGAAGATACTGAGGTACTGACAGCATCAGTGGACTGGGTTTTGTGTCGTCAACCATACGTGGGCTATGTAATTGCCACTTCTCTTTAGGTGGACACGCATCATAACACTTGATGGTAAAAACAAATGTTTTTAAGTCATTGGTGAGTGTAATTGTTTATTTTTCTATTTTACTGAAACTGTACCTATGTTACGTTTCTTAACATTATATGAGATGATCTTGTACAGTACACAAAATGCATAATAACAAAGGTCTGGGACCTATTCCCATTTACTCCATGTTAAACCAACCTCTGACAATGCAATTTACAAGAACAAAGGGGATTTCATGAACACATCCACCTCATTACCAGAGCTATACTGGTATAGGTTTGTTAATGTACAGTATATATGGAAAGTACTTTTTAAAACAGTAGGATTTCATAGTAAGCGAGGGTTACGTTCCTGGGATCCACTCGTAAGTGTGAATTTGTGTATATTCGGGTCCCCCTGAATACTGTATACTGAACCTGTATACATATAAGCCTATTTTTATACTAAGGTAACTGAGGCGCAACTTTAGAGTTCAATACGCCACTCCTTATTAAGTCCAATATCCTGAATTTTCTTCAAAAGTTCTCACAGTACGTATGTGATTTTTCCTTTTTCTCACTATTACCACCAGGATCATTACCACTACTTTTCTTCTTAGGGGTCATGATTGCAGTAAAATTCACCAGTAAAGAAAAACTTTATCAACGCGAACAGCGGGGAGATGTTCACGAAACCACAGTTAGCACTCAGTGGGTGAGGCTGAGCTGGGAGCTATATTATGGTTATTTTTCAACTCTTAATTTCTGGTAGATATAAGTAATTTTCTTTTAAAAAAACTCTGTTGTATATATATTGTATATGCAATCTTTCATACAGAATGTGCAAAAAAAAATTACAAATACAAATTATTACAAGGTTAAAAACATAAACAGAATAAACATTTCTTTGTGTGACGGAGTTAGTACACAGATCGTGGAAGGGGGAAGGGGGAGCAGTGTAGAGGATTTCAGCTTCTCAATGTCTCCTGTGTCTCATGTGTAATGAAATGATTGCCAAATGGCAAAACAGTATTTTTTCTTCTATTTATTCTTTACATTTACTGGTATAGTACACATGAAACATCCCATTCAGCCACAAGTGATAAACATGCTGAGCTACTGAGAGATGCTCATGCAATAGTGAGACCCAAGCGCAATGGCGGGTCAGACATGTATAAGTGGGGTCGCGTACTATAAATATGCATACTCTGCGACCCTACTGTATACCGGTAGGTATGAACAAATGAATCTAGCTTATAAAAACATGTATTTAACCAGTAGATACTTTACAAGATAACACCAAGAGACTTCCTGTGTTAATTTCTCACTGATGTCTTTTTAACTGTCCTGCTTATACTGCAATACATCAGGAAATGATAACAACTATGTGTAATTCTTGGTGTTATCAGTTAAGTTTATGTTTTCCATGTTGTAAGGTTTGTTGACACTGTTCACTTATTGTTCTGGGTCCTAGCTAGCTGGTAAGCAAGTTGGTTAGCCTTCAACCCTATACCTCGATGCAATACCTTTACTTTACATTCAGATGTAATTATTTTCATTGTGAGGACCGGGCCTTGCCCCTATGATCACCAGACTTCATGTGAATTAGCTTTTGGTTTCTGGAAAACCATCAGCATTTGCTGGTTGTTGTCTGAGGACCAAAATCTCCAAACTTACAGTCTATATTATGAAAAGTAGCTGGCAACACTAGCCAGAAAGCTAATTCATACTATTCTAATATAAAATAATTCCAAATACATGTACATGATACATACTCGAGAATGCTCATGGTGGCATAGGAATGCAAACTGCTATAAGCTTCATCAACATACACTTGCTTGTAGCAAGAATAAGGATACCTGAAAAGGTAAAAAGAAAACATTGTAAAACATGTTTAACAAAATTATACTAATGGTTGAAAGCTACATAATGCTTTTGTATAAGGGGAAAGGTATCAAGGAAGAGTTCAAAAACTATGGATTACATGAGAGTGTGTTGAAAATTATAAAATGTGGATAAGAGAGGAATAATGAGGGTTTAGAGGAGACAAGGGTTGTATTGACTACAAATTTTTAGTAAAAAAGAACTGCAGACAGGCCAAAAAAGATTTTTTAATAGGGAATGCAAGGAGGTATAAAGTGATGAGAGAAGGCATAGCTGTAGGGAAATGCACAGAAATATTAAACAATTGAACCAGAAAAAAGGAAATAAATAGGGTGGGACTAAGAAAACCAAAGGCAGTAAGATCCTATGTGAGGCAGGAAGAGTAAATGAGAGATGGTAGGAGTATGTAGAAGACCTATACAATGATAAGGCTCGAGAAGAGGTAAGATACGAAAAGGAAATAAAGATCAAACTACCAATTTTGTTGACATAAGTTGAAGCTGCTGTGAGCAATATGACAAATGATAAAGAGTGTGGGGATGATCAGCTTCCAGCAGAATTTATAAACAAATGGGCAAAAATGGGATAAAATATTTGACTAAAATATATAAATTTATATACAGTACAATACATCAAAGGAGACCTTCCCAGTAATTTCAAAAAATCAATATTTGCTATATTACTTATATTGCCAGGAGCCTTAGAGTGCACCCAGGTTAGGACAATAAGCTTAATAAGTCATAACTGTAAAGTTTTATTAAACATAATTTTAAGTAAAATAAAATTTAGAATAGAGAGTGAGTTATCTGAAGAGCAAAAATGGATTTAGAAAGGGAAAAAGAGAGAATTTTAAGGGAAAGAACTTTGAATGTCTAAAGATATTTGTAAACAGTATCTACTTTGTTGATTTTGAAAACCTTTTGATAGGGTAAGACACAATAAACTTAGGAAGGTGTCTGATATATTGGATTTGGTAAATCATACCTGGTGGAGAGAAGCTCTTCATAAAATTCAAATGCTTCATGTAAATATTTGCTCGTTGCCTTCATAAGAGGCAACAGCTGTGGGAGACAGAAGTGGGTGATTTCATTCATAAAAGGATCCACGTAGATCTCAAAGGGCCTGTAAAAAAATAAGGGTTGTGTAAATTTTATTACACAAGGATAATAATTTTAGAAGATATAAATTTGTGTGTGACTTTCTATATTGATTTATACTGTCTATGATAAAATATGAAAGAGAGGTCCCACTGAACAAGAGATGTGTGCTCCTAACAACGCTCGTTGGGTGAACTCTCGTACAACGGGACTCATTTTCTCGTATGGTCCCGTGTTAAAAGCCAAGATCTCATCCAGCCCAACTATTTTCAACCCAAACCTGCATGGCTTAAATTTAGATGCACTCCAGCCCGAAGAATTCTGTCCCTAAAACTTACCCTAACATGAATAAATAATATTATTTCTATTAAGTCAAACTGGGTGCGACAACCTTCCCTACCCCCTCTAAATGCCTACTGTGGCACTGTTGGAGGGTACACCGATTTTCCCAGGGATGAATGTTCCTTTCCACTCGGGATGCCTCGGTACAGCACTGCTGGGGTTATATAGGGTGGTATGAGTGCATTTATCTCATCTTCTACCAAAACTTTCATGGTTTGATCACTCCTCTTCTCTTGCATATTGTCATCTATGTTTTTTTGTTTTGTTTTTTATTTATTTATTTTTGGCCTTCGCTTGGAATTTTTCTTCATTATTGTTTTCAATCTATTTCATAAGATTCATTAAAAAATTATAATAATAAAAAGAATTTTGGAATACTGAGTAGTAACCATGAACATTTTCCCATTAGATGTTAAATTTGCAAAACACAAATGTTCTGTATTGCATTCTTTTTGGGGCAAATAATTCTCATGTTCAATGAGGGTAGGATATATATAAGACAAAAGTAACAAGATGTATACTGAAAAAATTTATATTTGATATTGTACGTAAACAGCAGTGAAATGCACAACATTCTCAACTAAACTTACCCAACCACAAGGGCAATATTTGGTGCACATGTAGGAGTTGATAGGTGGTAATGGAAGGTTTTACGTCTCATATCTTGAGTGTAGACAACCTCCACAAGGTCTCCACAGCTTACAGCAGTCATGAAATCATCTACCGTAAATTCCAACCGCCATGTACAAACTTCACTCCAAGTGTCAATGCAGGGAAACCACAAACGAGCACTGTTCTCGTGGCCATATGTAAACATGTGGGCAGCTTTCTGTTAGAGAAGAATCCTGTGTATCAGATGTCTGAGAATACAAACAATGGCAGTGTAACATATAGAGAATTGGGCATCTAATGGTACTTATTGTATTAAGGTCAAAGAGCAGTAATAACAACAATTATGGAAACTGTGATGTACTAAGTATAACTACAGTCAGTCATCACTTAATGTTGAAATTCTCTTCCTGAAAACTAGCTGCTTGGGTAACTTAGACCGTTCATATTCTGCTGCCATTGTTCAAAGTTGTTCCCTTGCTCACTGCTGTTTTCACATACAATTTGTATTGTGCAGTACTGTACATTACCTCACCAGGACACAATCAGCCAAGAATAGTGTTAAAGCAGTGTTAAGATGTAAAAAGTGATTACAGTTACATATAACATACTGTACATTTAGTAACAGTGAAAGTACAGTTCATAGCAGAGTGGACACTGGACAGTGTATGCCCGGCACATGGGGATGCATTGGAGCATGGTGCAATCTCTCAGAACTCCCAGGAAATTTATTCCCAGGCCCAGAACGGAGAGGTTTGGAGAGATTTTCTCTGAACCTTCTTGGAATTTTTTCCTGAAAATGCTCCTGATTTTCATCATTGCCAACTTGTTCACAGATCCCAAATGAAGAGAATTTTTCCAGCCCAATTTCAATTCCAGCTATTAAAGAGTTCCAAGGACTGGGTATTCTGGCTAACTGTGTTATTAATAGGGAGTACTGTAGTGTACTGTAGTGTACTGTACTGTACTCGGTGTTTACCGTACTGCCGTTTGAACCTGTTGTTCACCCTCCATGCTTCACTGTATTGTATTGTACATTATAGTGCAATACACATTTTCACTGATATAGGCAAGGATAATATAGGAAGTACAGTACAGGAATGAGTAATTGTGAGTGAAAGTCCCTAGCCCCTACCTTTCTCATTATTCCTTGTAGGGAAAATTACTTTTGATTTACGCAATCATTTTCAAGATGACATGTTTTGCGTAAATCAAGAGGTGGCTGTATATGGAAATCCCTTGTGAGCCTCCTGAAGAACATGACAAAAGGTATCTATAAATAATACAAACACACACTTCCTTACCTCAACTAATGTACCCTCAGTGTTGGGAACCACAAAATGTAAGCCAGACTGGGGTTTCTCCAGAGAAAACTCTACCCCAACTTTCAAAGGCTTTCCTTCCTGGATCATGTGCTGTGCTTCTGAAGGAACAACGATGACAAGTTCCCCCCTGCCCACTTCTGGGTCCACTGAGGTTACTCCCGTTGACTGGCATTTGTTTAGATAATCTAGGTTTCTCCTGTTTAAAAGAAAATAACAGAGTAATATTAAATGTCTTTCAGTAAGTGTCTATAAAGTAACCAGAAAAACATACTAACTAGACTATACTGTTTGTAGCATTGGTTAACAAGAATAAGGGACTGGAGCCTAAAATAACCTTTTTTGCCTGAGAGAGGAGTATACTCTATCTATGGTGCAGTGTGTTCTGGGAATTTGTACACAGATATGTCTTGGAAGTTTACGGGGGTGGGAGAGTTACCTTGATAAAACAAAAACTGGAAAATTCACAAATTCAGGATACTCCTGTTCCATTCAGTTCCAGATTTCAGATCATACTGTAATTAACTAAGTAGCCCAAGCTTACAATGCCCCAGAATCACAGTATTAATAAAACTACTTTGGAATAGCTTTAGTAGTAGTGGCACCACAAAAAAGGATCATTAAACTGCATAGGAAAATATTTTCTAAATGAATTTTTATGAACAAATTTCTACATATTAGTGTTTTGTTATTCACTGAAAGAGTTACTGTATATGCATTACTTACTGTTTGCTCTCTTGCTGACATACTTCCAGGAGTGGGTCAAAATATTGGAATTGTACTTCTAGAGTGTCATTGAGGGTAACACGATAGACACAGCACTGTTTACAGTTGAGCCATATATAACGGATGCTATCCTTTGAAGGAATGAGCGTGAGTTCAGTGAAGCCCTAGAAAAGCACACAAGAAAAAAATATATTCATTTTGTATTTCCACTTCACTTAAAATATCCTAACCATACAGTATTTGCAATCCAACCCCAACCAGATCACAAATTACAGTACAGTACTATATAAATATAATCCAGGAACACATCTTCACACATTAAATTGTTCAAGTTTTAGAAACTTTTTTATAATTATAATTTACCAGCAGAAATAAATTCAAAACCAACACAATTATGATATCATTACATGAAGATATTTACTAGAGTCAGTGCCCAGTTAATATACTGTATATTTAATGTAGAGGTAATGTACATTAACAGAAACACACTTACAGGTACCGTAATTGTATCATATGTTTGATCTTACAACTACATACGTATGTACTGTACACAAACAGCACATGCAGTCCACAAAAAAGGATAATTTATTTTTCCTTCTTTATAATTTTAAATGCTGGATGAAATACTTTGATATTCTCCAGTGCATCATCATGTGTTGATATGCCTGCTCCCCACATTGGTTATACTGTACATGGAACTATTTTTAAAATATTGGTAGGAAAAAAATTTAAATTGCTGGTCATTCTGATATTCACCTAAAAATCTAACAAATAAACATAAATTTCAACCATATGTCATCTACCTATGTAGGCACATAAAAATAATAGTCCCTAAGAAAGTTTGTTATACAGTACATGGATTATAGGGATGTTAGAGCAGTAAGAGTGAATCAATGAATGACATCAAATGAAGACTGCATAATAGTGAGAGATATCTTGTATAAGTGACAAAAATAGATAACCAAGAATTGCCATTACCTTTAAGAAAAAAAATAGTTAAACTGTACAATAAGGTCTGTTTATTCTAAAGTGAATATTGGTATTGGATGCAACCTATGTACTGTACTATACTTACAATAACAGTTTGTCGCACAAAGTTGATGCCAGTCAGACTCAGGATCTGATGAGACGTACTGAAATAATTGTCAATTTAGCTGAAGAAATTTGTACATATTAATACAAACAATACAATACTGTATCAACATAAACTAAAAAAGTTATTAACTCTTGGACGACACCTTATTTTGTCTGTCAACGCCTGTATAATTGATTTAAATTTAGGTACTAGGAAAATTATGAAAAAAAAAGACGTTGTAACCTGGTCAACAAGGAATCTCTTGGAACCAAGTAAATTGATGTACAGCATGCCCTTCAAATTTGCGGATTTTTAATTCGCGGATGACACCCTGGATGTACCCAATAATGTCTAAGGGTAATTTTAAAGTTGCTGGCATTTATGCGGCTGGGACAGGGAGCCATTCATTCTACAGAAAGTAATTTCCTTTATCTGTATTGTATATACAGTGGGGTATGCTATAACGAACGGATCCTACTACGAATATTCCTATAACGAACGGTTTTACCTATAAAATTGAGAATGCTATAACGAACGAAACTCCTACAATGAACATTATTTATTTTATTTTTTATTTTTTTTTCTAATTTATTGTTTTTTTATTACAAATATTAATGATATTCTTTATTTCAGGGGTTTAGATGCATATTTATGCACTTTTTTACAATTTTTACAATTTTATATTATATTTTTCAGTGTTAAGTGGTTGTATTTGGGGGCCTGGAACGGATTAATCCTATAACAAACGAATGCTATAACGAACAAGGTTCTAGAACCAATTAGATTCGTTATAGCATACCCCACTCAGTGGGGTATGCTATAACGAACGGATCCTACTACGAATATTCCTATAACGAACGGTTTTACCTATAAAATTGAGAAAGCTATAACGAACGCAACTCCTACAACGAACGCGGATGAATACCGGACTATTTCGCCTGGCGCATGAATATTGTTGTACCGCGACCCACAACAAGAGCGTCAGGCGCCATCTTTGTCTCATTGTGTAGCCAGTGCACCACTGTTATTGTTGAAATTTCGTCTTTTGATGTGGAAATAGAGTTATTTGTATAAATATTTTGTTATACAAGTGTACAATTGTGACAATGAATCGTTCAAAGCGAGTGAGAAAGCTCATAACTCTTGAAACTAAGAAAGAAATCATAAAGAAACGTGAGGATGGAACAAGCATTGCGAAACTTAGTGTTGAGTATGGGATGGCTAAATCGACTATATGTACGATTTTAAAGAATAAAGAGGAGTTGAAAACAGTGCAAGTGGCTAAGGGAATCTCTAGACTTAGCAAAGCAAGGTGTAATGTTATTGAGGAGATGGAAAATTTACTCTTAGTGTGGATAAAGGAGAAAGAAATGGCAGGTGATAGCATTAGTGAAGCTATAATTTGTGAGAAGGCCAGACAATTGTTTGAGGACCTTAAAGCCAAGACTCCCAGTGCAAGTGATAGTGATGTGCCAGTGTTTAGGGGTACCAAGGGGTGGTTTACTGGTTTCAGAAGGAGAAATAAAATACATAGTGTTGTGAGACATGGTGATGCTGCTAGTGCCGATAAGGAAGCAGCTAAGGAACACCATGACATTTTCTTGAATATTATTAAAGAGGGAGGCTTTGTTTCTCAGCAAGTAATCAACTGTGATGAAACTGGACTATTTTGGAAAAAAATGCCTCGCCGTACATACATTACCAAGGAGGAAACTTCTGTCCCTGGCCATAAGCCAATGAAAGACAGGCTTACCCTCCTTCTTCTGGTGACTGCAAAATAAAGCCACTCCTTGTGTACCATGCAGAAAACCCCAGAGCTTTAAAAAACATTAGGAAGACCCGCCTTGGTGTTATGTGGCGGTCAAACCCAAAGGCTTGGGTGACCAGGAATTTATTCTCTGAGTGGGTGATTGAGGTGTTTGGACCCAGTGTTCGGGAATACCTCAGGGAGAATAATCTTCCACTAAAAGCTTTGTTGGTGATGGACAATGCACCAGCCCACCCTCCTAATTTGATGGTTGAATTGCCAGAGGAGTTCAACTTCATCACTGTGCACTTCTTGCCACCCAACACAACACCTCTCATCCAGCCCATGGATCAACAGGTAATTTCTAACTTTAAGAAGCTGTACACAAAGGCACTGTTTAGAAAATGTTTTGCGTCCACTTCTTCCAGTGATGTTAGCTTGAAGGAATTTTGGAAGAGTCACTTCAATATAGCAGATGCTGTATTTTTAATTACTTCAGCCTGGAAAGAGGTTACTGTGAGGTGTCTTTGTGCTGCTTGGAGGCCATTGTGGCCTGAATGTGTCCTTCAAAGAGACTTTGAAGGCTTCGAAGAGTTAGAAGAAGAGGCTGTTGTTCATGAAATTGTGGCTCTGGGCAATTCCATGGGCCTGGAAGTGGATGATGATGATGTTGAGGAGTTGGTGGAAGAGCACAGTAAGGAACTGTCCACTGAGGAGCTGCTTGAGCTTCACAAAGAGGAAAATGAGACACTGAAGCGGAGCTTAACTTCTGAGGAGTCAGGGGAGGAGGAGGACAAGGAGGAAAGCCGCATCATTCCAGCCAAAGATCTCAAGGATGCGTTCTTTTGCTGGAGCAAACTGTCCAAGCTTGCTGAGGATTATCATCCTGATGTTGGTTCTGTGCAAAAGGCCATCAGTGTGTTCAATGACAATGTTATGAACTACTTTTGGAAGGTCCAGAAATCAAGGTTGAAGCAGCCAACCCTGGATACCTTCTTTACAAAGATAACAAAAGAACATACAGACAAAGTGCCTGTGAGACAGTCACCAAAGAGGGCTAGGAAGGATGACTCCTCTCCTTCCACCTCTTCTCAATAATTCTCTCCTCCCCCCTCCCCCTCTGCCTCCTGTCCTGCATGCTGAACAACACTAAGGTAAGATAAAGTACCGTATTTTTTACATTTTCCACAGAATTTTTTCAGTGTTAAGTGGTTGTATTTGGGGGCCTGGAACGGATTAATCCTATAACGAACGAATGCTATAACGAACGAGGTTCTGGAACCAATTACGTTCGTTATAGCATACCCCACTGTACAAGGTAAATATTTGTTAAGACTGAGAGTTAAGACTTTACAATCTTCTAGCTACTGGTACATAATATTTAAAAATAAGATAATGAGAATCACTCAGATACTTATAATTTATATGCCTTCTGAATTTCTCTGTCCTTCTTCATTGTTTCAAATTCTTGTGGACTTTTCCTCGTTCATTTCAGTCACTGAATACTGGTACACCTGAAGAAAAAATATATACTATATATATACTGTATATAATATACTGTATACTACAGTGCATACAGTACTGTGTGTGTGTGTGTATATTACAGTAACTTGAATCTGGGGCAATTCAAACATACAAACAGTTGCACTGAGGAGCAACTTGCCAGTTACTGCTACATTATATGATTTATTGTTCATAAAATTGATGCTTCACATTTTACCACTGATAAATAAAATAATGTAGAAATATTTAGTAATTTTGTTATGCATTCCTGTGCATCAAATGAAATATTTTGGATGTAAGGAAAGGAGCAAGGGTGTTGGATCTCACAGTTGTAGATTAGTGTTTAAGATGGGAAAAACATGTACTGTAATTTATATTACAAAAGTGTATTCCTCATAATATTTTTTACCTTCTCATGAGGTAAGAAACTATTTTTTACGTTTTTCGGTGTTTTACTCAAATCTCACCTTCATTTCTTGTGCAAATTAACAGTTTTTGCTAAACTTAAAAAAAAAGGAGGTCAAATTTGAGTAAAACACACCAAAATATACAAAAAAAATATATTCTCATACCAAAGGAACCAACCTACCTAACCTAACCTACAAGGAGGAAACAACTGACTCTTAAGTGAGGAGTATAACCTCAGTCTCAGGTAAACATGGCGGAAACCTACAGAAAGCCAATGGACGAATATGGGGTACTGGAAAAATTGCAGATTACAGCAACCAAGGAATCTGATAAAAAAAAAAAAATTCTGGTAGTTTTTGATGCAATTGGTTCAAATCTGACATTCGTTTTTATCGGAAATCACTCGTTTTGGATTTAGGCCCCTTCCCTCTAACAATAATGGGGGAAAGTGTGGGAATTCAGGGTTCTGGGGGGGGGGGGAGCCAAAACGAGTGATTTATGGGAGAAGCAAATTCCAAAATTGTCCGATCGCAGCAAGAAAACATCAAAAGAACACATTATGCAACAGAAATTCTGTTATTTACGAAAAAATAGTATCAGTAATTGTTCCATTGATTGCGTGTTCTGAATTCCCGGTACTCTGTGCTTGCTAACTTAAACAATATAACCAAACTAAACCTTACCTAACCCCCTAGCCCAGACCCCATTGGCCCCCAGACGACTCGATACCCTTCCCCCGCAGGTAAGCGAACGTACGAACACACATAATTTGAGCAACAGCGTAGGGGCAACAGGTGGCTCTGATTTTATTTCATTTTTTTTAATTCAATAACTTCATTATTATCAATTTGCGACGGAAGTAATATTAGAAGATTAGGTTAATATAAAGGGCTAACCCGCCGGGCTGCATAGCGCCGATGCGGCCATATCATTTCACGTCCAGAAATGCCTCAAATTTCACCATATCATTGTTTAATATACCGGGGAAGTTAGGAAGGTTTGTTTGGTTGGGTCTGTTCTTTATAACCACAAATGTTAAGTAGCGTTTATTTTTAAAATATCCGTTTTTTAACACATTTCCACAAACTACATCAATGTCCACTATAATATAACAATGAAAATCCGGCGTTTTTTTAGGGTCCGACTAATTACCCAAATATAGCCGGAATGAAGTCAAATGATGGTCGTAGAAGAGTAATTCGGGCTGTGAATCACTTCTCGACTAGTATTTGGTGTCACAAAGTCACAAAAAATTGGTAAACTTAATTTAATCTGAGTTAATAGATCAAGTGCATGTACCTAACCTAACCTAATCTAATCTAATCTAATCTAATCTATTCTAATCTAACCTAACCTAACCTAACCTAACCTAATCTAATCGTATCTAACCTAACACAACACAACTCAGATTAAATTAAGTTTACCAATTTTTTTTGACTTTATGGCACCAAATACTAGTCGAGAAGTGATTGGCAGTCCGATTTATTCATCTAGGACCATCATTTGACTTCATTCCGGCTACATTTGGGTAATTAGTCGGTCCGGTTTTTTTATGATTGTTTTCAATCAATTTGGCCCACCGGTTAGTCCTATATAATTGCCGAAAATTATCATAGAAACAATAGTTCTAATGACTGAGTGTAGTGAATTGAACCCTGTGCTTGCTGTTCACTACAATATTATCTGAACATTAACCCAAACTCGAAAATGGAAACGAGAACCAGACCCAACCAATGAAACATACCTAACATTACAGTCGTGGGTCAGGGACATATTAGGCAGAATAACTTACTTTGATAATTAAAAGTTTAGATGAAGTAAAGGAGCCGATCAGTGGTGAAGGAGATAAAGTAAAACAAATGAGAACATAAACTGTACTTACTTCACCTTAGGGGCAGGAAGAGCACTAAATCGAGAAGAAATATATCAAATACCTCCCTGAAGAGACCATTAGAGGTGGGGGGTCGTTAACTCAGACTACTGGGGTCGTTAACTCAGACTACTGGTGTTGTTTATCTCCCGGTAACTTCTCTAAAGCTGTACGGTAAGACATTTCTCATTGTAAATACTAATAACTACATATATTCAAGAAAATAAACTACATATATATAAATAAAAAATTATTGATCAACATATATTTATCTAGGGTATATAATATTTCTTAGTGATTAATATAGAAGGAGTGTAGTGTACCGGGTGATGCAGACACTGTTTACTGCCACTGGGAGGGAGTAGTAAGGTCAATTGGTGAAGGATTATATATTATCATGACCTTATGTCCAGTGTTAAGGTTATCGGTAGTATTATACTATGGATCATACATCATGACTGTTGTGCCCCTTAACCAGGAACTTGAGGAGATTATTCAATTGAAAATAAGGGCTTTTACCGTCTGACGAATTACCCTAATGTAGCCTCAATGAAGTCAAATAATGGTCCTACAAGTGTAAATTGGACTGTGAATCACTTCTCGATTATTATTTGTTGTCATAAAGTCACAGAAAATTGGTAAACTTAATTTAATCTGAGGTGTGTTAGGTTAGGTTAGGTACATGCACTCGATCTATTAACTCAAATTAAATTAAGTGTACCAATATTTTGTGACTTCGTGCCACCAAATACCAGTCAAGAAGTGATTCACAGTCCGATTTACACTTGTAGGACCGTTATTTGACTTCATTGCGGCTACATTAGGGTAATTCGTCGGACCCCTTTCTTACCTTTAGCCATCAAGTTGTTAACCCCTGGAACAAGTTACCACAGAGGTAGTTGACTGTTGCTAGTTTGGCGAACAATTTTGGCCTCATTGCTCAATATTTGGTGCTTAATGCAATGGAGATAATCATTTGGGTAATTATTGACGACTGACCTGTCACTGATTTTTCATTGAAAACGATTTTTAAAATGCTACAATATAACTTGGTATTATTGCAGTTTCGGCCAATACACTGCCGACTGTTTTAACCTAATCCAACCCTAGTTGATAAGAAAAACAAGCCGCAGAAGTGCTGTTACAAGACCTCACCAACCTAACCGATGAAACTTACCTAACCTTACCTAACTTCCTAGCCATGGGGATCAGCCCCCGGCATATTTTTATGTGGACATGAGAGCAGCCGCCTGGTTTGTGTGGCTCATAAGATACACTGAGTGTAGGCCTCGATCAGAATGCAGTGCAGGGGAGTGTTTTAAAACGCATCAATATGATTGGTTGCTTACATCTGGGAACAAAACATCACCATGGCATTACCATCAAGAAATTATTATAATATCAGAACTCAGTGATGAAATTACAGGAAGAAAATAAACAGCAAAACAAATAACGCGTAGGCGGGTTAGTCATTAATATTAACCGTCTTTTTTTTTGGAGGAAATGATAAAAAAAATAAATAAACTTACGAGCTGAGAGTTACGGTTATTTTTTATTTTTTTATTTATTTATGTATTTTTTTTTTATTTGCATTAATACAACTTTTTCTCATTGAAAAGCGACAAATATTGAGGAAACTGAAAAAAATTGTCGCCAAAACTTAACTGGAGTAACTGGGGGGATCCGCCCCCGAGACCCCCAATTTTTAATTTAACCAATCATAAACTAAACTAAGCTTACCTTACCTTACCTTACCAGTCATAACTTAACCAAACCTAAATATTCCTAACCTTGACTAACATTTATTTGGAGGCTGGGAAGGACCGAATGATTTCCTTGGGAAAGTGATGCAGGACTGTACAGTGTGTGTAATAGACTTGACCGGCCAATGGGATGGGAAATTCTCTTAAATTTGAACATTTTGACATTCTTCATTTGCCACACAGTGAGGTCACCAAGTGGCTGGTGTGGAGAATAATCTAGAGTTCAGAGGGGCTGGGACAGTACCATCTTCAGTTGATAACTGACTTCCAGATATTAATAATTTCCACGACACATTACAGTATTACTAAATTGATCTCATTATCCTGTCTCTAAAGATATTATTGAGTAACTGTGAATGTAACAACAGTCATGGTCCAAAGTTTAGCCATATTCTTTCCTTTGTTAAGAGTGTTTCTACTGTACAGTGTGTCTAGAATATAATAATTCTTCACGCTGTAGTACATTATTTTTTTTGGTATGTTACATATATTTGTATTTTGATTTTTTTTTTCACACAGGTTGAAATGCAGAGGCAGTTGCTACATAAGAGTAAGCTATAAACTTTCTACAGATTTCCTTCCGTTGTTAATTTTAGATGAACTGTACAGTATATACAGTACCAGGTATGTGCAGTAATATTGTATACTGTATCTAGTACATACCTGTAAATTGCCATAGTGTATTAAAAATTGTAATAATAATGTGGGTACAACATTTGTAATACTCTGACTGCATGACTGTGAATGATGTTTTTTCCAGTTCTAATTTGAAAGCTTTTTACAGTACCGTACCTGTACCTATATTGTACTGTATACAGTACACTGTATCTAAGGGGTGTTGGGAAGACCACCCAGTCATAAGATGTCTTTCCCCTGGTCTTTGGGGTATTTTGTGGGTTGGTGTCTAAACCCACATGGCAAAAGTGATCAGCGTACACATCATAATAATAATAATAATAATAATAATAATAATAATAATAATATTTAATAATAATTATTAGTAATTAATAATATTAATTAATAACAATAACTTGTAATTGTTTTTTGCTTTTCCTACGGGGATTAGCCTACCCGAGCACAGGTCACTGACCAACATCGGGACTTAGGGGGGCGAAAATGTAATAATAATAATAATAAAAAACCATAAAGAAATACAAAAATGATCAAAAGTGAGAAACAATATTTGTATGCTGTGTTGTCAATAGTAAGAGAAACAATTGAGACCCTGCAATTGTGTAAATGAGGCACACAAATGTGGTTCAAGGGCCGCATGCTGCTTTCAAACTATGGGTTGGGGACCACTTCTGAGTGTAATCCATTCAGTTTTTTGCATAACTAATGAAATGAGAAAAATTTCAATGGCTACACATGTACAGTACAGTGGTCCCTCGGTTAACGAGCACAATCCGTTCCAGCAGGTTGCTCGTTAACCGTAACCATTGTTTCAATGGGTTTTTGGGTAATTGGTTCCAGCTCACCGAAAATTGCCTAAATTCAACAAAAAAGGTAGAAAAGTACACTTACTTTGAGGTGTGTATGTAGAAGCCTCCTGGATGATGATGATGATGGGAATTAGAATGGGGGTGGAGGAGAAGAGAAGGCATTGGGGTGGAAGAGAAGTCACCCCATGGCGCCATTTCACCCATAAAATTTTAGTTCTCTTGGTGTATTTCAAGATTATTTTCTTTAAATCAACACTGCACTGCATTATATATTGTCTATATGTAAAATAAATTTCAAAATGACCAATAATTTGCTTGCAAACACAGAAAAAAGCATTTAGTTGAAGAGAGTCTCAAGCAAGATGTGACCTCCACTGAAAAGACAGAGACTGGCGCCTGTTTGGTGTGTTGCCAGGCTGGATGGCGCGCATGAAACTAGTTTCCTTACCTTCAATTATGTTCAATAATTGTTAAAATGACAAAAAATTTAATATTAAACTTTTAAAATTATTGAATAGTATAAACTTCTTGATATTTACTAAAATAGTAAGGAATTTAAGCCCTAAAACCGATTACTGTATTGGCAGACTAATACTACAGCTGATGGACCGCCAAATGCAAGCGAAAACATGTTGAGGTCGGCTCGTAATAAACTCGTTAATCGAGGGATTGCTCGTTAACCGAAGTTAAGAATCTTATGGAAGGTAACTCGTTAACCGAAATCTCGTTAACCGAGGGATCACTTTACAGAACTGTAATCTGAGCACTGTAGTACCTCTAATTCACATAAACAAAAAAAAGATGCAGTAACGATGTTCTATTTTACACTCTGATTCCAAAGTTTTCACTCAACTTTGTCTACACTTGCTCTACTTCTGTTACAAAATTAAATTAATGTCCAACATCTTTATTACAATGACAGTATTCCAAGCCACTTTGTCATATACCTTCACCAGGTCCATGAATCATTCACAAAATGTTTCTTTATTAATAATTTTATTATGAATTAATTTCATACACTTGGTTTTATTTCAGTCTATTCTTCTGTTTCCAGATTTCGTCATTATTCTCGTGTTGGTGTTCACAGCAGGAGTGAACTCATGGGAAAGTTTGGAAGTGTCAAAAGATGTTGAATTAAATGAAAATATTGATTTCCAGAAGACATCAATTAGTACAGAGAATAAAAATGAAGTGGATGCCTTACATGATAAAGAAGATTCATATTCAGAAAATAGTAATCCAACATTAAGCAATGTAAAAGATACCTGTAGTACTATTCATGATGAAAAATCTTGTAACTTGATGGATTCTGCAGCACTGGATGAAGATGATGACCAGAGTGAATTATCACTACTTGGAGAACATGATGATAAAGATGTCAATACTTTACCACAAGAGTATTGTACCAACATTGCTGGGGAAGACAATCATGATTGCCAACACCAATCTGATGCTACGCTTACGAATGCAATGCAAGATGACCAAATTAATGGTGAGGAAGAATTGGTAAAATCTGATAAGACATCAAATGGAGAAGTTGAAGATGGGGATAATAATCAAGACTTGGGCAGAAATGAAATTCTGGTGCATGACTATACAGGGAGAGTATCAGAAATAGATGATCTACATCCAGATTTGGAAAATGTCCCTCTCAGGGAAATACTACTGAAACTTAAGGTAAGTTGCAGTACTGTATTGTGTATATCAATTATTATATCTATTAGGGTTACTTTCATTTTCTGACTATTGCCCACAAATAAGGTGGTTCTTGTAATATGGGTGACTTACCAGAAGGTTTTATGTTCTTATACAGGCCCTTCAGTGTTAGTTAGGACTGATTGTTCATTGGGTTATACAGTTCTAGTCATCCTTTCCTCCCCCATCACACCATCCCCTCAAAATGAAGGTGACTTGGTGCAACAGCTCCCTCTAGTGCCAGTGGTTCCCAACTTTTTGCTATGATGGATGACCCATAAATTACTTTTCCAAAGTTATTGCAATCCCACCTTAAAATGAAGTACAGCACAGGTACACTACTAGTATCTTATTCATGATCCAATATTCATTAAAACCAGAAAATTTGGGTATCTTAGGAAGCTGGAGATACTGGGTGTGGAAAACACATGAGAGAGCAAAACAACAGAGACTAAAAATTTACGTGTGTAAATAATAATAATAATAATAAACGGTTTATTGAAACAGTTTGCAGCCCGAAGGCTGAAAATATACATTGGACATAAATGACTTATTATATACATTGGTGGTTTAACAAAAGCTTTCATTAGAGAAAGGTGAGGGAACATACAGTGAACCTACAGATTAATGTTTACACACGTAGATCATGTGAGCTGAGGTGTTGAACAGCAGACACGTAGTGTAGTAACTCCCTCACAGATGGCGTTATGAGGGGCATCACGTGGAGTACTAGTTCCCTCACAGGTGGTGTTATGAGGGGCTTGACGTGGTGTAGTAATTCCCTTACAGATGGTGTTACGAGGGGCCTGATGATGTAGTAGTTCCCTCACAGATGGTATATGAGGTGTGTGTGTGTGTGTGTGATGTACAATTAAAAAATCTTCAAAGATTTTAATCATGATTATGATAATATATTTTTACCACATTTTTACAAAACTACCGGGTATGACTTTTCCAATCTATAGATGTTATTTTAAAAAATAAAGAATTTTTGCACAAATTGTAAACAAAAAATGTATTTATACGTAGTTGAATAAGACAGGAAGAATTATTACACAGAATTTGCCCTTTATATAAGGTTTTGTTTTCAGCCAGAAGGTCTGACAGATGATGAGGATGAAGCAAATATGGAAGAAGATATTGAGGTCAGTACATTTCAGATACCCAGGTTTTAGCTTTCTACAGTTGTTGTATATTGAGCCAAATTAATTTTGCCATATATAGTAGATTGAAAATTCTAACATTGCCCTTGAGTCAGATAAAGATCCCCTCTCATGCATCCGATACATTTTTAGGTTTCCGTAACTACAACAAAAGTCATATGGGACCATTCACGTGAAGTCTGTTCATCCTCTTTTTATAAGACAAGGATTTGACTATTTGTTTTTTGTTCCAAATAAGGAAAAAATTAATTGTGTTCTCAGCATCGTGTCTAGTAAATTATTTGAAGTTGGTAAAATTATTTTCCCTAATTTTACAACTCTTAAAAATATATGAAAGATATTCTGTTAACACAAAATTTTCTTCATCTCAAAACTCATTCCATACCTGTAGATGCAAATTTCTGCTACTAGATCTTCCATAACTCTAGGAATAACTGTACTAGGTACAGTCAATCAAAAAGCTACAGTATCTGTACTTGGGAGGTCGATGAATTTCAGGATGAATACTGTGACTCCTGTTGTCTCCGTAGGGTTGCCAAAATCCTACGTCCTTTGTGTAATATTGTCTAGCACAATATTGTAAGGATTGTTTTTGATTGACTGTCCAGGTAAGTGTAACATATGAGATTGACTAAAAAATTATCCCTTCTTGTACTTCATGATAACAGAAATGCTTCTCTCATTTTTATTTATAGGTGGAAGAGGAAGTATTAGTTTCATCAGGCTCAGCTGAGGAGCAAGAGGAAATCCTTGACAATGATAGTAGCAACAGCAGCAGCAGTGGTAGCAGCAATAGTAACAGTAGTGGTGGTGGCAGCAAAAAAGCTGTTTGCTTGGAGCTTAATGTAACTGAACCTGTTATTGATGTTGAGGTAATTATCTTGCGTGTGTTCAGTGTTTTTTTTTTTTTTTTAATATTTATGACCTTTTGCTGTTTACAGATCAGTAAAACTGTGCACCTTCCTAGATCATTTTATTTCAAATCAACGTGTACTCTTGTGTTGAAAGTGCAGTAGAAAATTAGCCAGTTCGTTTAATCAGAAATCCTCCCTTTTAATCATCATCACCATTTTATGGCCATTTTCCGTGCTTGCATGAGTTAGCCATGATTACCTGGTGGCAGCTGTTGGGTAAAACCAGAATGAGGTGACTCCACACCTCCCCACTCACCACCTCAAACCCAGGACACCGGCCCAGAAAATGCAGCAGAGGCCAGGGGATGGGCACAGTCTGATGACCTGATTGTCATCAGGCATATTGAAGCAAAGTTTTACATAGTCCAGAAAAAAATGGTATAGCTCAACCCACACCACATAAAAGGTTTGGCTGTATATTTTGTTAGGGTAAGCCTTCTGGAACATTTCTAGGGTGGGTGTCATGTCAGGTTGTGGTAAAAAAAGTTATACAGGCCAATTACCATTATAGTGGTTATGCCATGTCTCAAAAATGAGGTGTGGTGGGGTGCTGTAAATGATCTTATGGTTTTACCCTGGCTGTAAGTTTAGGAAATTAAGATATCACAGCACCAGAAAAGATGCTTCATCACACAAAACCCTTTTATTTAACAGAGCAGAGAAGAGTTCTCATAAGTACAATAGTATACAAAATACCCTGTATACCAAAAGTGATACATCCGTTGGTGCAGAACACTTCCAGGAATGAGAGATTTCTGGGTAATGAGGCGACTCCCTCAAAGCCAGAAAAAATCACTCATCCCCGGAATTTTCCAGAAAATGTGCCCCTCAGAGAATTGTTCCCAAACCTCGAATTATCCAGAAAATTCCGATTTTGGAAACGATTTTCTGAGAAAATTTCAGTTCCAGCTGTTGGAGAGTTCCGGTTAAGATGGATATTACTACTGGATACAGGAAATCATTGGCATGAAATATCACTGAGAAACATAAATGTTTTTCTTTTTCTCTATTCCAACTCATAAAATAGGAATTCCCGTGATGTGATAACATGTACAATATAGATACACTCGCCAATCAAATAGTAGTAGCAGTTTAGCACTGTACTCTTGTTCCTGTAAGCTTTTATGGACTAAATTTTACAGATACACTGTAATTAATGTAATGTGGGTAGTCACTTAGTGTACATCAACACTTAAAAACACCAGTACTTGTCACTACAGTTATGTAGACTTAAAACTAAAATATTACAGGATAGCAGGGCCTTATGCACATTGTATCCATCATGGATAATGGCCAACCTGCTTGACTATATGCCGGTTGCTGTGAGAGAAAATACTGTATAGCTATTGGATGTGTTTGATGCAAGTGTGCTGGAGGAGATATTAACATGTGATACAGTACTGTACTATGTTAACATGTGATACAGTATTGTACTATATTAACATGTGATACAGTACTGTACTATATTAACATGTGATACAGTACTGTACTATATTAACATGTGATACAGTACTGTACTATATTAACATGTGATACAGTACTGTACTATATTAACATGTGATACAGTACTGTACTATATTAACATGTGATACAGTACTGTACTATATTAACATGTGATACAGTACTGTACTATATTAACATGTGATACAGTACTGCACTATATTTACATGTGGTCATTGAAGGTCGTCAAGATACTAAACTGTGTTCTTTATTTTAATGTTTTGTGTAAAATTATACTGTGCTTCAATATGTACAGAATACTCCCATAAGCTTTGCAGTGTACAGGTATTTGATTCAGTGAATGTGTTAATCAAACATTGAAAAGGCAGCATCATTCATACACTCCTTCCTCTTTATGCCTAAGTACTATTTCATCTCTTTCATACTGCCGCCTGACTACAGTATACTGTGCAGGTAATTTTAAATTATTAAATCTGGCCATATGAATGTAAACTTTATATTGTATATGTCCCTCATATAGGAACTTTTTTCACTGTTCTTTTCATGTATTGTCCCCGTTTTTTACATATTTCTGAAAGAAGAAGAAAAATTAAAATAACAATATTGACAAACTTGTGAAAATATAATCCATACTTTTCAGATCATCAATGCAACAGCACTGATGAAGTTACTACAGATTGATCCCAATGTAACAAGTAGATCATCAGCTGGTCCATGTTACCTTGTGTATTTCTTCAGTCCATATTGTCCTTTTTCTGTCATGGGCTCACCATATGTCAATGCTCTTGCTCGTTCAGTGCCAAATATTCCTGTCTACGGTCTGGACAGCATTGAACACCACAGGTCAGTTTACCCTGCATCTTTCTATTATATCCATTTGGTTGGGAGTATTGTACCTAGTCTTCTGTGATAACATTGAATATTAGCAGTCTTATTGTTCTCATCATATATGAAGTTCATTTATTGTAAGCAGCTTAACACTTTCTCCCTGTTAGGTTATTCTGAACACACATGCTTTTCTAACACCCACAAGAAAACTAGCTGAGTGTATTTTGGAATAAGATTATTATGAGAATTTGCATTTTGTGAACATTCAGTTATATAGAGTACTGCATGTAAAATCCTTGTTTATATCCAGTAATCCCTCACTACTGTATTACCATTCTCTGTTGTTATATGGTCTGTTGTCGTGCACTCTGTGTGTATCCAGCATTTTTCATACCCAACCAAAATGTTTCTATTCAAAATTTTCCAATACAGTACATATCATTTTCTTGGCAGATGTTTGTTATATTTTACTAAATAAATATTCATCTTTTAAGGCATAGATGTGGATGTATCATATTCAGGGCTGTGTTATGATAATCTAGGGCTGCATTAAGATAACCTAGGGCCCTGTTAAGATAACCTAGGGCCCTGTTAAGATAACCTAGGGCCCAGGCACTGATCCCAATACAGTACTGCATTGAGTTTCTTCATGCTTTTTGTGGGCACAAGGCTAGCTACACATACAGAACACTTTAAGTCATCAACATCCTACACTCTACCACTTACTCCACTGCACGTATTGTGTACCCGCCTTCCAAACTCGTTGCTCATTATTGGAGGACATATGTGACAGAATAAAGGAAAATTAAGTTATTAATTCCTTATTATTTGAAGATTCACAGGCAAGATATGTGGACCATACTTTCTGGAACAAGGGTAAGAGAAATGAGATGAGGGTGTTTCCAGGGGCATGGATGGGAACTTTGGTAGAGAGGCTGGATAATATGTCTGAAAATGGAACAAAACCCATTATCTGATTTCATGCAAGAGGCAAGGATATTGTCCTGTGTAGGAGTGAAAAGCTTCTAGGCTGGTACGAGGCTACTATAAAGGTTATTTGGAGGAAGGAAGGTGCACCTTCCTTGTTACATGTGGCATCCCACCAAGAAGAGCAGTTGGCAATGAATGGTTGTACAGGGCAATTGGTATCAGTTGCCTGTTGTGCATACATTGCAAGAAGAATGAAGTTCCATTCATTGACAATTGGAACAGACTCTTGCATATAAAAGTGTTTTAAATGCAAGAGTTGGAGTGCTTTTATTAAGGGGTTGGATGGCAGGTGTGGTAACTTTACATAAGAGAATAATTACCAGGGTATCACAGGCTTCAAACCGCTAGTTGATAGATGTGTTGGACTTTGTAACATACGGGCAAAAAGAAACTCTTATCACTGATGACAGTAAAAATAAATTAGACATGTAAACCAAAGACTAAGAAGAGGAGAGCAGACAGAATGGAAATAACCTAAACATTTAATATGCAAATAGCAGAAATATTATAAATACTATACAGGTATCCCTTGGTATACAAACATTCGAGTTACGAAAATTCACTTATTCAGTACTAATTTCCTAAATTACCACCTCTTTTTTGTGTTGTGAAAGCTTCCCCCACTTTACGAATTTGGGTCCCAGCAAAAATTCAAATTGCACGCCTGCCGGAATCAGCTGGGGCAGCCATACCCCCTAGCACTCTCCCTACCAGGCTGAGGTACGAGTTGCTATGGTAATTTCATTATTACAATATTAGGACATCTGAGAACTTGTGTTGAGAGTTTGTTTGATTTTGAGGTTTCCATAAAAGTTGTCATTCATACTCATCATTTAAGGATTATTTGTGGTTGTTTGTTTTTATCTAAAATATTTCAACTTTTATGTAAAATTGCATAATGAAAAATATGTGTCTTATGAATTGCCTTTCATCTTTTCAGTGTAAATGCTCGCTATGGTGTGATGGGGACCCCAACATTACTACTATTCCATAATGGAAATGGAGTTGGAAGATATAATGCTTCTGAATATTCAGTGTCACAGCTGTTGTCTTTTGTAAAACATTATACTGACCAGGATATTATCAACATCAATGTCACTTCATCAGACTTTCGGGTAAGTCTTCATGAGCTGATAAGTATACTAATAAAAACAGGTTGCTGTAATGTGAAAATTGTGCATGCATTATTAGTCACAAGCATTCCCAGTTGTGCATTTACTTTAAAACCTATGTAAGCCTGAACTCCATAATTCAGATATTTCCAGTAATACCTTGCCTCAATGTTTACATGAGCTGAAATCCCCCAAAAATAATAATTACAGGGAATTTAAATGTAAAAAATAAGGGTACATTTCACAAACTGCACTGTGCTGACCCACACCAATTTCTACTACTGTTTCAAGACATTCAAGCTACAATCGCCTAATAAAGTGAAACACAGTAAGGTCCTGCTTACCATGTCATGTGTGGTCCTCCAAGCATCTAAGCCACCAATATACAGTACTGTCCTGTATATGGCATTTATTGTTGTTGTTTTCAGACATGTGATTCCTCCGCAAATGGAATATACAATACAAGTGTGTCATGTATATATAAATACAGTACTGTACAGTCTATAGGAAACATGGAATATATTACTAATTTACTATGATTGACAAGCTGAAATGTGGTGACACAAGTTTCTGCTATATGCCACCATGTCAGACACAAAGACTGATACAGTATATAATACGAGGTCTGTCCGGAAAGTATCCAGCCATTTACTATTAAAAAAAAATATTGCTCACCTAGGACAATGGGACCTCACACACTTCTCCCAGCGTCCCTTCCACTTTTCAAAACAGTCTGCAAAGTCCTCTTTCGGGATCTCCAACAGCTGCCTCGTCGCATTCTCCTTAATCTCGTCCACGGTCAGAAATCTCCTCCCTTTCAACGGCGATTTTAGCTTTGAGAAAAGCCAGAAGTCGCAGGGAGCCAAATCTGGGCTGTAGGAGGGCTGAGAGACCTGGGTGATGCGATGTTTTCCCAAAAAACCCTGCACGAGACGTGAAGAATGGGCAGGCGCGTTGTCACGGTGAAGCTGTCAGTCACCACTTGCCCACAGCTGCGGTCGTTTCTTCTTACCCATCCCTCAGCCGGCGAAAAACTTCGATGTAGTAGTACTCCTTCGTTATTGTTTGGCCTGGACGAGATTAAGGAAACTGCGAGGAGGCAGCTGATGGAGATCCCGAAAGAGGACTTTGCAGACGACTGGTTTAAGGACTCAAATCCAGGTCGTAAGTCGAAATGGTCATAAGTCAAAAATGCTTAAATAATACATAGAAAATCTAAAATGGGTGTCTCTTTTTCTTCTCAGCACCACAAAACTCTCACTTTTAAGCTTGCCAGCCATTTTAAAGTGAATTACAAGCAAAAATTTTGTCAGTACACTGACGTTGGGACTCGAAAATACGTAATTTGACAAAATTTTGGTATGACTGAGGCAGGTCGCAAGTGCGGGTGGTCATAAGTCGAGTAGGTCGTAAGTCGGGGAGGAGCTGTATATATATATATATATATATATATATATATATATATATATATATATATATATATATATATATATATATATATATATATATATATATATATATATATATATATATATATATATATATATATATATATATATATATATATATATATATATATATACTGTATATATATACTGTATATATATATATATATATATATATATATATATATATATATATATATATATATATATATATATATATATATATATATATATATATATATATATATATATATATATATATAATCCAGTTGCCTCTGAAGATGTCTTGAATAAAGACGAAAGCTAAGGTGCTCCGTTGTTTCCCTTTTCCCTTGTGATTTTATCAAGTTTTATCTTATCCACATTTTCATTGTGGATCTACATGAAACATGAGATATATATATATATAAGTGTGATAATGTATATGCATGGTATAGTATAGTATAGTACTGTACAGTACACTATAATGGTTTATTTACTTGATTATTGATCCAAATATTTTGGAATATATTTCAGGCTACTCTACCATCTCAAATAGCAGAAGGACGACCCTATGCATTATGGGCAGCATGGACTTTTCTCATTAGTTTTGCTTCCTGGTTATTCTTAACCTCTGAGCTATGTGCCAGGCTCACTGAGGCCATACTAAACAACTGGAGGGAAGCTGAAGCACAAAATGATCACCAAGATTGATATTATTCATTAGTAACATAAGACATATGAATAAAAAGGAAACTGTACAGCCAGATATATATTTAATGATGTTTTTAAGATAAATTAAATAATTACTGGTAAAATGATAAGGTGGGTGTCGATGGTACAGCGGTAATGCACGTAACTTACCAATATATCAAGGAGTTGAGCCTCGGCCCGGACACACATAAGAAGGTTGTTTTCTAGTGTGAATCTACCCAATATCACAGGTTTCCCGGTTTCCTCCTGTACTAACACTGGATAGACCATCCACCTGAATGGCAAGTAAGCTGATAGTGGCAAAAATTATTTTTAAAAAAATACCAGAAGTGAAAAAGAATTAACTGGAAGGTCATTCATACTAAAACAAAAGCTGAGGTATTTAGGTGCAATATTGAAAAAGAAAAGTTAGAATATGATCAACTTCTGTCAAATTATACTGGTGTTAAGTCATCAAAATCTTTATAAATAATATGGAAGCACAAAATTCAAATATGGTTGAGAAAAAGTTAACATCTTTGAGTCTGTAGAGTTGTCCAGTAATTGAGAGATTTCTTTGTGGATGTATATACTGTATATTATATATGTACCCTGTATGTATATGTATTTATCTCAATTGTTGTGCCTCATTCATACACTTATTTATAGAGAATTCTTTATGACTCAATTAAAAAAGAATTAGATAATAATAACACAGCTGCTCATTTTTTAGGAAAGCAAAGAATACTGTACAGCATTATTGTATATACAGTATAGAGATTCAAAGAAAGTAAGGTTTAGAATGTAGAGCAGTAATAGAAGTTTTAGAGTAATGAGGGTAACCAAAAATTTAATACTGTATGTTAATAAAAACCACCAAATGGGGTTGGAATATCATTCATAATTAAACTGCTGAACTGTAATGAGGTCACTGAAATTCTGAATGAATTTATTCTATTTCAATGAGTTTACTGTACTAATATGTTGAATATTACATTTAAGGTGTTAGTTATATAGATAAATATGTAATCCCCATCAATCAAGTACAATTTCCAATGTAAACTTTATTTTCAAATCGGTGTATCCAAACTTCTTGAGCATTTTTACCAGATTTTCACCATTCAGTGATGTAAGTCTTCCTGCTTGTTCATTGATTTTTGTTTTATGTTTTTTTCTGTATCATGGAATGGAAAATAGATATGTAATTAATAACACAAACTACAGGATTACTTGAAGCTATGTGAGAAACTCTTAGAGATTTATTCTAAAGGCTTTACTGATTGTAAATTAGAAAGGTGTGGTAATGAAGACAAAAGTGGGGAATCAACATATTATTGAGAAGAATGGTGTAGATGGCATAATTTTATGTTTTTTATTTGAAGATTTATCTTTGAATGTGTTGTAAAAAAAAATTGAACCTGTAAGTTTTGTTCATATTAAATATTAACTTAATTTACCTTATTTGGATTGCTAGATATTTATTGGCCTTACTACACTTTTATGCTGACCTCACTTACTCACGAGTTGGCATAAATTATTTACTATTGAAAAATCATACACAGTACAGTATAGAATTATCATAAATCGAGGTACTACAGGTACTGTATCGATGCTGTACCCTCATGTATTGTTCATAGGTGAGAAATACCACTCATGAACGCATCTTTTTGGATTAATGTGGTAATAAACTCTTTTTAAAGCTATTTGTTATACAGGGGTTTTCATTATCCGAGCTTTATAGGGACCAGAAAAAAGACTCGGATAGTGATTTTACAGATAAAGGAGAAATAATTCCCATAAGAATTAATGGGTATAAGGCTGGGACCATCACATTGTAAATGACACTCAAAAAGTTTAATTTGATATCTCTTAACATTTATACTGTATACTGTACCTTAGAAACATTTGTTAAACATTTGATTACAGATTATTTTACAAAATTACTTAACTTTATACCTTGTAATTTAATTTAGGTACTGTACAGTATACTTAAAGTCTTTTGGAGGTGTGGTGACGTGACACAGGCTACCTAACCACGAGGTCAGCCAACTGTACAGTACACACACGCACTCGCACACTCATTTCAGTGAAAGTGGTTTATTGAGACATTATTAAAATTAAAATAAAATAAAATAAAGGTATATCGGTAATACCAACGATAGCCGGAATCCCTCAAACTCGGAACTCTCCGATAGCCGGAATTGAAATTTTCTCGGAAAATCGATCCCAAAGCCGGAATTTTCTGGAAAATTCCAGCTTTGGGAACGATCTTTCTAGGGGCACATTTTCCGGAATATTCAAAGAAAAATTTCCCGATACCCGGAAAATTAAGGGGATGGGGGATATTTTTCCAAGTTTGAGAGATGAAAATCAGGCTCATTTTCTGGAAATTCCAAGAAAAAATTTCCGGTACCCAAAAAATTCTGGAAAATTCCAGCTTTGAGAGTACGTAGTCTTGTTACCCGGAAATCTCTCATTCCTGGAAGTGCTCTGCACCAATTGTTCTGGCTAACGGAGATATCACTGTAATGAGGAATAATATCCGTGGAAATGTATGTAATTGCGTAGGAGAGTTAAATGAGCAAGCTGTTCCCTATCCTCAGCAACAAATTAAAATTAAATTTCATGTTGACGAGGAAACTTACTCCCAACGTCCAGCCAACATACTTACCATCAATCACCAGCCAACATCCCCTCAACTCCCCCCAACCAACATAATTACCATCAATCACCAGCCAACATACCCTCAACCCCCCCACCAACATAATTACCCTCAATCACCAGCCAACGTACTTACCATCAATCACCAGCCAACATAATTGTCATTAAAACATAAGAATGGAAGAAACTGCAACGACGTCTATTGGCCTTGAGTTGTGACCTCAAGTGGGGTGGCCGTCTACCAGCTCCAGGTGGACACTCGACTGAGTAGTGCCCTCTGAGATGTTTATAAAAATCAATTAGGTTACCACTGTCCGCCTGTAGCTAGGCAGTTGCAGTCGTTCACAGCTTTCTGGATGATTGAGGAGCCGTAGTGCAGGCACCAGTCTAGTGGTCCTCCTTTGGACATTTTCAATCAACTGACAGTCCCTAGCATATCTCTGGGACCACGCGGTTGACAGTACTCCAGACAGGGAAGCACCTCACATTTGAAGAGCTTAATAAGGATATAAGAAAAGGAAAAGTAACAGAGACGTGACCGATCGCCCAAGCGGCTAACGAGCCGATCAGTGGTGAAGAGGATAAAAGTAACGAGGAACGGAACATATCACAATGACTCGAGAACTTCAGTTCGCTGTCAACATGCACACCCAGGTCCTTTTCACATTCGGTCTCTATGAATGCTGTTTCTGCATTCTGTTGGGAGATATGATATGCCTCCTTTCTGATTGTACGACCTCGGTGCATCCTCTTCGTGTCATTGAATTTTAGCATCCATTTCTTCGTCTACTCTTGAAGCTGACAGAGGTCTTTACGTAGCTCTTCACAGTCTGTTTGGTTCTTAATTTCCCTGAATATCGTGGCATCGTCCACAAACGTTAGTATGGAGGAGTGTACGGCTTCCGGCATGCCATGTATGTGGGTCTCCTTGGCGGATCGGCTCACTCTACCATTGGTTGAATGCTTTTTTATGGGGAATTAGCCCACCCAGGCACGGGTCATCGACCCACAACGGGGTCTAGGAGGCGAAAAAATAAGAGTAAAAAGAAATTAAGAATAGAAAAGAAAAAGATTATATTAATCTACACCGCGAAGATGCCGGAAAACCAACTTTTTACTTTTATCCTCTTCACCACTGATCGGGTCGTTAGCCACTTGGGCGATCGGTCACGTCTCTGTTACTTTTCCTTTTCTTTTATCCTCTTCACCAAATGATCGACTCGTTAGCGGCTTGGGCAATCGGTCACGTCTCTGTTACGCACTGTTAGCAAGCACTGGGCATGCACCGGCCCCTGAATGTACCTGAACCTGCTCCAGTGTTGGTCAAGTCTTGTCTTGAAAGAGCTCACACTCGGTGCCGTCACAACACTTTCTGGTATATTGTTCCAAGAGTTCACAACTCTCACTCCAAAAAGTTTGCCCTCACAGTTTTCTGGACTTAAAGCTTCTTCAATCTTGAGCTGTGACCCCTTTTGGGGCGAGCGCCCGCCAGCTCCAAGTAAGGACACTCGACTGAGTAGTGCCCCTTGAGATGCTTATACACCTCAATTAGGTCTCCCCTTGCCCGTCTGTAGTATAAGCTAGGCAAGTTCAGGCGCTCCAATCTCTCAGGGTAGCTGAGGTTCCGAAGTGCAGGCACCACTCTGGTGGCCCTCCTTTGAACATTTTCAACCAACTGACAGTCCCTAGCATATCCCGGGGATCAGACGGGGTGACAGTACTCCAGATGGGGAAGCACTTCACTCTTGAAGATCGTTACGAGGGACGGACCGTCTAGATATCTGAACGACCTTATAAGACCCAATAATTTATTTGCCTGATTTACCTTCTTCTCGCAATGGCCCGAGAACTTCAGCTCATTGTCAACATACACACCTAGGTCCTTCTCACATTCAGTCTCAAATAGTGCAGTTTCTTCATTCCGTTGGGACATATGATACGCCTCCTTACCGTTGGTACGCCCCAGGTGCATCCTCTTACACTTCGTGACATTGAATCTCAGCAGCCATTTCTTCGACCATTCTTGGAGCCCACAGAGGTCCTTCTGCAGCTCTTCACAGTCCGCTTGGTTTTTTATTTCCCGAAATAACTTGGCGTCATCGGCAAACATTTGTATGGAGGAGTGTACAATGTCAGGCATGTCATTTATGAAACAAACAAACAACAGCGGGCCCAATACACTGCCCTGTGGTACCCACCTTGTGACAGGTACGGAAGATGATTTCGTGCCATTAATCACCACACAATGCTTGCGGTCATGTAGAAAGTCTTCTATCCACGCTAGGACACTTCCCCGAATTCCGTACCCTTCCAGTTTGATTTTCAGCCTTTCGTGGGGTACACTGTCGAAAGCCTTGGCAAAATCTAGGTAAATATTGTTGATATTACCACCCCGTTCCAGAATATGGGTCCAAATATCCAATACCTTTAGTAATTGTGTTAAGCAGGAGCTCCCCGGCATAAAACCGTGTTGGTAATCCTTTACAAGGTTGTTTCGTAGTAATGTTTCATTGCGAGACAAATTGTAAGACTATGAAAACACAGAAGAAGGAGGAGCATTCCACAGTTTGGCTGTGTATCTTGCTTACATACCTACATTGTCTCTATGCATTAATTATATACCTGCACTATGTTTATATTGTATAACTACAATGTATGTCCTATACATACTGAAAAATATTTACCCAATTTATCGAATGGCCACCCACTAGAGATGGCCATGCCGAGGGAGGGAGGCCAGTGGCCTGTGTAGGATCCCTCCATTGTTCTTGATAATTTAATCAAGGGCTATTTTGTAGCACCAATACTGTTCTAGATTCCTCAGCTTGGGCCGGGAGACTGTTCCCCTAACCACACTCCCCAAGTCAACCGTACACCATATTCCCACTAATTAGCATCTTACCCCATTTTCTTGTTAAAATTCCAGATATTAATAATTATTTTCAAATCATTATCATAATGTTATGTTTATGCCATTTTTAGTTTAGTTCCTCCTATTCCCTTGTACAGGCCGTTTTCCATTTTCTTTTGTAACGCAATTGTAACTGCTGGAGAAAACTCTTCCAGCAAATAACGGGACATACAGATGACACAGTGTCGTGCCTGCGGGCTGTAATGTTCGTTACGTTCGCTGTGTAAATAGTTATTGTCAAATTATTTTATATTTTTGTTCTGTCTGTTTACAGTAGTGCCATGTTAATAATCTTTACTGAAAATTCTAACACTTAATTCCATGCACTAGGCATGCTATCTCACATACTGCCACGTAAGCAACTTTCTCGTGATTTTTTATGAAGTTCTATACGTTTACCTTATATTGCTGGTCATTGTAACTTCAGAAAAAATTCACTCAATACTCTCAAGTACAATAAATATTGCAATCATCATATCAACCTGTATTGTCGTGATATGAAAAATTAATAGTCGACTAAGTTGTATAAGCAAAATAAACACTATAAATGGTGTTCTTTAAAACTGTTTTTCCGCCGAGCAGTAGTAATGAAGTCAAACTCCACGGGTATTTTTTTTCTCGTTCTGCAGTTGAAAGTTTGAGTTAATTACAGTATAGAGGATAATGATTTCACATAGCAAAGTACCGGTAAAACATAAACTCTGTTACCCAGTTAGTATGTACAGAAAAGTTCGGCATTGCCCTGCGACACTAAAGTGAAATAGTGCGAAATAATGTGATAATCAAACGTGTGTGTGTGTGTGTGTGTGTGACCAAACGTGGGATGTGGGGAAGCTCACTTACTCACTACTCTCCTGAACATCGTGACGGCACCAGCTAGGTGAGTACCTCCTGCTGCATGCCTGCCATCACCAAGTGTGTGTGTCTCTATACCAAGCGTGTCTCTATACCAACTGTGTCTCCTAATACATAATGTGTATCCCTACACGCAATGTGTCTCCTCACACTATGTGTCTCCCTATACCATGTGTGTCCGCCTACACCGTCTGCATATACCATGTGTGTCTCCCTACACCATGTGTGTCCGCATATACCATGTGTCTCCCTACATCAAGTGTCTTCTTACACCAAATGTCTTCTCACACCATTGTGTCTCCCCCTACACCAAATATCACCCTACTCACTTGGATTATGCAGTTCAGCTCTGGTCACCGTACTACAGAATGGAGATCGAATCTCTAGAAAGCATACAGAGGAGGATTACAAGACTAATCCTGGGCATTAGGAACCTTGAGTACAGAGACAGGTTAAAGCATCTTAATTTGCACTCCCTCGAGAGACGTAGAGTGAGGGGCGATATGATCGAGGTGTACAAGTGGAAGTCAGGGCTAAACAGAGGTGATATAACAAAGGTACTTAAATTATTCAACCAGGAACGAACTCTAAGCATTATTTTTAATTAGACAAATTTAGATTTAGGCGTGATATAGGTAAACACTGGTTTGTAAATAGAGTAGTGGATGAGTGGAACAAGTTACCAAACATCATCATTAATTCGACCAAGCTGGGTAGCTTCAGTAATAGGTTGGACGGATATATGAGCGAAAGGGGTTGGGTGTAAACGGGACTGCCCAGTATGGGCCAATAGGCCCGCTGCAGTTTCCTCCATTATTATGTTCTTATGTCAATGAAAATTAATTGAAATATGGTAGTTTTCTCTTTCATTTAAGACGTCGTTTGCCCTCAACATAATTTACCATATTCATTATGCGTTTAGAATATATTATTCTTTCCAACCACAAAAACAGTAAGAGGCGGTAGTATTTTAATTCACACACATAGTACTGCAGTTGCTTTGTACTGCACAATGTAACTTACTAATACTTAAACGTACCCACACCCGTGCCAGCAATAGTTAGGCTCGCAGTACTTTTAGTTAGTTTAGTGTCTTAACTCTCAAGTTACTTGGATGTCTCACGACTAACAGTTAACTTCAGCAAGTTCAACATGGCATTGTAAATAGTACGTTGACTCTGTTTAGAATTTAAGCATTAATAATCATTTCATATCCCGCGTTACCAGTCAGTTTAGCAGTGACAGTCCGTTCAGTATCCCCGATTGAACAGTCAGTTCAGTAGTGAGTCAGTTCATTGCCCCAGATTTAACAGTCAGTTCAGTTCCCCAAATTTAACAGCCAAGCAGACACAGTTAGTTCATTACCGCCAGATTTAACAGTGAAGCACAGGCAGTCAGTTCAGGAACCCAAATTTAACAGTCAAGCAGAGTCAGTTCATTACCGCTAGATGAAACAGCCAGTTCAGTAATGATCGTCAATTCAGTGCCTTAGGTTCAAGAGTCATGTCAGCGTCTCATCATTAACAGTTACACTCCCAGTTATACCATCCTCAGTTACCTGTTTGACTGGCTTTTTTGCACTAGTGACTCGACTTGTACATGTTGCTTCCAACTGGGCATTTGTCGACAGGTGTGGGAAGAGAAAGTCAGGTGTGTATTATCAAGTGAAGGGAGAGATGGTCATGTGTGTCGTCAAGTGAGCGAGAAATCGACAGGTGTGGAGAGAGATAGCCTGATGTGTATTATCAGGTGTGTGGAGAAAGATAAGTCAGGTGTGTGTTGTCAAGTGCTGGGATAGGTAATTGGTTATGTAAGTGTCAGGTGTGTGGAGAGATAATCAAATGCGTATTTTCATGTAAGCGTAGAGAGTGTAAAGTGTGTGTGTGTGTGTCGTCAGGTGTGGGGTTGAGATAGTTAGGTTATGCGTCACCAGGTGTGGAAGATTATTAAGGTGTCTGCAGGTGAGACTGTGCAACACAACACAGGTGATGAGCCAACACCCTCCAGGTACTGCGGTGTGACGTGTAGGGTATTGACCTGTACCTCGCCCTCCCTTACCCACCCCTGCCCTCCCTTACCCACCGCTACCCTCCCTAACCCACTCCTACCCTCCCTTACCCACCCCTGCCCTCCCTTACCCACCGCTACCCTCCCTAACCCACTCCTACCCTCCCTTACCCACCCCTGCCCATCCTTCACCTCCAACCCCTTTACCCATCCCTCTCCCTCACTCACCCCGGCTAATCCCCCTCTCTAATTCATGTCTACCCATCTTCTCTTTTACTCACTCTTGTCCAACCTACATTCAGTAAATCAATGTGTTAATCTCATCGAATGGGTTTAACCTGTTACTCGGCTCAACGCAATGAATTCCAATTTCTTCAGTCACTTGAATAACACAGACTTCCAGAGCCAAGTACTGTTAATAAGGTGTAATCAAATAAAATTTTATATGTGAAGATTCGATCACCATCTTGTATCCTGCAAACATCACGTCAGCATAAAGAATATCGTCTTAACATCACATCATTTTTAAAGTAATTCTGAAAAAGTCGACTCATTTTCCCGTGGGATTGACACTCACGACAGAGAGATCGTGAGAGTGAAGGGTCGTCCTCGGTACATCTGTGGGCATTTAGTCTGGATTTATATCATTACCAGTGTGAGAATGGCTCACTTTATTATAGAGTATTAGATTTCTATTTTCGATACCGTAGAATTATCATAAATAGTCTCCCAGCTGATTATTAAATTCGGCTTTAACGCTTTCGAATGAGTGTCCACATAACTAAATACTTTCGCATGTATCTGTATCATTACCTATAGTGTCCGAGAAATAGCAAAAAAGGGATTTCAATACAGTATGACCCAAAACTTTCTAACTGGAATGCATTTTAATCTTAGTGGTAACAATAGTTTGAAGAAAAACCGTCACATACAACTGCTTGAGAGAGAAGTTGAATTATAATCATTACCAAGTATCTGACTTATTCTAATGTTCATAGCACCTTCGATAGACAGAAGTAATTTACAATCCGTGGAACCAGAAACATATACACATATACAGTACTGTGTAATATGATGAAATTTACCTTTAAAAGTTTATCTAATAAGATTTTTTTTAATATCTTGGGAAAGTAACTGACACAGTAGCGACACACAGCAAAAGGCTCCCGACGGGTTATGGATAACAATTGTATCACTCACCACTCGCTTATGAATTCTACTATTATCAAATGTTTACAACTAGAAATAGAATTCGCTGAATTGAAATATTATATAAGACAGAAAGGAAATATAAGCACAGAGTGAACCTACAATGACATCTGAGGCCACCACGAAGCACACCAAACACTGTAGTGAGACTAATGACTCTAGCGTGACGCCTACCATCTGATTACGATAATCACGTCTTTTCCCGTGACAAATGTGTCATACTTTAGCAACAAGATGTCAGGAAGTTAGAGATCTTAAAATCACACCATGATGATTTCTCAGCATACCATTAAAAGCACGTCACATAGTGCGTCTACCCTGTACTGTAATAGAAATCGAGCTGATTCTCGTCTTCTGGCGTCATGCGCAGGTGCTTCTTATGACTGCTCTTAAATACTCAGGCTAACGCGTGAATAGTGTCGCGAAATGTATATACTACGGTATGTGGGCTTTGCTTTAAAGTATGTATAAGAAATGTGTATTATGTCAAAATTAAGCAAACTCCCAGTGGTTAAAGCTTGATAATTTGTTGTATGGGTTCGGGTGATAAGTACGACCCAAATACTTTAACGTGTTACGGAGCGTGGTCTGGGTGCTCGAATGCTCTGTCTACTTAACCCAAATATTCCTACAGACACGGAAACAAATGTTTAAATGCCACAGAGGGACGTGGCACACTTATACGTGTGAATCAAAGGGACGTAACACAGATATCTGAGTGTAACAAGAACGACACACATATGTATATAGCAGACGGACGTGACAAACATTTGGGTGTAACAGAGGGACGTGACACAAACATTTGGGTGTAACAGAGGGACGTGACACAAACATTTGGGTGTAACAGACGGACGTGACACAAACATTTGGGTGTAACAGAGGGATGCAACTCCCTAGTGGATGTAGCGCCTGCCTCCTGTCCTATTGGTTGTTGGTTCACGCCATTAAGGGAACCCTGGTCCACCCAGTTGTGAATCGGTACCTACTGTATAATGTTTACAGTTGGGTAAGTGAAGGACGGTCAGTATCAGCCACACTGCCTCCAAGTGAGCCGTCTACAGTACACTGTATCCTCACTACGGGACACTCACATTTCGCCACATAATTTCCCCGATATGACTCAACCCCTTCCCTGCTAACGGGCGAAGCAAGTTAAAACAGTAAGATAGGCTTAGGGTGATAACGGTTGATTGGAACAATATTTCTACACCAGATTCTTTCAAAACACATACAATGTTTAAGTGTTATCATGAAATTCCCAGTGGTTTAAATACGACTTCTTCGTTATTTTAGGAAATGTTGCGGCAGTTAGGTAGGTTAGTAACCACTGAATGTATAAAAAGAAGTTCATTCCCTGATTTTTTTTTCAAAACGTAAGAATTACACCACATGACATGTAAAGCCTTAAAAACGGAATAACATTTATTTAGATGTGACCCTTTCGTATTCTATTACCCAAGTTGTCGTGAGTCGCTTAAATCTACTGAACAAACTACTTTCTCTTCACCAAAACAACTTTCTCTCACGAAAGAAACAGTCGAGTGAAAGTGAGGTCGAGACCACCGTAAGCACTCTCACTACCAGTACTTCTCGAGACGTCAACACAACAATACTTCCTGGACTGAACTTGGGTACGTCAGTACAGTGTACAGTGTATTGATTCATGTGGATTAACATTATAAAAGATCTTTTTTATACTACGTCCAAGTATGTTCTTTTCATAACGATATAATTCCTATTTTTTGTTTGCTATATATCCTAAAACAGTAGTTGTTCTTTGGTACACTAATGATATTTACATATGTCGGTCATCAGCGACCCCAGATGGATTAATTGTTTTATAATTATAGTTAAACGTTCTTAGGCACCCATTTTTCAAGGAATAATATTGCATCTCGATACTCCTCGTAACAGTGTGTCAGCTGTGTATTGTGTGGGGAAATTAACTGAATCATTTGAGACTCCTGACCACGTATTCACACCCTGACTTTCCAGAGTAGGCACCAGAACCTAATACAGGTACAGTATATTAGTAATTTATCAGTATCTATCACATTCATGATACTACATAAATCTTAGTACAAAGTCTTATATTTTAAAGGATTATGTTGCGTACGTGTATCTACATGGTGGTCAGCGTCTGGGTGGTGAGTGCACAGCAACCGAGTCTGACTCAAGGACAGCTGAGGGTGGAAGTGCTCGGCAGGCCTAGTGTGTGTCGTGCTCAGTCTGGGCCTGGAGATAAGGTGCAGGTCCGCTATGTTGGCCGCCTCGCTGATGGCAGCATCTTCGACCAGAGGTAAACTATATTATTTACAGACAGTATAGCCTTTATGCTTATGCAGTACCAGTTATCACCGTGTTAGTGTAATTATTGTGAGCTGTTAACTAATAACTCATAACATCGTGTAAACATGAAGTTCACTGAATTCATAAAAAAAAAAAATAGTTGCTAAAACTGACAATTATGTCAGTTATGGGTGATAAATTCTCCCAGAAGTTACTTTATGTGATAATAACCTTAGATATATATATATATATATATATATATATATATATATATATATATATATATATATATATATATATATATATATATATATATATATATATATATATATATATATATATATATATATATATATATTTTAAAGGGTGAAATTTTCAGGTTTGAGACAAATTTTCAGGTTTGAAACGATTGTCAAGGACTTAAATGTTTTTCGTATTACTTTCTAACTGCAAGTCTTCTCTGTACTATGTTGCTGGTCTAGAAAAGATTATTCATTACCATCAACGTAAATAACCACCAATGATTACTACAACTTGCCTATATTAGTGCATTAATACGCACTGATATACATCGTTAGCTTTTCGCTATTCTTATACTCTCCTCCATGTAATATTTTAGCATACATTATGCATCGCTGATAGGTGAACTTAATATAATAATAATTTCTTCCATGGTAGTTCAACTCGCGGAGAGCCCTTCGAGTTCCGACTGGGGTCTGGCCAAGTGATCAAGGAGTGGGATCGAGGACTGGAGGGAATGTGTGTCGGTGAGCGACGTCGACTCACTTTCCCTCGTCCTTCACACCTCAACCCGAACGACCAGGGCGCCGGCAATGTTATCCCAGCAGGTGAGGCAAGCGCTCACATCTGCCCATGCTTATGTAGCAAAAGGGGGAGGAGCACATATGTGAGGAAAATTGAGGCCTAAGAGGAAGAGAGAATTCTTAAAAAGAGAGAACGTGTTGGAAGAGGAACGTGTATTAGATGTATAGTACCATTGTGTAGGGACAAAGAGAATGTGTGTGACGGAGAAATGTGTAGGACTATGACGAGAGGAACGTGTGAGCACACGATCAGTGCCCCGTCTTCCAGAAGAGTAAGGAGTAAAAGTACATATTTGCTTTATTTTAAAAGTGTGCCTGCACAATAAATATTGGTGAATGTTTTGCAGTAAAATCGATAAGCTAGCTCCAGTCATAGCTATCTGCTTAACCAGTAGTTCGGAGGGTAGGTCCTGACAGGTCCCGGTAGGTCTGCACGATTAAAGTTATAAAAAGAATAGGCGTAATAACCTTTTCGTAAATTCACATTGCTATAAGTAAGAAAATGGCAGTCCACGAACTCTCAATGTTTTTTACCAAATATTTAGGAATGGATTCATCTCTAAATAGGCTAGAAATATTATCGAACTTCATAGACAATAGTTATGTGCTGAACCAATGTACTGGCGCGTGTGTGTGTGTGTGTGAGCGGGACAATGTAAGCATTAATTTGAGATTAATGTACGGTACAATACATTTACATGACCACATGCACTGCAATACCTGCACTTAAACATTTACTACACATCTAACTTATCTTGCATACTGTACTGTAGGTGCCATACTGACGTTCGAGGTGGAACTGACGGAACTGCCAGACAAGGTGGTGTCGGTGGAGGAGAGGCCTGAGCGCCGCCCCAAGCCTGACGGGCAGCAACCGAAGGCTCCAACAAAGTTGACATCACAGACTTTGGTGCGACCCCCGATTTGCTCCAGCGTATCCAAGCAAGGAGACAATGTTACTGTACATTACACCGGCCAACTCGTCGATGCCAAGAAGTTTGACTCCAGGTAAGAACATATTGGATCTGTTTGGAGTTCTTAAAGTGTGATTTTATGTTAGAAAGAAAAATTGTACATTTTAGATGATTTATAAATCAACTAGCTGGACAACCTGGCATTGCTTAGGTTTGTTTTTGAGGGGCAGTTCATAGGTTATGTCCATGACAACACTATCAGCTACAGTACATCCACTCCACAAGCTACATTACATCCACTATGCTATCAACTACATCCACTACCTACTGTACACTCAAGTACACTACATCCACTACACAATCTACATTACATCCACTACGCTGTCAACTACACCCACTACCTACTGTACACTATCAGGTACACTACATCCACTACACAATTCGACCGTGAATAACAATAAGGCTTGTACTCATTTATTCATATTTAAATATGTGCGTGTATTTGAGCACACTTGAGTGTAAGTCCGTCACCATCACCTCTGTTCCCCTAAAGTCTGGACCGCGGGGAGCCGTTCACCTTCCAGCTCGGACAGGGGGCTGTGATTCCTGGGTGGGATGAAGGCGTGAAGGGCATGTGTGTCGGCGAAAGCCGACTCCTCATTATCCCCCCGCACCTCGCCTACGGCAAGACTGGCGCCGGCAACGTCATACCCCCGGGTGCGTATTCTACCCTCCCACCTCCTCACAACTGTGGTGGTTACTACTGTTGAAACTGATCTGTATGAAACCTGTGATAAACATGTGTTAGACACTACAACTTTATGCGACTTACCACCACTGTATTGGACACTTAATACAAACATGACACTACATCTGCTTAGATGTAACTACAGCTGTGGTCGACAATTACCACAACTGCAGTGAGCACTTATCAAAGCTAATTTCTTACACTACTACAGTTGTGGTGGCGGACACTAATTACAACTGTGATGGACACTTACTACAAATTTAATGTGGTGAGCATCTGCAGTTGTGTTTGAAATTTACTGTAGCAGTGGTGATGGACCCCTACCACAACTGTAGTAGACAACTAACACAGCTGTGGTGGAAACTTAGGACAGCTGTGGTGAACACCTACCACAACTGTGTTTGGCACTTAGCACAGCTGTGGTGGATAATTTATTATAGATGTGATGGGTAGACTACGCATACAAGTTTAATCGTGGCTTACCATCGTTATAGTGGGGCATTGTCTTTGAGTTTACTGTTAGTAGTACAGCTCAAGTAAAACATTGTGCGGAGGAGGACCAGTTGTTCTTATCGTAGCGTCATATTGAAAGAGAGGCAATTTAAACAATTCAATGTTAGTATTAATACAACCAATGTACTACTAGTCATCACGTTTTGACTAATATAATATGAGTATAATGTTTTATTATAATTATGAAATTATGACAAATAATATTTTGTATTGCAGATGCAACTCTCATCTTCACCATCCAACTCCTGAAGATCGAATAAGATGTGTGGGATGGTTCACGATGGATGCTCGTTTGACAGTGCCAGTGATACCTTTGTTATCTTGTTATATGATGTTACTGCTCTTTAGTTTATAAATTGTTATACATATATCATTAGCTGGGCTATGATTAAACTTTATTTACAAGGTAATCTTTTATTTCAGCCTGTGAATGCAGTGAATGATTTTTTTTTTACCTTTTATTGTTTATTTCCTTCAGCAACGTACTGTACATCATCAATTTCATCGTGCTAAAAAAAAAAATAAGAACTACAATTGTACTACCGTTGGTACACGTGATCACTGGAGATATTTGACAAGCAATATGTTTTGACAACAGATCTTTTCCCCAAAACTAGCCGCAGGTAAGATGGATGAGAATAATTAAAGGTCTTGTACAGTATATTAATTAAATAGTATTCTGGAATGAAGAATATTCTCAAGCCTAACAAATCATATCGAAATATTGCCATACATGAGATTCAGCCAATGAAGGTCGCCACCTGCGAAATTTACCCTAGCAACACATGGTGTGAAGCCATAGGAACAGCCTACCAGGAGGCCACGCCTCTCAAACGCAACAGAACTCTCCCACACCCACAACAGACTCCAGAACTCATAGCCCTCACAAACCAGTTCCAACTTCTACAACAGAGAGCCGAGACCCATGGTTGGGACATCGTAAGCTACAATACATACAGAAGAATACTGGAGGAAATAAAAACAAGATCTCCGGAACAAAGCAACCTTAAATGGGCCGAAATAGTTGAACAACTCTCACATACATACAACGATCCAGGAGGGCTCTGGCGTCGAGTTAAGAGATTGAAAGGTTGCAGCCATAACGAGTCATCATATATAACTGACCATGCAGGAAGTGAAATATATGACGATCAAGACAAAGAACCCATATTCAGGGACATATGGAGGAACATCTTCCGAATCACAAATGAAGAGAATAGGGGATTCGATGGTACCCACGAGGAGCTCGTCCTTGATGAACTCCGGGGCCAGACACACCGCACTCAGCCCTCCCCTGAAATCATATGGGAGGATCTGAGAGCGGACAGCCCATTGTCCAAACCAATCACCTCGGAAGAACTCAACAGAGCCATCTCCAGTACCAAAAATAAAGCCCCTGGTTATTCAGGCATCACCAAGGAGATCCTCAGCCACATAAACAACCCGGCCATGGAGAGACTGAGAACCACAATGAACGCTTGCCTGGCCTCGGGCTACTTCCCAACTAAATTCAAAGAGGCCATTATTACCCTAACACCAAAACAAGGCAAGAACCCCGCCGTCCCACTAAACTACAGACCGATCTCCCTCCTCGAAGTACCTGGAAAAATCCTAGAAAAAATCATCAATAACCGTCTGAGAAATCACCTGGAAACAACAAACAGAGTCAACTGCAGACAATTCGGGTTCAGGAAAGGGAAGTCCACCACAACAGCGATAGCCCTGGCATGTGAAAACATAGCCAGAGCCGCGGCGAGTGGTAGACAATATAATCTAACTCTCCGGGATGTAGCGAAGGCATTTGACAAAGTCTGGCACGACGGTCTAAAATATAAGATCCTCCAACTCGGACTTACCACCAACATTGAAAAGTTGCTTTCAACTTTCTTGACGGCAGAAATGCTAGACTGAGAGTAGGACAACACACAAGAGAGACCTTCCCACTCATGAGCGGAGTCCCTCACCTAGAAACACTGATTCATGCCGATACGCATTAACTTAAAGAGGAAACCGTTTGGCACTACTGTACCACAGGGGCGGTAGCAACTAACGCTTTCACACTGTCTTGACGAGGCAAGCGATCTCTGGTGGACAGTCAATTGATTCATTCTAATCCGATGTTGAATCTCTTCATCGATGTCCACTGTGGTGGACGGGTGGGAGTCAAGATACTGAAAGTGGGTAATATTATATAGGGTAGTACCGTTTAACTGGATGGATGGTGGAGGTGTGGCTGAAACAGGGGCAGGCTGAAAGAGAATCTGAATCTTACGTACATTCATCTCAAGGCCGAAGTGTGCATACGCATCTGCGTAGGTGTTCAGGATCTTCTGTAGGTCCCGTTCAGTGTGAGCGACAAGGGTAAGGTCATCTGCATACTGGAGTTTAGTAATGGAAGCTGCTGACACCTCGCCTGGGGTCGTCTTATGTTGAAAAGACCCTTCATCAGGTACTCAATATCCACCCCCTGGGCTAAATTGGCAGTGGCACGAGTAAGGAAGGGAGCCAAGAAAATGGAAAAGAGAGTTGGTGCCAATACACATCCTTGTTTTACCCCTTTTGCATGAGGAAGAACTCAGACTAGGTGCCATTGTGCAGGACAATGCTGTTCATGCCATCGTGGAGTTGCCTCACAATGGTAATGAATTTTGGTGGGCAGCCAAAACGGCTTCCCTGTTGACCAAGTCGAAGGCCTTGGTTAGATCTATGAAGGCCATGTACAGGTCACGACGCTTTTTCTCTGCACTTTTCCCCTATCTGGTGGGCAGCAAAGATTATGTCAGTGGTACCACGTGATGGTCTAAAGCCACATTCAGATTTTGGCAGGAAGTTTTCCACCTCAGGAAGAAGTCTGTTTTGGAGGACTCGGGCAATAATCTTGCCAGCTACTGACAGCAGTGAGACCCCTCGGTAGTTGCCACAGTCTGACCGGTCTCCCTTGTTCTTATAAATATTGACGATGGAAGCGTCTTTAGGATCTTGGGGGATTTCCTCCTTTTCCCATATATTCTCCAGGAGAGAGTGGAGACGGCTGGTAAGCAGAGGTCCTAAGCCAGCTCCTGACTCAGCGAGCTCCTGCGGAACACTCCGACACTGCTGCTCTCTCTCGCAGCATGAAAAATGAAGAAACAGTAACGTTTAACCTTCTTCCGGGGCTTAGCCATAACACCAATGAAGCTTATCAAGGAAAGGAAGAAAAAGGGGAGACATCTCAACGGTTCCTACGATCTCTTGGGTGACTCCAAGAAACCTGTCTTATCTCGGGAAGAAATATCCCTCCTTACTCAAGTAACACTGTTACGTGCGTCGCTTTTTCGCAACTCGTGAAGAAATGAATTTTGATTCACTAAAGAATTCCTATGTCGAAAATATTAACGACAAGTTGTATATACCTATTCCATTCCGTGGAAAGGCAACTTAAAGTTCGTAAAGAGAGTTTCGACTTTTCCTTTTATTTCCCTACAATAACTTTTATTTCTTTCAACTGATTTTCTTCATATTCTAAGAAATTTTTACTTACATGAAAATAAAAACGAAATCAAAATTAGTCACCTTCGGAAATAAGTCAAGTTCAGAGGTCGTCCACTAGGCGGAGCTCATGCTAATAGAAAGGACGCATTGTAATCAGTAAATAGATTGCTTCTGTAGCAGACGTTTAATCTATCTCTTCGTTTTACATGCATTCAAACACTGTTCCAAGCATACCTTTACATTAAAGGGACATCGATGGTTAGCACTCTCAATTTAAAGTTCAGTTATTACTTAAATGAAACGTGATTTTTTTTAATACTTAAAGATTCCTTACTTACGTAAACCAGCCTTTTAAATTTGCTAATAAAGAATCGTAATGAATACGGTCCTAGCCTTCTACGAATAATGAATATATTTTTTACGAAAAGCTTTACCAACAAATTTCACACAAAACGCGATTTTGCTCAACCGAAAGAACAGACACGGTTTAGAAGTAAGAGAAGTATCCAAGATCATTTTCAAGTTATCTTGGAGGTATTCCTGAAAAGCTCTTGCTATTGAATGCCATTATGTTAAAATTCACAGGAGTTGAGAGTACTGTACATGTCTGAGTTCAATCAATCAGAGTACAATCCTCTTATCTAAGGGTTAGCGACCACAGTCCTCCACTCTAAACGTTTTCGGGCTGTTTTTTCTAATCCTCTAAAGTTTTGTATCTCTATGGGGACCAGTTTTTAATTTAATTCATCCATCCCAGTCTTTGCCTTCCTCTGGCCCTCCTACCCCTCATGAACTAATTATATGACCAAAGTATCTAATTTGTATTTGTCTGTACATTTAAAGTATTTCTCTTGAAGTATTTGCTAATATTTGTATTTCTTTCATTTGTTTTCCTGCTAAAGTTGTTTATTCTTAGCATTTGCCTATAACACCACATTTCAAAGGCCTCCAACCTCTCTGGTGTCTGCTGAAAGTGTCCGCGCATACAGTTCGTGCTTTTTTTTCTCTATTGAGAGTATAGCTAATGGTATTTCTGATGGTTTTCTTATGTTCCTCTGGTAAGCAACCAGATAATATGTATCTCTAAGTCTTAGTCTTGCACTGTCGATGGCTCATGACATACTGCTGTCACACTCGGAAGGTTTATGCAGTAAATAATCTGGAAAAGTTTGATAATGATGAACCATATCAAATTTTCTGCATTGCCGGTCTGTTTAAAAAAATATTGCGGCGTATGATCTTATAATGCTCTTGAAAAACAATTTTGATAATACTTCCAATGAAATTTATAATGTCCCTAATAATTGTGTCACACCTTTGTGTTCTGTGTTTAGCTTTAAATTGACCGCCACTGGGAAAATTTATTCCATTATCCGTATGGCTGTATGACAATTTTAAAGTTTAAGACTTTAGCGTCGTAATTATTTCTAATATTAATAAAAAATAATGAAAGTTATATTTTTTAAATAATTTCAGTAATTAATAGCTTTTACTTTAGTTATATTTTTTAAAATAAACCCGAAGATATTGTTTTTGTAACACTGAAATGTTGGGAAGACCTCGGCGGGAAATTGACCGAGGTTATATATAGGAGACTTGTCACCTTCTTCACCAGTTCGCAGAAGTTACGTCGAGCGGAAGGACGTGATGAGGTATGTATTTTTTCCTTCATAATTTTTTTTTAAGTGCTTGAGGTTTTAAGGTTATTTATTATTTTCTAAAAATAAGTGGAGTAATACAACTAGCAGAAGGTTTTATGTGAATTTAAAAGTCTGTGATCAGCTGTTCAACTGAAGCGATGGCATGACAACATGGCGCCTTGGTGAAGCAGTCAGATGTTTATTAAATGGCTGCTGTGTTCCGAGGTCCTGTTCAATGATATCCCCAAGACCCCTAATGATTCCAATAGTTAAATTCCTAAGGTTTCCCTGACGACCGAAACTAAAAGTAATCCTTTTCTGTAGTAATGTTAAGTGCTGCGTTTTATTTTTCAGGGGTGGTGTAAGTGCTAGTCCACAGTTGTCCATGGGGAGCCGGAGAAATAGTGGACGTTCAGTTGGTAATTCATCTCTTCTAGGACGTAATCTTTCTGACCGGAAGAACTTGCCTCGTACAAATCAAACTACAGCTACAAATCGGTTGCTCCGTGCAAGTCCTGTACAACATTCGATTCACATACGCCACCAATGCCCTAGGCGTCAACCTAGTCCTGTACGCTCTCTTAAGCCTGTCCACAACTCCAATCAACCATGTGAATATCCATGGAGCATTGATAACCACAATGACTACATGTTAGAGGAGGACAGAGGCACCTTCCCACCATGTTCAAGTCCTTCAGACCCAACCTGTTCAGGGACAGATAATGGCAGTATCAGCTGCAGCAGGAGCGCCATAAGAAGCAGTGATGGTACGAGTAACACAAGAAAGAATGGAAGCAGCAAGAAAGTTGATCGACCAATGCCAGCTCGTCCATCAAACCCATTGCGATACAAAACCGAGTTGTGCAGAACCTACGAAGAGAGTGGGAATTGCAAGTGAGTCAATTTTGTTTATAACCTTTGTGTTTAACCCAGAGTTTGGTAAAGGTGTAGGTAGAGGGTAACCACCTAACATACCCATAGGTTGGGTATGTTAGGTCAGGTTTTATTAGGTTATATATATAATGGTAATAACATATTAAACAGTAATTGAAACGTTAATGCATAGAACCTGACCTACTCAATCCCGCTTCACAATTCTCCAGGCGCCATTTTTGTTTACCTCGCTGAATCCCTGTTTAAAGAGACGTTTCCTAATTACTGTTATGGTGAACGCTTCCACGTATTCCTTCTCGCCATTGCTGACTTATATCCTCCTCAATATTAAGTTAAGTTGTTTAACACATAAATCAACACGATAATGCATAGACCCTGACATAACAAACCCGTAGGTTGGTTATGTTACGTCAGGTTCTATGAATGGAGGTTTCCATTTGTTTAATATGTCGGTGAAGAAAATTTTTCAACCAATTCGTTAAATTCTTTATGGTGGTCCCTCTCTTCTATACCTTTACCCAGACTTTCAAGCTCAATCCAGAATTAAATTTAAATTGAGAAAATAAATGGAAATACTCTATGCATGATGTTGGACACGAAAACGGAAGTGAAAATGAATTGAACCTATCTAACCTTCCTAACTCCCTAATCTGTGCATTGTCATTAAAATTTTCATACTAACGTCCAAAAATCTACAGGAAAATATAACGATTTAAATTCAGTATAAATCGTAATAAACGCGAACGATGAATTCGTCATAGGTTTTCTTGATATGTAAACAAACACTGCGAAAGCTTATGCGTCGCAGACGGTGTGAACCGCAACATGGTCACGGGAGATTCGACGGCGCCATAATTAATTTATGGTACTGTAAATATTTCGTCGCCTACAAAGGACTTAGATACGTGACATTGCTGCCATAGACATTGTGGTTAAGCGTGCGGTCTGCCATTCTATAGACCCATGTACATTATACAGTAATTATGGTCATACCTGTAAATTCATTGATTCTAGTTGACTGTGAAGAGGTATTGTCATATCTGATTGTCTCCGCAAGATTTGCTAAGCTTCTCTTGCCTTGAATGATAACTTCTATAACGAAAAAGCGCCCGTTTCTTTTTTCTCGACACAAATTTGTTCATGATCAAATGTACTATGTTGAACACAACTCCTATATTCGGTTTTCAAGTATAGTTGGGATTTCGGGATTTTATATTGAATCGCTCTTGTAAACTTACATTATTCAATGTCGTGAGTACAAATGCATATTTATCAACAGATTTGCGAAGACTTGCACCTTCGCTCACGGCTTGAGAGAGCTTCGCGCTGTGCCCCGCCATCCTCGCTACAAAACGGACCTCTGCCGCACGTACCACAGTCTGGGTTACTGCCAGTATGGGGCGCGTTGTCACTTTGTTCATGACCCAGAAGAAGCAGCTGGGGTGTCATCCATGAGAGGTCTCAGACTGCGGTCTCGACATGACAGACTAGGTTCAGCTTTGTTGACTTTGGCTGAAATTGCTGGTGTTGCACCAGACCCGACTGCAAGTGATGTTCTTTTAGCTAACTTGAGACGCCTCTATGCTATTCGAACTATGCAAGACGACTCGGAGAATCGTGCTGCATCTACTGATATTGGTACAGGTATTCAGCATGGAAATACAATGGACTTGACCTCATGTTCTAATCCTGTTTCAGTTGATCTATCTAAACTCCTTCCTGAAAATATTTCTGCAATGTTGCTTGAGCCAGTCTCCTCCAGGAGAAGTGTATCAGAGTCTTTTACTGGCAGCAGTGTCTTGGATAATTCATTGGACCATTTGCTGGAGTGCAGTGTAGATGAAAACGTGGACAGCAGTATGGATACAGGTGTGTGGTCAAGCGCCTCCAGCATGTCTACTTCCTGGGGATGTGGGTCTACCACCCTAACACCCCCTCTCTCACCAGATTCCGATAACACATGGCAGCCTTTGCCTTCAATTTTGTCAGATTTTCCCTTTTGTGATATCGATCAGACAAGTGCATCAAAGCTAGTTCAAGTACAGTGTGTTATCTCAAACCCAATGGAGGTGTCTCGCAGCTTACAACTGCCTACTATTGCTGAACTTTGCCACTTGGCACAATTTTAGATTTAACAATTACAATTTAATTTCGAGGAGAGGAGTTCTTAAATTGTAATGCTATAATTTTAATTTTTGGTACTTATTTTGAACTGCAATTTATAGTAGGACAAAGTTTGTCAAGGATATTTAGTGCATAGTTATTTAATGGTGACCCAAGATGTACTATTTTGGTAATCTTTTTATGGAAGTTCTTCCTTTGGAAAGCGTTTATTTTTTTTTATCCCAGTGAGTTTTATTCTTAAGGAATTCAAATTTCTCAATATATATATATATAATTTTTATTGCAAATCTGGTTTACTGTAACCGTAATTAGATTAATAACAGACGATCTCTTGTTGAGTGATAGAGCTAGGTAATTGTTTGTACCTGATAATAAACGAAAATTCTTTACAGTGTTTATGTTGCCTGGTTAAGGTTCGTGGCTGCTTATCGTTGATGAGTTTGATGAAGTGCTAACTTAAAGCTATACTATATCCAGAGATTGAAAATGTCCAATGTGTCCTAATAAAACTTTTTCTAATTTACTAATTACAAAATATTATTTATGGTCAGTCTTACACATTACTTTTCTAACACCAACCCTTCAACTTAACTTGAATAGAATTTGCTTGTTAATATGCTTGGCGGGGATGGCACGAATATTACATACAGCCGTATCACCATCATTGATAACATACACCTTCGAATGCTTTTACAACTCAAGATGATATGAAATGATTAGCAAAGTTAAAGCTATACTGTATTTCCAGTGATTGAAGATGTGTTAAGTTAATAGTTAGTCTCCTAACTTAGATATTACCAAGACTCCTCACAGGAAAGTATGGCTAAATTCAGGTAATGGTATTAGTTGTCTTTACCATTCATCGTAAGCAGGCATTGTTTTAAGCTGTCTTAATGTACTGCATAAGTGTTCTCTCGAGGCGTTCTGTAAACAGATTAAAAGTTCAATTCGAGGTATTGCTTGAACCATTTTATCTATCGGAATGTTATTGAAGAATATTTAATGTAACTTAGGTACTCACTGATGGGAAGACTGATAATGTTATAGCTAGGAGATATTCAATCAACAACAACGTTTTACGGTCTTTTTCCACATTTTCCTCAGTTAGCCACGATTACCTGATTGCAGCTCAACGTAATGTGCGGTCAATTCTTACAACCTCCCCATGTTCTTGGTCTTTCATTCTTTCCACTCGTCATAAACCATCTCTGCCTACCTCTACGCAGAACTAGCCAATACTCAATACCCTGCCGCCGCACTCATAATTGAAAAGGGCCTCTGTCTTTCAGCGTCTCTTTGCACATCCAACTTGCCATTCTTTTTTCAGTGCGCTCAAGAATGCTTCTGCCATCCTCTTGAACTGCCCATGTTTCACTTCCGTACATAATCACTTCTCATGCCAGCTGCATGCATTCATTCTTCCTTTATCGCGAAGGGAAGTCGTCTTGCCGTCAATCAAAGCTGCAACTCCCTAAACTTCCTCTAGGCGCTTCTGGCTCTTGTAAATGAGCAGGATTCAGCATCCTCACCGGCACTTAACATTCACCAAGGAAACGCAACTTGTCCACACAATTGAGGGAATGTTGAGTTCATCCAACTTTGCTATGGACACATCTCTACCTACACATACAGAGGATTTAGTCAACATCCTGCAGTCTGCTATCTACTCCACTGCACCTCTTGTGTACTCACCTTCCACACAAGTTTCTCATTATTTTGTTGCTACCAACATTTTTCCTACAGGCAGCACATGAACATTTTCCACTTTCCATCACGGGTCTTTCATCCACTCCGCTAATCAATACAGCACTTTTGTTTTCGTCACATTCACCTTCCGGCCCTGTAACTCTTGCCATCCTTCCATTTCAGAAATTTGCCTCTTCAATGCTATTTATCAGCAGGTAGCATTAGAGGTTGAAGGAAAATATGACCATTGAGTAGTGATGGTAAACACCTTTGGACTGGTAATGTTAAGCTTTTTGCAGTAAATTCCTGAACATAGGACGTGAATATTGTTGCTGGATAACAAACACCTGGAAGTACAGGACTGAGGAATCAAGACATGGAAGTTAACAAATGGTGAAGTTAGAAGATCCAATGGAAAAGTTAGACTAAATTTTGAGTATATAGCATAGAAAAAGTTTGGTGATGCTGATTACAAGTTTGGAATTATCAGTGTAGAGATAAATGGGGGTAAAGGGCAAGTGATTGTAACATGAGAATGTGGTAAGGTAAGTAAGTGATCAATTTAGTTTAAAGGTAATTTTTGTGCTGGTTTGTCTTAATTTCAAAAGCATGGTACGAGCCTGTCGTCTGTTTGGACGTCTGTCTGTAGGGCATATGTAACCCTTTACTTGAGAAAAAAAGCATGCACATACTTATTTCTAAGCAAATTCATCGTTAATATGTACCGTCACTACTGTAGGTGATGTGTAAAACGTTGGGTAAAGTCTAGTCAAAGGGTCCTCAACCTAGCTGAAGCTAGAAGGTCAAATTTCACAATTGTCCGATTACTATTGTAGAAGGCTGGTCTCGACATTCAAAGACTGATATTAAAATAATCTATGGTGGTAGGTATAAAGTGTTCAAGTGGCATACAAGTATGTACAGTACATACATTATACGTTTTTTTTTAAATGTCATGTGTCGAGATGAAAGTCGGGTGTTAGCTTTTGTCCATTATACATTACTGTATTGGGGTTAGATTTGTTCACTACAGTTTGAGAGATTCTTATAATGGTCACAATTTTAAGAATACAATAGTAAAACAACATTTACAAACTCTTAATAATGAAGGTAACCAGATACTAGGAATGCTTACATAAAGTCTGGAAAATGTGAAACTATGGATGAAATTTATTACACCGTTTGTGCCTGATTAAGGTAATTTTCAAGAGAGGAAGGAGAGAAGGAAGGAGGTATAGAGGGAGGAAGAGAAGCAAGAATTTTTTAATTGTTTTTAATCGTTTTCAGGTTATTTAACTAGTACAGAACCTTTAATGAGGAGATCGAAATTTTGTAAGATAACATGCCATTGTCAATTTGCAGCCTCCACGTAGGGTTCATACTGGGACTATTGATTTGCTTCATTGTCTGAGTAATGAATTTGTGGTCTGCATCAGGTTGTCGAAAAATGTTGCAAGAGATCTTTCAAATACAATACTGTATTTGCCTGAGGCTCATGGTGGTGGGTATATTATAATGGTAAATGAGGCCCAAAGGTTGCTATTATGATAATTTATTTTAAATAAACATAAATAAGTTAAATATATAAAACTAACAAATAATGAAGAATTAGACTGATATAGGTGTTAACAAATAATACTACCTCAGTTCAAAAACTCGGTCATAAAATTACTCTTAAAGCTATGCAAAAAAATAGGTGAACAGTAGACACGGACCTAGATTTATCATCATCTAATCTTCTTATACATTTGAAAATGATGGGAAAAGTATATAGGTCATTTAGTTTGATTTTTTTTTGTAAACACGTTGAAAATGTAATCTTTTTACCTCCATTTGTGGTACGTTTGGCTCCTATATCATATAATGTAAACTGGGTTCAAAGTATGCTATTTTTGACATGAGTAGTCAGTTTATTTTGCAAGATTGAGGCTGTATGCACTCACGTATGCAAAGTTAAAAGAATATTTAAATTTATAGGCCAAAATGTGAAATTGTCAGCTTTTTACTCGATTTTTTTTTTTTTTTTTACAAAATACCAAGTTGAGGCTGTACAATAGACAATGCCACACAAATCACTTTAAAAACTAGTTTTATATATGCATTAAGTATAGAAAGAGCAAAATTGATGTTCCCAGACTTTTTATGAAAGTATTTTTTCTTTACCCTCATTATTTATACATCAAACGGGTGATCGTAATATCCCTGTATACTGATCGTAATATCCCTGTATACTGTACAGTGTTTACCCATATTAACAGTCAGTCTCTCCAGAAAAACAGTTCAGTATGTACAGCAATATTACTGTATACAGTATATTAAAAGACTATGTAACAGTTTCAGTTACAAATTATGCTGAATTAAGTAATCTACAGTACAGTACTGGTAAAATATATATTTCATTTATATGTTGTGATCTGTACTGCAGGTCATTATTCACACTGGCCTTGACAAACCGACCACGCCGTTGGGAATGCATTTTGAAGAATAAAATAGCCTAGTCGTGAACAATTTTATGAACAGGATTTCTGTACGTACTTTATTTTTCGCGTTTCCAGAAGGACGCTAAGGAAGGCAACTTCTCCCGGAAAATGAGCAACGGTTTGTTTCCCGGCACACTGCCAGGAGGCAACCACGGAGTTGTGTACTGGCAATTGCCGAGATCGTCTTTCTTCCCTTTCTCTTCTCCACAATGTTGCTTCACACTCTTTTACGGGTATACTTTAACGGGCAATGTTCGGCGGATTTGGCATCCTTTGTACCGCCGGCAAGGCCGTGGGCTCGTAACACTCGTCTTGCCCGCGGTGCCCACCATTTCTCTGTGGCTGTCGGTCACACGAGAATAACCCGTCATAGTACATCCTTCTTTCCTCACACAGCCAAACTGTGGAATGCTCTGCCTCCTGTGTTTCAATACTCATACAATGTCTCTCTTTAAAAAGATGGTTTTCCGGCATCTTCGCGTGTAGATTAATATTACCTTTTTCTTTTCTATTTTTAATTTATTTCTATTTTTTTCGTCGCCTAGGCCCCGATGTGGGTTATTGACCTGTGCCCGGGTGGGCCAATCCCCGTAAAAAAAAAAATGTACTTTGAAATAATATTAAGAAAAGCAATATTTAATATACATTTGTGAGGAATCTCGCTTAGAAGTCAACCTAGCAAACGGGAGTGTAGCTCATCATGACTCGACACTACTGAAAACAAGAGAATAATTTTTGTGCAATGCTTGAAACTCTTCAGTAAATCGTAATACATAAAAGAGGATCGGTGTCACTCACTACCTGAAGCTTCACGGTGAATCGGAAGACGTTAAAATGAGATGACTACAGCGCGACTAAGCGTTCACCGAAATCAGAAAGTGAAGGCCTGCGAAATTTTGTCAAGGACGGAGGTAGGACACCCTGGGTAGAGTTGGTCACACTGGCCATGGGTTTTACCATAGTACTCTGCTGTCCTGTACTCGTCGTACACCGACTGGTCATCCGGACTGCCGGACGCCCTGTGAGAGGAAGGTAAATTTCCTTGGTCAACTGACATCTGCTGTAGACAAGATGTTGAATAATTTTAATCGGACAAAAAAAATAAGTGATTGATAAACGTACATAGAAGTAGATCATAAATATGAAATATACTAACAGGGTGATATAGATAAACATGGGTTACCGATTATATACTACAGATTTATACCCAGGTAATACCTGTAAGATGTAGAATAAGTTGATAATTCGAGTGATCTATTTGTAGGTTATCTCAATATTGGCAGCGTTACATGGCGAAATTAGATAACGATTCTCAGTAATTAATAATACTCCAATTGAAACTAGTGAAGCATTATATGTCATATAACCTTTATTTTGGACTTAAGATTGAAAAATGTAAATAGGAGCTAAATTAATTTACAGGAGATTTGGACAGTTACTTACGATAAGACGAGATTAACCACTTCACCGTAGAGACTGTGTTCGAATGGGGACTCTGCGATCTCACAGAGGGTCCTCAGGGTGCAGGCGTGGCCGTTGTACCCCATTCTGCAAGGGTGAGGTGAAAGATCGTGTTAGCCAGTCTGCACCAATCTTGTGGAGATGGCTTAAAACTGTTGGCAAATGAAACTAGGATTATTGTTTAAGACGGAAACTTAAGGCTAGACACCCATGTGTACGTATAAGCGCAATGCGTGAAGCGTGGTGCGTATTCACTGCTCTCATATGTCCGTCAAATGTGATGCGTGGTGCGTGAAATTTCTTTTCATTCAAAGATTCATCTGGTGTGGAACTCTATGTGCAGTATAGGTTGGTACGTACAATACAGGGGGAACCACTTAACGAAGTGCTTGAGAACATGAAACTGTTCTTTATGAAAGGGATTTATTTTAAGAGATGTTTATCGAGGGACTACAATGTACAGGACATTTATTGTGTTTACTAATTATGCTGTATGCACAAAACAGTTATTATTAATCCAGTCAACTCTGTAGTCCCAGTTCAATTAGCTTCTCCAGAATCTCATCTGATATGACATCTCGTGGTGAGTACAATTTGGCATTGAAAAACACTCAAATACATAAACATACGCTATGAAAGCACGTGGATGCAACGGGAAAACCCCTCATCCCTGGCGTGATACTTGCGTGATGCATGTTCACCTCCCCTGGGAGCGGTGAGCACGCAACGCACAAGACACTATGCATCACGCAATACGTATACATGGAATCATTCCAATTTGTTTTCAATTATTTTGATTTATACGCATTGCGCACTACGTGCAATTAAACAAAATTCGTGTCGCGGTTTTGTCCGAAGATTAAATACAACTTGAAACATTGAGAGCCCCCTACCACAAGGCAGAGCGCACCAAAAGTTTAGCCCTTCTGCTTATGTTTTCACCAAATTTCATGACACGACTTTTGTCTTTTATTGTACACATGGGTTCCTAGCCTTACCCTCTTTTCGTGAGATGGAAGCAGCACGACCTAAACCATGGTAGAATAGTTTTTTTAAATACACCGTGTCCGCTATATTGTACTACTATTTTCGAATTATGACGGGCACCCTCATTATAACTGAGATCGATCAGTGCGTAGAACAAGACTATTCTGTGTGCTCATCATGAACTTATCATCTTCCCTTTCTTTATTTTAAAGAACGTTATAAAGGCGGAGCGTGTGTAGTCACTGAACCTACCTGTTGAGGAATTTCTCCATACGGTGGTAGACGTTGATGCGGTCTGAGGCACTGTGCTGGTAGTTCCTAGCCCAGCTGATAGTGTCGTTGGGCAGGAAGAAAGTGAAGTCGGCAATCGTCTCTACTTCGCCCACGTCGCTAAACCCGTCGACAGGGATCGTCAGTGTGAACTCTAACTGTGAGGGACAATATGCAGGAAGGAGGCTTATACCTGAGGTACCCTGGGGTAGTGCCACCTCATTTGCTTGCCGGAGTAAGCTGAGGTGTGTAGGTAAGAAATGCTCATAGCTGGGGTGTGTAGGTAAGGAATGCTCATAGCTGGGGTGTGTAGGTAAGAAATGCTAATAGCTGGGGTGTGTAGGTAAGAAATGCTCATAGCTGGGGTGTGTAGGCTGGGGATGGTGTGGGGTGAGGGGGCTGGGATTATGAGAGGTGAGGGATGATGGTGTGAGGAGAGGGAGAGAGGCTGGGGATGGTGTGAGATAAACGAAAGTAAACAATATACCTGTTTATTTAAATGTTCGTGTAATCATTAATCATTACTTCACCTGTGCATCATAATCGTGACATGTGTTGAGAAGGTAAGTAATCAGGACCAAGTTAGGTTGTCCTGCCGGATGGTCTCGTTGAGGTGAGGGGCAGCAGTAGATAAACTCTGATAAAACCTGTGAGTACTTGACTTAATTTAGCTGGGTTTGGTGTGTTCAGTTAATGTAGTGTGGTCGTTATTTTTGTATTACGCTTATTGTGGTCGTCGAATTAATGCCAAAAATGACCGTTTCAGATGTTCCTTACTAATTAATATTGTCACCGTACAAATATTGTATTAAAATGCTCTAACTTTCTCAGAATCATGGCAGAAGTTTAAATCCTGTGTCAAAAGTTCAATTATTTTCTTCATAATACCAAACCCGTCATTGGTTTATATATTTTTTATCAGGGTCAGATATAAGACAGTTTTCAAGCACTGGTAAATGCTCACTGAACTTACTGGTAATTACTGATAGATTAATTCTCTTACATGTACAGTCCAGTATGTCTTGTTACTGGGATAAGCCCACACTAATAATACTAATGCCGTATCTAATATTGTGGCACAACTTGTACAGTCCCCTTCACTAATGCGTTTACAGGGGGTCATCAGGGTGTAGCACTGTGCTTGTTTACATTCGACAGAAGGAAACTCGCAATAGTCAACACACTATGGAATCAAAGTAAGCAATATTAAAACAAATATCAATGTAATGATTTGTGGGATGTTTATACGATGAGCCCCTGTAAACGCACTAGTGAAGGGGACTGTACCTCAAACCGTGCCTGTAAATATGTGTCTATATTAAAATTGGCAGTTCTGAACATACAGCTGATAACAAATAGAGTAAGCCATTTGCATTCTAGTGGACGAAGTGGTACCTACAGTGTACTTAAACATAAACCTGAGAGAAGTATAGTTCCATACACCTGGCGCCTGTTCGGGGCAGTGCAGATACAGCACACTGACTACAAAACCTACGGTAAATTAGGATATAGTGGACTTGGACTACTTTGTTTTCCCTGATGTGGAAATAGATATCCGTTCATTATTGGATGGGTGGCCGAGAGCGAACCAGAGACCCTTGGGGGCAGAAGGTAAAGGGATCATGTAACTTAATCTGTACTTGTACCTAAGAGTCAGCTTGTGTATAAACCTGTATTTGTACTGATGTTTATCAAAAAATGGCAACTAAACTTGTTAGTGAATGGAAGGGTTAACAAGTTACTCAACGGGACAGTGCAACAGAATTAATGAATAACGGGATGGGACAAAAATTGTGCACAGGATAATAATAAATTATTGTGTGAACGAGACAGTGAACAATTATGTGAACAATTATGTGAACGGGACAGTGAACAATTATGTGAACGGGACAGTGAAGTAGTAAGTGAACTGGATATGGACCGATGACTCACGTTCACGAGGCTGCCGGTGGGGAACGGGATGAACCGCCGCACCCTGGACTTGGCTACTTGACTCTCCGGCCCACCCGCCTCCAGCCACGACATTCCCTCCTCCTGTCCACCTGTAGCTGGGGAGTAAACATTATGTCAGGGTACTTCCGTAGCAGTGAAAACAACTAGTAAGTAGGGCAGTAGATGTGGGAAGTATCGTAGATGTGGGAATTAGGGTAACATGTGGGAAGTAGGGTAACAGATGTGGGAAGTAGGGTAGTAGATGTGGGAATTTGGGTAGTAGATGTGGGAAGTAATGTAGTAGATGCGGAAGTAGGATAGTAGATGTGGAAAGTAGGGAAAGTTTGGTAAAGCTTCTAAGTGGTTCAATAACTGCCCGTGTGGTATAAGTGCATAAGTTTGTGTTGGAAAATTTACAAATGCTCGTGTAAATGAGACGCAAAGTGTTAGTGATAGCGTATGAGTGAGGAAGACATGAAAAAATGAGGTGAAAATGGTCGTGTTTTTCTTTTTAGCTGCGTCTGTGGTAATCCTCTTCTATTATGGTGTTGTAGTTTCCATTCTTGGCAACATTAATGGTAAATGGGTGTATTGTTACTTGTGTATAGGGGAGTACAGTTGTTTGTGAGTTGAGTGTAAGTAATAGTAACAGAGGAATAGAAAAACACCAAACTATGCGTTGCTTGCCTTACCCTGTCCCGCCACTTTGTAGTCATCAACGTTGACCATGTTATCCTGGAGAGTGGCAGCGGCCTGGTTCAGCAGCAGTGATGTCATCACAAAGTTCACCAGGACCTTCATACCTGCCACGGACGCACCACCACGGGGGAACATCTCACTAACTTTGTCGTTATTGATGCTGTTCTTTTTGTAACTTTGCAAGATTTTTTGACTTGTACAGTGGAAAATTATTCTTTTTGGTGTAACTTGTTCCTCTTCTGAATGAAACTTTAGAGGCAAAACCGATAATTTGAGTCGTGTTTACAGAGTGTTCCGGTGTCGTCTTCTGGTGTAATGGTTGTAGAGTAGATAAGATTCGTGTCTGAGGCTCTCGTGCTCGAAGTCACCCAGAGAACCTCCTCTAACTCTCCACTTCATAAGACTGCCGAAGAGGTTCTCCTCCACGACTTATAAGGAGGGTAGACCGACCATTCAGGCAATTAAAGTGGACAATGGGGGACGTCACCGCCTGACCATCTGAACTAAGATTACCAGCGTTGTGTGTGCCTTGGTTCCGCCCCGCGTCTGACGTGCGTCAGTAACCCCGCTTACTTGATTTCCTGTCCATAACAAGTAAACTGCTCTCTACAGTAACACTTCCTGAACTAAATTAAAGATCTTCTAAACAATAATGATACCTATATACATTTTAACGTCACAGAAACTGTGAATCGGTTTCTGTCATTAGAAAAATGGAGCACAATACATAATCTACTTGGGGGGAAACAGGACAATCTGTCTGATGTGTATTGAGGTGACGCTAAGAAACCAGCCAATTACGGAAGAATTAATTGTGCAGGTCCTTCTGGAAAGAAGGTGGATTAGGGTGGATTAGTTTTATATTTTCGTGTATAAAAAAAAAGGAGGAACAAGTTAATAGAATGGTTCGAGAAAAGAATTTGCGATCGAGAAGTAACAGCAGCTATAGATAATAATTTAACAGTGATATGTTGCATTTTGTTTTGTTTATGTTTGGGCTAAACTTTTCTTGATACATCCGCACACTTCAAAGAAAGATGTAGCCTACACCTTTACAGACTGGAGTGTAGTCTTTTTATTAATTTACAGCTTTAACAAGGCATATCACTTCCCTCCGTACATGGTGGGAAATTTGTTTACAAATGTGTGTTTATTTCCTGGGTGGGCAATACTCAACTGCTCTCGGCTATTAATGCAAGTTGTGTCGTCAAGGAAGTATTTGGTTAAAAGCAAGACCTCCTCGTGTGGCCTCCTTTCTCCTCTCTTGGTTTACTTTCCATGGACACATGACATCCTCGTCATGGTGAATCGCTTCATTCTGACACGAGAAAGTATTAACCAACATACCATCTCCGAGATCATAGTTTACTTTTCACCTTCGTTCACATTCATATTCTTAGAATTATGAGGATATTATATACTGTACTGTACAGTACTTTATACGGGTCCTGCAATAATTGTTCATATTTATTATTGTTTACTTCTATTTGTACAATATGTAAATGCTTTGGGGTGCTAAAGGTTAACTTCAAACTTTTCGGAAATAGTGTACAGTACAACTTCTTGTCTATACTAGCTGAGTTATCATGGGTTCGGCCGGGTGGAGACTCAGGAGATAGTGAACGACCATCCCCTAGCAGTGGTTCCCAATCGGGGTTCCCCGGAACAACAAGGGCTCCACAAGATCCAATAATGATGATAACCAATAATAATACTAAAACAAAGGCTCAGCAGCCTATAATTCATAAATGGAACTCTTTTTAATTTTTTTTTTTGACTTGGACATACTTTAATAGCAATTTTGCTTGGTAAGTGTAAAGAGTAGATGGAGATTATTGGGGTTCCAGAAAATAGTACATTTGGCGTACAAGTTTCCTTGGCCAAGAAAAGGTTGGTAACCACTGTGAACCGAGGCCATCCGCACCGCAACCAAATTTCAGCTTTACAGTATTTTTAAAACTGAGGGAAAATGCATCAGGAAAACACCAATGTTATTCACCTGACTTAATGTTTTCGTAAATTCAGTTGCCTCTGAAAATGTCTTAAATAAAGACGAAAGCTAAGGTGCTCCAGTGTGTAATCGTATAAATTGGTACCCTACACTATCTTCTGTATATACCCAAATTTCCAGACTACACATATAGTTCGTTTATATGGTAGCTCACTCAAGTTTGTTTTGTAAATATTGCTTCCGTACTTCAAATTCTTGATAAAACATCAAAGATATTAGTAAATGCACGTATAGTACAAACTGAAATTTACTCCCAAAGAAAAGATAATGTGTAACATATTAAAATACGGAACACCGCCTATGACTCGCAAATTAGCGTATAGAGTGGTTTTATTCAGTCAGTCTATGATGAAGTTGATGAGATAATATGATTGCCACAATGGGGAATGAATGGGAACAAGAGCTCGGCTACTGGAGGAAATGACTTCTCCGTCTCTGCCAGCTGTCGGTTGTTTTTCATTGTGAACAAAATGACTGTTCATCTATATAGACTTTGTTGTAAATTGGTCATGTGTTGTGCACTGTATATATTACTTTCTTAGCTGACATCTTTTTTTTTTACCAGGAGATAATTTCAGCTGTTCGTATAAGGCTCTGCACGTTAAGTCATTATAAACTCTTTAATTCATGTTTTATTTGCGCTTTTGATTTATTTAGTAAGACAAACTTTACCTGAACTAAGTTTTCCTCAGATCTATGAAGCTATAATTTTAATATTCTGGTAATGCTTAGTCCAGGTAGTGTTTAAGTAAGGTCCTAGATTATCAAAGAATTTTAGCGTTATTATTATTTTTGCCCATTGTAATTTTCTCGTGTATTCTTTAGTCAAACAGTGAGTGAGTGAGAGAGAGCATCTTGGCTATATACGACTTGCACCACCATTCAGTCGGTCATCACTGGAATGTTTCAGCCACAGACCAAAGATTTTACTTCCCTACACTCGCCACGACGCACCTTTGTCTTCCCTTGACAAAAACTGGACCATGTTCAGGTACATTTAATGAAATCTGCCATGACAGTAAGGGTCGACCGCTTTCTTTTTTTTACCATTCATAGCGAACCCACTATGTAATGGGAAGGCCGGTATCTCTCTCAGGCCAGCTTTCTTTGGTTCGAGATTCCGGGTTCTCCCTGAAGCTGAACTCTCCTGACGTCGGGTTCTCCTAAGGGTCGAGTTCTCCTGATAACGCCACACCCACCGAAAACTTTGTTAAATATAATTAATCCTGGTCATGACCTCGTATTTCTGCACTCCCTGGGTCTGACGGCCTTCGCAACGAGCGCTGACTGAGGCCATGTTCATTTGGTAAGGTTGGTACTTCTGATTCTGTGATGCATTTATGGAACCAATGCGATGTATTCTGTATATCACGTGTAGTTAACACAGATAAATTAACAGCCATACATATAAAACCAGTGTTGTTCAGAATTCTTGGCCCGGTGCAGAAAATTTTGTTGTTGACAACTTATTGCTCAAACGGATGTTGTATAATTTTACTGTAATGTCAGGGTTCGACATCCTGCTATGTCACTGGAATGAGTCTTACGAACTCGTCTCATTTGGGGTCGAACTGCTTCAAACGAACTTTTGACACCGACTGCACACTCCCCAATAAAAGTCCTATCACCTCACCTGCCTCTTCATTATAGACCCAGAGATTCAGAGGTACAGAACATGGGGGCTGCTTGTAACTAGATCGCTTACTACTGAAATCCTCCCTCCAGCACCACACCCACGACAGTCCTCATCCACCGTTCCCATTCACTCGTCTCTCTCCCACCTCATTCTTCATTTAGTGATTACAGAAAGATTCATAAAATCTTGGAACAAACGAATACTGGTACTGTTTAAATTATGTTATGCTTCCATGCCCTGAGTTTTTGTTCACTTACTTTCATACAGTACAAATTTATGAACAATCTGTGAGTGTATATATTCCTCTGTTATGTATATATGTATGTATGAATATTTATTTAATATGTGTATACAACTACTTGTTCATTCTGTAAGACGTGCAGTACGGTATAGACAGACAAGGGATAATACAGGCAATGTCAGTAGCTTTGTGGCCTCGGGCGTTTTAATTCAGTTGGTGTAAATAGATATCACCTATGATAAGAGTGTGAGGTAACCTAAACACCTCTTTGGACGACTAACGCACACACACAGGCTTATAATTTAAGCCCAAGATTATAGGTAACGGCGAACATCAGATAACGTGGCCAAGGGACCAAGACATCATGTTGACGTTATTACAACTTCCGGTGCGAGTTACCGTTTTCCAGTACAACTGTATTGTCAATACTGTATTGACAAAGATTTCATTCCTACATGATAATAGGGTTAGCATCCGCTTGGCTGATGATTAATTTGGAGTATAGTACAAAATGAGTTAAGTTACGAATGGTTACATTTGTGATGTAATGATCAGTATATATAAAAAAAAACTCTGGGTTGGTAAGTTGCCCTCCCTTCCTTCCTGACCAATCAGTCAGAGTACCATCATCATATCTGAGGGTTGTCGACCACAGTCCTCCACTCTAAACGTTCTCGGGCTGTTTTGTATCTCGGGGGGAAGGGGGGGGGGGGACCCAGTTTTTATGACTGTATTTCATTCATCCATCCCAGTCTCGGCATTCCCCTGGCTCTCCTACCATCAACTTTGCCCATTAATATTTCTGTGATTATTCCTTTATCCCTATATCTCATTTGTCTTTTTCTGTACATTTCAAGTGTTTCTTTCGATAGTTTTGCTAACCTTAGTACTTTATTTGCTTACCTGTCAGTGTAGCTTATTCCTAGTATTCGTCTGTATCACCACATTTCAATAACTTTTAACCTCTTTCTGGTGTCTGCTGTAAGTGTCCACGCTTCTGACCCACACAACAGTCAATATCCCTTTTTAGTTGGTCTTTTAGATTATTATTTGCTGTTTTTCCTTGACCTATTCTTGCTTTGATTTCTTTCACAAGTAATGTTATTTCCTAAGCACACACAAATTTTCCCCTTGTTTAAGTTTTCTGTTGCCTACCATAATTTTTATTTTAGGATTTATTTCCAATTTGAAAACAAACATTACTTTCATCTTTACAGCATTAGTTCTGTACACTGAGCGGAGTTTATTCTACTGTATTGCTTTCTATTTTAAAGATCTCATTTATTACTACTAATTGAACATGACAAATATTACGATAGAGTTAAGTTTTGTATTTCATGAGTACCTTGTCTATGTGAATGTGCATGTTTTGTAATGTACTATATCATGAGGTGAGACTCACGGCAGGTCAATTACAGTGCAGTTCAGAGAAACATATTTTGATTGGCAACTTCAATAATTATACTCTTATCACATGACGCTCGATCTCCTCAGGCAAACGCGAT